CAAATTATTTTTCATATATATTATATCAAGTTTATCCACTTGTAAATTTAAAACTCCACCATCAGTAAGTGAAGTATACAGTCATTATTTTTCGTAAAAAGGAAAAGAAAAAGATTCAGTTTGGTCTCCTTTTTTTTGTTGTTGAATATGATGGACGTTGACGAGAAATTATAAATTAATACAGTAGTATGGTCATGTTGTATATCTTGTACATGTGTTATAATATGGATAGACAAGAACTAGTATTAATAAATAAATATCCACTTATATAACATGTGTACAAGCACTGGCGGAACAGTGGGCTGTAGCCCAGGGAGATTTTTGCCTGGCAGCAATAAAAATACACATTAAAATAGGTACTTTTTCAATTTTGTTGTTGAACATATTTTCATTTTGATAATATATGGTTTCCGGTTGCATTTAATATGTATTAATACTAAAGTTTATTGGAAATTGTAAAGGGTTTGTAGCTCAAATAGTTAAGTTAAGACTATTTACCCATGTCCTAGGTTTGATTCCCCCCTTTCCTCAATATCACTCGTATCCAAAGAAAAAAAAATTAGTCTATAGAGCTATGAAAAGCGTGGTTTGTATGATTTAATATATACTTTTATTTCTAAAAGGACTATAAAAACTGTAAGTATATTAAAAAAATTATCATTGATTTTTAGGAAATAACTTTAGCTAGCCCGCTTGTTAAAATATTCATGTTTCCGCTTTTGCATACAAGATGTACTACCGTAATATTCTATAATCACTCGACATTGACATATAAATTAGATGGAGCAATTCAGCAGAATTTTCAGAAAGCAAAGAATTTAGGTGGTGTTGGCTTGTTTTTAGGCTTTCCCTTAATTCTATGACCCCCATTGAAAAAGTATAAGCATCTTTGCCTAAAACTTATTGGCATATATGATATGAGCAAAGCGATGATGAAATATTTAACACAAAATTCCGGATACCAACAAGCAAAGAACTAGGCAGGTAAATGTCACATACTCGAGACTTGCATTAACAAAGAACTAGACAACTCATATTTTTCATCAAATATCAAATACGAGAAGTGTAATTCCTATGAAAGAAATACAAAATGTGAGGCAATTGAACCCAAAAAGAAAAGAAAATATATGGAGTTGACTGATGAAGAGCTTGTTCTTGTTTAGGTCAGTGAAGGTAGCCCAGAATTACAAACAGAGGACAATTATGGGCTTTGGGCCATCTGAATTAATTATAGCGGATGCTTCTTCGTAGGGTGAAAAAGTAAATAAGAATTTATTTAGGTTGATAAGGTTGATCACTATGATTACCAATCATTCATCATGATTACGATCGAATATTGCAATGAGGGTTGCTTTGAACCTAAACAAAAATCCAAACAGCATAGGCTTAGGCAGAGAGAGAGAGAGGCCTAGAGAGAGTATTTTGTGACATCCATGCCCAATATTCCTCATGCTAGCTTTTGGGCCCCAATTTGAAGTTGACATTTGCATTATTTTGTGGTTTCTTTGAGACTTGAAAGACCTAGTCATGATTCGTTCAAAGCAAAATCCAAATTTGATTATGAAAATTTAAGAGAGCTGTTTGCCATACGCCTTTGTTTTTGTTTTCTTTGGTAGCCCCCATATGTATCATCTGCTTTACATAATTATGACAACCTTTTTGACCATACTTTGCTATGTGATTTGTGAGGAAACAACCCACCTTTTAAACCTTGAAATTTATTATGTATAATGTGCAAATCAAATCCCTTGTCTCTGTAATGGGAATCTCATTTTATACGTGGCGTGGCATCATAACAGTTTCAGCATCTATTTCTTTTATACATGGCAACCAATTTCACTATAATGCTACATAATATACTAGAAATCTCGACACATGTTATGCATTTGCTTAAAGAAAGTTACTGCATGAGAACATTGAGTAGGAAGAAATAAAGAGTGGGAGAGAGAAAGTCGGTCGGAAAATTGAGGTCGAATTACTATAGTACCCTTGGCTTTTTATTTTTTTTAAAAATAAAATTTACTATAGTACCCTTGGCTTAAAATTACTTTGTTTGAAAAGGCTATAATTGGCATTTAACCCTCGTTGATACATATAATAAATACACACAATTTAACTACTTTTTTCTTCTTCTTCTTTTTGGGCTGTGTCCAGGCTTCAGAGCTACGGGCCTCATGTGGAACCTAAGCTACCTCATGGGCTTCATTTTTTGGGTCCTTTTGGGTCCTTTTGGGTCTTACAACTCTTTATTGAAAGCCCAAAAGTAAATGGCATATGAGCAAACAGCCCCAGACAGGCCAGAAGAAAGGTCCAATGAATCAATGGGAAACTCTGAGAACTCAAACAGCCCAACTATAATTTAGATAGGTAACTGATATAATCATATATTGTTAAAAACATTATTTCTCCCCCCAAAGTTCTGGGTTCGATTCCTCTCTATCTTAATATCGTTTGTATAAATATAAAAATTAAATACAACCAGTGACGGAGGTAGAGTTTGATGTTTGGGGGGGCCACAAGCTTAAAATTATGAGATTTTTTGTGCAATCTATGCCTATACTCTCTATATAGTCATGCATGTGAGAAGATGGTAGGGGGGCCCTGGCCATCTCAGGCCTGTGAATAACTCTGCCCTTGAATACAACATTATTCAATTACATGTATTGCAATATTCTGTCTCACGATGGTGACACAAAAGGAAATGAAGAATTTAATTTGAATTTTCTAAGGCAGAGTTTTACTTTTAGAGAAGGTGTTAGACTTCATGTATAATTCTTGTTGGTCGGCGACCTAGAATTAATTCAAAGTTTGACGATATTATATGACCTTTGGGGCTTTGATTAAAAGTCAAATGAATTATTTAATTAGTTCCAAGTAAATAAGAGTTTCCCATCACTTTCTGAGAGAGAGGAAAATAATTCATATATAAGAACTGAGAACTGACTAATTCATACAAAACCCGTTCGAGAAAAAAGTATCAAACGCATTTCACACATGCAACTTATAAATCAAGGGAGAATTATATATGAAATTATTATAAAAAGTTTTAGAACTGAATTGTAAATTATGTTAACATCAGTCGCTCATGAAATGTAAATGTAAGTTATTAATTCACATCTCATTAGTCGTGAAGGGCTACTAGTCATTCATTTCTCATGATTTGTAAGCCTCGAGTACTGATGACATGATGTACATCCATCCGCATATGTTAACGAGAAAAGTTTTCATGAATATTTTTGTTGTTTCAAATTACAATAATTGAAGAAATGCATTTAGTTTGGGTCAAGCACAATTAAATTCGTAGAAATATGACACGTATGTGGGGAGTTTTTGTATTTTTTGGTCGAAAACTAGTGTACGTGTGGAATTTGTTGTGTGAGATGAATCATTTAAAAACGTCATTTGAGTTGTGGAGTCGTTTTATGGTGAGAATGCCATATATGGACACATCCAGAATTTATTTGAATAATAATTTCACTTAAATTTAATAAAATAATCTTATAGTTGATATAAATGTCCATATTAAAGGTCCATATACGGTGCCCTCGTTATGTTATAGAATTTCGCTTGGATGTTGTCTTGTGTATAAATGCAAGGCTGTATAAAGTCAAATGCAAAGGCCCACACCGTGCGCTTCCTTTCGGACCACGCTACATGTTTAGTGGTTACAGAACGAACCCATTTATTTTATTTGATATGACCACCTAACAAGCTAATTTAGAAAACTAGATTCTTCTAGAAACTTTTACGGTACTTCTCACATTGCAACTCTTCTCTCCAATACTTTCTGACAGCCGTACGATTTGGGCTCCTAAGAAAAAACTTTGTTCAACTTCTTATGAAATGTTGACCCACTTTATTTTTCAAACCTTTACCGACTTTTAGCTTTAGTTGTACTATTTTGCTAACCTATAAACACATACATAAAATATTACACAATTATCACTTTCTTTTTCTTTATTTTGTTTGGGGAAATTGTTACTTTGCGAGAAGATAGACTGTCAAATGTAAATAAGGGTAGTTGCAACGAGAAAACATTATTTTATTTTTTCTGATCAATAATATTATGTCATGTGAAATTATTATCATGCGTACTATAGTGTTATTGATCGAATATAACAAAATAGTGATATTCCTGTTTCATAAAAGTCTTTATTATAAATAAGGCCATGTATAAAATTGGAACCCCTCCTCAACTTTTTTTTTCTTCTTTCAATAATATTTTTCATGGTCAATAACCTTTCATTAGGCAATATGCTCTTATCATACTTTTCCAGTTTGTTGAATAAAGAATGAAAGTCATAGTTTTCATACGCAATAATTTATTCTTTATTCTGGTCAAATAAAGGCACGAATTGCGTTTTGGCTTTGAGGGAAAAAAAACATAATTGAGATACAAAAACAATGTAATCCAATAGTAGATTTGTTTCTAGTATATATAAAATGTATTCCTAAATGTCTCGTTAATTTCAAGTGGAAAATATTAACAACTATCAAATATTCACAATACTTGAACGAAAAGACAAAAATTTATGTCCATTTTGTAGAGATCATCACATCATCCAGAAGAATGGAAATACGACGTACGATTTGAACTCTGAATTTGGGACTGGTGGAGGGAGGCATTTGCAAGACCCCATTTTTTATATTTTTTATATTTATTTGTCTCCGAAAGCACCGCGTGAGTCGACGTGGCACGCCATCCACGACTTAGCTGCTGACGTCACCCTTCACGAAGGGCCAGAGAAACTCCACTCCAATGAGAGGAGAGAGAGTGTGGGCCCTACTCCCAAACCCCTCCCATGGTCCTCGCTTCACTTTGTCTTTTTCAGCTCTTCCCCTTCTTTGTTCCCCACGACAGCTTCCCAGACACTCACTCCTTCTCTGCTCTCTCTCCCTCTTTTCTTTTCATTTATAAGTCTCTCTCTTCCTCCTCCATCCTCTAACTAGCATCACAAGGACAACGTGCCCTACTCCCGGCGAACGTTACACACCACGCCATGACTCCGATCTTATCCTATGCCGCCAAGCATGGGGCCCTCACTTTCTTCTTCCTGCTGCTCCTCTCGCCGGCAATCTCCCCCGTCGAAGCTCAGCCCACCCCCGACCCCTACCGCTACCAGCGCTTCAGCCCCTCCATGGCCATCATCATCGTCGTCCTCATCGCCGCCCTCTTCCTCATGGGCTTCTTCTCCATCTACATCCGCCACTGCTCTGACGCCCAATCCGCCAGCATCCGCGCCGGCGGAACCCACACCGGCCGCTCCCGCCGGGGCGTCTCCCGCGGACTTGACGCCGCCGTCATCGACACCTTCCCCACCCTCGAGTACTCCGCAGTCAAGGGGCTCAAAATCGGGAAAGGCGCGCTCGAGTGCGCCGTCTGCTTGAATGAGTTCGAGGACGACGAAACGCTGCGTTTGATCCCCAAGTGCGACCACGTGTTCCACCCCGAGTGCATCGACGAGTGGCTGGCTTCGCACACCACGTGTCCCGTCTGCCGAGCTAACCTCGTCCCTCAACCCGGCGATCCAATCACCCAACCCACTGTGCTCAACTCGGAACATGTACCGGTTGACGTCGAAGCTCAAAACGACGCCGTTGACTGGCCACCGGAAACAGACGAGGGCTGCCAGGAAACGGTAGAGCAACCCGAGTTGGTGAGCATAAACCAAACGCTGAACCGGAACCGTACACGCGGATCGAGATCAAGCAGGTTGCGTAGGCTGTTCCCGCGGTCCCACTCGACCGGGCACTCTGTGATTCAGCCGGGCGAGGATACGGAGCGGTTCACCTTGAGATTGCCGGTCGAAGTGAGGAAACAGATCATGAACCGGAAACTGAACCGGTCCGTAAGCTTGCTGGTGTTGCCAAGAGAAGGGAGTTCGAGGCGTGGGCCGCGAATGGGCGAGAGTGGCGGTAGTAATAGGTTGATGAACTATAGAAGGCTTGAGAGGTTGGACCGGGGTTTTAAATCGGACAGGTGGGTGTTTTCGAGAACGCCGTCGTTTCTTACGCGGATGTCGAGTCTTCTGTCGCCGAGGGCGGCGGCTAACGAGGGTGAGAAAGCGGTGGAGCCTGGGATGTCTAGGAGTGGCTCGGTTCGGCCTCCGGTTTAATTTTATTCTTTTGTATTTTTTAATTTACCGCCACCGTGCCACGGGCTTAGATGAATTTGTTAAATTGTGTATAGAGTTTTTTGTTGTAATTTTCTGGAATTTAGAATTTGAAAAAAAGACCCGAGTGAATGTAGTATGACAATGTTGAAATACAAATTAGATAGTAAATGGAATTAATATTTCTTCTTTTATTGGCTGTCTTTATTTATATTTATTTGTTAACATTGGCCGTACGGTTTATTTCAATTTTTATTGAGCATGAGGGGAATGAAAACAAAGATAAGTATAAAAAACAAAAAGTAGTTTTTGTGGAAGTGGTCAAGAAACAAGTAGTGGATGTAGCGCAATATTATAGACATACATTCTGGTCCAGAAACAAGTTGTGGTCCATAATGCATAATGATTTGTCTATTGGACTTTGGATTCTTCTGGAAAAATAAATAAATAAATAAATAATTGGACTTTGGATTCTTGCCCTCACAATAATTATGCTAATTAATTGTTTCCCAATTCATACAAGTAAAGTACCTGTTTATGCTAATTAATTTTGCTAATCAATAGTTTAGATATAACTATTTTCCCAAATCAATAGTTATATTTACTTGGACCTTTTTTTAACATACTCAAATAAAGTATGGGAATAAATTTAATAACACTAAAAATTGTACTATTGCAATATTCTCAAAGAAATCTTTAAAAAGATACTAATTTTGAATATATTTAAAAAATAAATAAATGTATTTTCTTCTATTACATCGAAGTATTGAACAACCATTGCGATGCTCTTAACAACATAAAGCATAAATTACTTCTTCTTTTTTTTATTGGCATGTGGGTCTCATAATTAACATATTGCAATTGCAATAGGGGGTTCGTCACACAACACCCTCTATTACAATTGCATCTATTGAACTAAATCACACAATTACAAGTGAAATTTTACTATTTTAGTTAAATTTCACGTAATAAAATTGCATTAATATTAACCATTACAAACATGATGTGATGGACATGTTAATGCATAAATAATGTATATAACATAAACAATAATGTGTCTGCATTTATATTTATTTATAAGTTGCAGTGGAAGGAATCTAAAACCATTTTCCCATCACATCTGTAACTTGACTGACTTATGGCACTAATTCCTCCCACTTTCCATGCTTAGAATATTTTTTTTTCTGCTTCATTTTTTATACATTTTGAAATTACCAACCAATTTCTCCTTTAGGCAGGCACAAATTCCAGCCTTCCACTTCCACGCAATTAGATTTTTATAAATTATTCTTTTGACTTTCAAGTGCCATAAAAAAGCCCTCGTATCATATCTTGGAACATATCTTTAATCAAAGTTTTCGACTCTCACACTCCTTACCCATACCTTCACTCCAAGTTTTGCCAACAACTAACCCCAAAAATGCATTAGAAGAGTGTGTTTATATTTAGAGATAGGATGATGACCTATACTATTCACCAACAATTATATATGCACAAGGTCCACAGCCGGTTGACCAAAAAGTATCACACGCTGACATAGTAATACCGTATTATTCTATAATTTCTCCCAGAAAAATATGCTTCTATTGGCACCCAAAAACTCATATATAGTTGTCTAATTTTAATCAATCGACCAAAAACAAAAAAACAAAAAATTCTCTAAATAGAAAATGTTTTAAATAATAAGCCCAAGTGGGAGTATTGAAAAAATGTCAATACAATGGGCTTCAAATGTCCACAATCCATCGTCACTTCAAGCCCAGGCCTAAAACCCAACTACCCCTCACAAATCCGTCAACGTACCCAAAGAAAGAGAACCAGCATCAGAGAGAGGGAGAGAGAGACATGGAAGACGAACACAGAGGGCAAAACACAGAGTCAGACCAAAACAAAAACAAGAAGAAGACAGTGATAAAAATACCATCTTTTCAAGAAGTTCTTGAGAGTTCACAGTCAAAATCAACCCCACCGTCTCTGTTCACTCCTTCACAGAGCTTTTCTCAAGCCTTTGCCTTCGTCAAGTCCTCTGAGTTCTACTCGCCTCCTCCTCCCCCTGCCACCTCCTCGCAACCCCTACAGGCCTCAGACACCGGTAATTCAAGGTACTCTTTTACCAATTTCAATCCAAACCTTTTATGTCTGTGCGTGCATTGTGCTTCTGATGGATAATTTTATTTTGATTTAAGTTAGTTGCTGATTGTGGAAATGTGGGCTATTGTTTGTTTTCGTGGAAAATGGTTCATGGGAAAGTTCTGTGATTCTCACACTTTTCTGGTGGGTTGGGAGAGATAAAGGAGAAGTTTTCTTAATATTTCGGTTTCTTAAAAATGTAGTCTTTAAAATGTTTGAGTTTGCTAGTTCCATTTTCCTTACAACCAAACGAAGCAATTCACTTTGATTCGAAATGTTAGGCTCTTTATTATTTTCTGCCATTTTGGTTGCGTAAGAGCTCAGAAAACTGAGAGGTTGCCAACTTAAGCTAATTGAACCATTTCTCGTTTTAGAATATTTGTATTTTCTTTGCCTGGTATCTGACTTTGAGATGTTTTTTCGTGTTTTTTTCTTGCTTTAGCGAAACTGGTCAATCTGATGTTCCATCATCATCTGCTCCTACAAATGCTGTTGCATCATCATCATCACCTGCTCAGCGTCGAAATGCAATTATTGTGAGCCACAGACAGGTCCAGTATTTTTTTATTTTCGGTGCATTTTTATTGTAATATTTAAAATAATGGTGGTTCTTTCTTATGAGTTTAACTTTGGGTGGAGTAAAGTTCATGAGCTGGAGAAGTTTAAACTTTGCAGTGTGTGGCACAACTATATTTTGCAGTTCTACTATTTTCAACACTGTAAAATCTAATTCCTCCATGCAGAAGGGAAATCCCTTGCTCAAACATATTAGAAATGTGAGGTGGGAGTTTGCAGATATTGTTTGTGACTACTTACTTGGACAAAGCTCATGCGCTCTCTATCTAAGGTTTGAACTTTTCCACTTTGGTTATACTATTTTATATACATGTGAGCCTATAGTTAGGATGCTCTGCGGTAAATCTGTTTCAACTGTTATCTGAAATGTTAAGATGGAAAAGTGACTAACAGTTAGACATGCAAGATATGTTGTTGCCTTAACTTTTCCTGCTTGAAGTGTTTATAACCTCTGGAGTTGATGATGCCTACCTCATGCTCATTTTTATAAGATGAAGTTTATAAATTTAATTCGATCCATGTATAATTAGTTTTATATATAAACACGTGCGATGATCGGTTGCTGCAGTCTTCGGTATCATCTGCTGCATCCAGACTACCTATATTACCGTATAAGAGAATTGCAAAAGAATTTCAAGCTTCGTGTTGTTCTTTGCCATATTGATGTGGTAAGCCATTGTGCCAATCAGTTGTCTTTCATAACTTTAATAGTAATTTGTTTTTTCCTGGTTTATGTTTTCTTGCAATCCAGTTGGACACATGGACCAAGCAGTTCTTTTTTCATCTTTGTAATAGAAATTTGGTTACTGCTTTCATTGGTTTCAGGAGGATGTAGTTAAGCCTTTACTTGAAGTTACTAAAACTGCTCTGCTTCATGAATGCACCCTATTATGTGGTTGGAGGTACGTATATTTTATTTGAAACTGCAAATCAAATATCCAATGTAGGCTATGATTGCTTTTTTTTTTCCCTTCAAATATCCAAATCAAATTGTATTCACTATTCTTCTTGTAAACTTCTTCAAGAACATGAACTTTTTCTTTAACAGAGGTTGAACATCTGTTTGTAAAGGTGTTTAAGCATTTGGTTATTTCCCATTAGCTTAGTTTTTGTTGGTTTGTTTGACCCAGCTTTGCTTTTAATATGTTTCTATAGCTTGGAGGAATGTGGTCGCTACTTGGAGACCATAAAAGTTTATGAAAACAAGCCTGCTGACATTATTCAAGGTCAAATGGATACAGACTATTTATCACGGGTATCAATACAGTTGAGGTCAATTAATCAATTATGTTTTTCATGAAAGCCAAATTAGAGTCTTACTAAATTATTTGGTTAATATGTTAAATGTCAAGATTGCATTGTATGATGTACAGAATTATGAATTCCTTGAACTGATAATTGTCTATTTTATATTATAGCTAAATCACGCGTTAACGACAGTTCGACATGTTAACAAGACTGATGTTGTCACCCTTGGTACTACGTTTGGGGTATGGCTGCAGTTTTCACTGAGAATTTGTGTTGGCAGAGAATGTGCTTTTTGGTAATGTTGATATCAAGCTCATTGTCATGTGATTGCAGTCTCTTTCTCATATCATGGATGTTTCAATGGAAGATCTAGCTCGTTGCCCTGGGATTGGAGAGCGCAAGGTATTTGTGTTAATTTTTTTTTCCTTTTTCTTTATGTTCAGACCAACATTCGAAGTGAGACATAACAAATAATGGTTTCTTGTTTTTGTTTTTATTGGCATGCGCATTCAGTTTGGTGGATTGTGTTGTATATAGTAAATATTTTGGTTATGGCTTTAATTTCTCACCATACCTTGTGTATCAGGTAAAACGTTTGTATGATACATTTCATGAACCATTTAAGCGTGTGGTTGCCAGCTGCCCTGCTGTTCCAGAAACCTCTGCCCCAAGCAATGCTGAACCTGGTTCAGTGGATGAAGAAGATAAAGAAGCGGAGGAAACAGAAGACGAAAGCAAACGCAGGAAGAAAGAACCAGAATTGACTGTTAAGTCAGCCTTGTCTGTTGCCTTTTCCAAATATGCTGATAAAGTTAATAAAAAGAACAGCAAGACACAAAGAGAGGAAAAAGGAGAAACAAGTGCTGCCATGGAAGCTGAAACTGAAAAGAGATGAGATCAAAGTGATCAGTAACTTGTCCCATTCAATGCCATTGGGAAGAAGATGGCCAGCTTCATAGACTAGTGCATTAACAAGTTTAGTTGCTGTAGCTCTCTATTTGTGGGTTACAGTTCTGTTTTTGAGACCATAAAAGATCACGGTTAAGAAACTATTACACAGACGCTCTTCTTGTGTATCCATCTTTGAAGTTGAGGGGTCTCTTTTGTAACTTGGGTTTAGCTGTATCAAATCTTTTATTTTTATTTCTTGTGAAATGATCTTTTGGGTTATGGGTAAGCCAAATACCATGGGTAATGAACTATGGTTGCTTCAATCGTACTAATTTAATCATATCAAGTTTATGTTTTTGACTTGTATAATAATCATGTAATATTTGACTTGCATTGCCCCAAATGCCATGGTGAAAAAGACTAGAACTTTTTGAAGAAATATGACTAACGTGAAGTGGGTGGGTGTGCAAGAAGAGCAAGTTTTGATGGGTTGTCTCTTTCGTTTTTCTAAGTTGATTTTCAATGTCATTGGTGCCCACAAATATGTTCGGTCACAACGACCAAAGGAAATTATGAGTTCGATGTTTTAATGGGGTGTGCTGTTTATTTTGTATCATTTTCATTGGCATATCATACTAGGATTAATGAACATGGATCGGATTTGACATGATATGATGTGGTGTCATTTTCAAAATTAGGGATTATAAATACAACATATGGTCCTCCAGGAAAAGATGGTAACTTTCTCTTTCATGACTAAATTATCTTTGATGGCAACCAAAAAAGGTTACAGCTTTATCAATTCTTAATTTACAACAAAAGCAACGGTGTTCAAATCAAAGGCTTTGCATACAGGAGATAATCACAGCTAATTAACAATGCATGTCCTCTGTCTTTCTAACATCTTTGCATTTGCTGCTTGATCGTCTGCTTGTTAAGGTTCTGACAAAGAATCGAAAGAACTGGCTGTTTCTAATGTTGGTGTTTTCCCATGTGGTGTGTGAAGTTTGAAGCACATGAAACATTAATTTCACCTTTATGAATCAGCTTTACTGAAACTCAATCTATTATTGACCATTGGTTTTTCACTTTTCACTATATTTATGAAAACTTGACATGTTTTCAGTGAGAAGAATTATTGCCAAAGGCTGATCAGATATCTGAACGGTTTACTTCAAGTTGCTGTTTTCACATAGCTCCTAATACCTTGGACTTGTCATATGATTCTGAAATCTAGAGGAACCAGAAGAGCAGGAGTTTTTAACCAGAGGAATTAGAGAAGGCACAACATCGGTCATTAGAGGCCGATATTCAGCTTCTGGCTGCACGCACATTGCTGCAATAGCTGCCATCTGTAAAAAAGAACAACAATTTATGGTGGCAAGAAAACTTTAGAATCAATAATTTGCTGATGATGATTATAGGAAGCTAAGCTAACCTGAATTAGATCCCTCTTTGAGAATTGCCCCTGTAGAGCTGGGTCAACCATTTCCAATACCTTTTCTCTGTTAGTTAACCTTGGAAGAACCTGATAAATAATAGAACCAAAATCAATTGCTTTTTAGTTTGATGTATAGGGGCATTGTATGCTATGATGATTGAATATTATTGAGAGGAAAAAGTGATGAATTTATTCATTGACGGACCCATGCGACAAGGACATGCTCTCCGGGAGGCCGTTTGGTGTCTACCGGCACACGCCCTGTTAAGAGCTCTAAAAGAACCACCCCGTAGCTGTATACGTCTGATTTTGTAGTAAGCTTTCCTGTTGAGGCATACCTATATCACCAAACGTCCAAAACTCATTAAAAATAAAACATCACAGTCATTAAGTTGAGAAACTATTATACACACACACACACACACATGATGCTCTTCTTGTACTTCCATCTTTGAATCAAAGGGTCTCTTTGAAGTCTTCTTAATATGCAGTTTCTAAAATGGTGTTTAGGTATGCATTTTCATTTTCATTAACAGCCTTTTGCTTTGCCCAAGTAACACCTGAAGATGATACAAAAATGACAGCTAACATAGCAGTGATCTAGTATATGCTCCCATGTGCATGCTTCTATTGCTGTGCCTATATATTTGTTGGTATCTTAATGAGAATGAGAGGGGGTCCATTACAGATGATATAGCACTCACTCTGGTGCCAGATATCCTGTGGTCCCCAGCACACGCGTCGAAATCTGACCGTTGATTTTTTCAGAACCCATCTTGGCCAATCCAAAATCAGATACCTTGGCATGAAAATTTTGATCTAACAGAACATTGGTGCACTTGAAGTCCCGGTGTATAACAGAAGGGATGGCATGCTCATGGAGGAACTCAAGGGCCTTAGCACAATCAAGAGCTATCCTCAATCGGGTCCCCCAATCCAACGGCTGATGTTTGTTTGTGGAATGTAGATGGTGTTGCAGAGTACCATTAGGCATGCATTCAAATATGAGGAGCCTATGGTGCTGGTCAGCACAATAACCAAGCAGCTCCACCAAGTATGGAGAGTGCAATCGGCTTAGCAGATCCACCTACAATACAAAGATATGAGGCATTTGTTATTTTCATTTTTCTCACAAACCCATGTGCAGAAATTGTCTAGAGGCAATATTGTATTCTGCAATTCAAGGTCTAAACTTGTTTAATAAGACATGCACACATAAAAATGAAATAAAAAACTCCTTGATCAAAACATAACCAGGACTTAAGTCAACCCCCAATATTTGCTTATTTAAGTGAGGTTTAGATAACACACCAGGACTAGAAAGTGATAGCATTTTTTGAAAGATGTAGAGATAGAAAGAGACAAAAATCTATTATTGGCCTGTGTTGACAATACAAAGGCCTACATCTAATAATGACAAAAGGAAGAGAAGCAAACACAGAAACAGCAATTAACCAAAGAAAGGGGGGATTGAAAGCAGCTAATGGGAACAAAAAGTAATAAATGAAGTCACTCACCTCAACCCTGAAGGAACGCTCTCCTTGCCTTCCTTCCCTGTGCAGCATCTTAATTGCTGCCTCAGTCCCATCTCTGAGGACCCCCCTATACACAACTCCAAACCCACCATGCCCTATCACATTCGCTTCACTAAATCCATCAGTGGCTTCCTCAAGTTCTTTGTATGAGAACACTTGAACTCCTTTGTATTTGCTTGCTGCTGTGACTATAGGTGTCCTAATTGACCTTCCAGAGTTCCCTCCTTGGAGGCACCCACCCTTCACATCTGCCACTCAAAATTCAATGGACTTGTTGAAAATAATGTCTTTAATTACAAAAATACATCCTAGCAAAGATGAAAATGAAACACAAGATGGGTATGTTTTATTACCTGGGCTAGAATTAAAGGCCACTGTGGTTTGAGCAATGAACCTGCTACTTGTGTTGTTCATGATGCTGCTCTCTTTGTAAATATTGCCATTGTTTTTGGTGGACTTGACGACACGGCGAAGCATTAATATGATAAAGATTATAGCAAGGAGGACCATTACTGAAATGGTTGATATGATGATAATGAGAACAGATTTTGAAGGAAAAATGCCATGGTAGTGATGGTGGCTGTAGGGTTGAGAATGTGAATGATGATGTTTGTGAGTCTGGTTTTCTGCAGCAAGGCCTATTGGCCCTGCAGATGCAGCAGCAATGGTGTTAACTTCCATGAGCACAAAGCAATGCAAAAGAGAGAGAGAGAGAGAGAGAGAGAGAGAGGTGGGTTTGGTAATGTTGAGGTGGAAGTTTGTATATGGGTAGTGTTGGGAGGTTGATTTTGTTTCCCTTTTAAGTACGATGCCATCTCTCTCTCTCTCTCTCCCCAACTTTGGTAATTTTTCTTCACATGATTCTCCTCTCTCTCTCTCTCTCTCTCTCTCTCTCTCTCTCTCTCGTGAATACCAAATGGTTTTGTGTACTTCCTTCGTCTCTTCTTTTGTATTTTTCTAAGGAATTGTCTGTGTCTCTGTATAAGAAAATCTTGGAAGCTTTTGCACCATTTCATATCCATTCTCAACTCAAATCATTATTTCCTAATTATAAACAATCCACTGCATCCGAAAATTCCGTTTTATCACTATTCTTGACTTGCAGACAGGTGGATAATGACTTTTTTCACCAGTTGAAGTGGACTTGGCAAGTCTGCCAACTATACAATTGCCACCGAAAAATAAACAATAGAAAAGCAACTTCAAACCCAGGAACCGGGAGAATAAGGAGATAATGCGCAGATACTCGCAGGCTTGCCTACCATCAGTTTCTTCCAAGAGCAATGCTACGGTCAGTCGGGCACGCAGCAGGATACAAGACACCGACCTTGCATCCCTCTTCTTCCAATTAAGATGTCATAGGTGAATGAGAGATAAAACTGCTGTTTTGTGACTGGGTAACATTTTGCCGTTACATTTGGTACAAGTTAGGTGGTGCATAACATGGGTATGTAATAAAGTCATGTAGGGCCAAGTCGAAACAGTTAACACAATGCATCCCAAGTTATTCATGTCAAAGAGTCTCAACTAAGCAAACGAAATTACGTCTTCTCAATCTGGTATCAAAAGGATTTGAGATCCTGGCCAACCCAATCCTATTAATCTTCATCTGGTTCAACCGTGTACGATGATCAATCAATATCTATCACATTGCAAATCTTTTATTCAAATGGACATCATGCTAGTAATAAAATTTTACAATTCCATCAGTCGTCTGCAAAACCAAGAAACCGACTGACAAGCTTGGCGACAGGTTTGGCATCACCTGGGTGGTATGGAATGAGGGAATCCAAATTCATGTCTGCTATAACACGCTGAAGTGTCTGCGGACGAGCACAGTACAAATGCTTCCTGTCTGCTAGTTCCTCTGCCAACTCACTTTGATGGTTGTCCATCAAATCTTCATTCACCACCACAATTAACGGCTTACCATGCCGCAATGTCTCAAATATGCTCCCTGACCCTGCACCACAGTAGAATAATATTCACATAAAACATCAAGCCCATGATATATCAAGGATCAAAGTAAATAAAAATGCCTCACAATTAACAAAGTTTTACTTCAGCAATTCATTTGAAATTGATGAATTTTAAAAGCCAAGGGAAAAAATACAACTTTCCGAAAGATAAGAAGACGCTATCCGAATTATACCTGCATGACTAATCACAAGAGATGCTGCCCTCAGATGGTCTGCAATGCTTGATGAAAAAGTAAAGTATTCTACAGCAAGGGTCTCATCTCCTCCTTCAGACTGCATTATAAAATAAAATAAAACGGCTCATGCATTCTTTAAACCTCCACTTTGCAACCCTAGAGTTTGCTACTTCACAGTAGATTGTGAGCAGCAGAAACTAACCACAATTCATGCAGAGTAACTAGAACCAGAGAAAGAAAAAAAAACCTTGGTGGGGATATAAGATCCACGGCCCATTTGAATGAGAAGCTGGGTATACCCTCTCCTTAACAACTCTGCTTTAACCTCCTGAGTATCCACTGCTCTAATAAGAGCATCAAAAGAAGTAGTTCCAACAGTTACAAAAACTGTCTTCTTCGACTTCACAGTAGCCTCAGTATCTCCCATCTACAATCATGTAAATTTCCCCAAAGCACAAACTACTTAACCCTATAGCAACCACAAGCAACAAGAAACACCTATCACAATAAAAACAATTAAGGAAGTAGGAATTATGAAAATAGGGTTCTTCTCCAAAAACAAAACAAAAAACAAAATTGACAAAGAATACGCACAACAAGAAATGCAAAATAGCAATTTGTTAAACCAAATCTGATAAATTTTACTGAAAAATACCAACTTTAAGCCGTTCAACAACGCCATCAACATAAGAAATATAAATGCAGGTCTTAATCATACACAAGATCGATAAAACTCACAAACCCAACGTTTACAAACTTACTCGGCAGTGAATTCCGACGCAAAAATAACAGTTCCCATCAAACTGACTCAATTAATCACAAGAACCTGATTAAGTTAATAAAAAAACAAAAATTTGACGGATTATTGAAAAGGCTACAGACCTTGAAGAAAAGGCTAATGGGCTTGTGCGACTGAAATTGAAGGGGACGGTTGGGATGGGAGTACGTGGCGGTTAATCGAGGGTTCTGAGCTCTCTCAGCTCTTCTCGTGCCCTCCCAAAGTGGTGACTAATCGACTCTAAGCTTCGCCATGGCCGGTCAGACTGACAGTTTGAGAAGAAGAGAGAGAGAGCGCCGGAGGGTGAAGAAGGAGAAGGCACGGGCTTTGCTCGAACACGTGTGATGGAAACCGCACGTGAGAAGTGAGCTCCGTTTTAAGTTGGGTCTTGGGCTTATGGCATATTTTTCAATGGGCTGGTCTTGTGTCCAACTCACACGACATTCTATTAAATAAATGGGTCTTTGCTGTCATTGATGTTGGTTCTTTCAATTGGTCCGTTTGAGTTTTCTTGTGGGTTTGTTTTGTAGAGTCATTCTGTAGTGAGGGTCCTATCTCTTAACCGTTTATTCAAACTAACTAATATTCAACGACGAACTAATTTGATCCAACAATTAAAAGATAAGGCCCTCACTATAGAATTCTACTTGTTTTGTATTGTTTGTAGGCTTTGTTATCTTTTATGGGCGATGGGCCTTGTGATCTTTGTTCTACGTTTTGGGTCATTTCATTTCGATTTAAACACTGGCCCAAACCCCTTTGGGTCTCTTTGTAACACTATGTTCCTTGAACATAAAGAGCACAGTTTTGTTCTCCTGTCTAAGAAATTGTGTATGGCTTTTTACAACGACAATTGAATTGTCCTGCTCCTGAGTGTGTTGTTGTGTTTGTGTTGTGTTTGTGTGTTGTGTGGTGTTGGGGTGTGTGAAGGGTTCAAAGGACAAAGTGAGGGAATATTTGCGACACAAGTGAGCATATAAGAAGGAAAAGGGGAGTGCTTTGGGTTGGGATGTTTAAACGAGAACAAAGGAGGGGGACAAAAGTGAGGCTCTTCAGTCTTGATTTGAAGTCTAAAGGTGAAAAAGCAATCACCGCCTGCGACTATGACCATACTTACTCTTGGGGATTTGAATCTTTGTATTGGATTTTGTAACATTTTCTCTTTTTTTATTTTCTTTCTTGTGATTTGGGACATTAGTTTCCATTCCCAACATACAATCGCAGTTAGTGCACTTCACACGCATAGAAACAACTAGACAAAGCTTCAGTTCAATTTCAACCAAGTGGGTTTTGACACATTTGGCTCTTGCATGTTGAGTGTGGTAGGACAGAGAGGGATGATTGGAAGCGAGAGTGTGTGTGTCAATCAGTCACATCTCCATCAATTGCGCAACGAGACAAACCAGAGATTAACAGTCTTAATTATTTTACCGGATGTTGTTTGTATGAAGAAAAGTCAGCTGCGTGCTTGGATTGAAACATAAGCATTATGGATTTACCTTTGATTTGGATTTGAAGGATGATAATATTTTATTTGAGTAAAAACAGAAAATGAGTGTTTTGTTACTTTTCCGTCGTTCACTGGCACCAACAAGACATATGGCGTTTAATGGATCAGAAAATGCGTGATTCACTTTACCTCCATCAAATCCAACATAAAGGAGAGGAGTGAGAGCCTGTGACCAGTCCAGAGGTGTGACTGTTCACCGACTAGGGTTGTACCATAATTTTGGATCCCAACCCACCAGCCAACCATCTCCATTGTCCAGTCCATTAATATTTTATCGTGTCTGGTCTGGTCTCTGACCTAATTGTCTCCTCCTTTCTCGGGGACCCAGCTGACCTGACCTGAGCTACTTAGTCTCAGAACCAAACAAACCCAGCTGTGTAGAAATCAATCAACAGCTGCCCATTTGGCCATATTTCCCTGTAACATAATCTCTTTCAAGCAACTCCGATTCCACATTTCTTTTAATAAGAGTACAATCTTCTCAAACTTCATACCAAAAACAGAAAAATGGGTTTTCATTCACTATCATCTTCTCAAACTTCATACCAAAAACAGAAAAATCGGTTTTCATTCAGCAATTCAATCCAATATCTCAAGGACGACTTCACTTCACACAAGATTGCAATCTTCCCATCTGAATCTGATCATAACAAAAGAAATAAAATTGATTCATATATATATGGTACAGATTTCTGTCATAGGAGCTGGACAGTTTAGGCACGCGCAGGGGCGGATCCACATAGGGAACAAAAGGGGTCAATTGACCTCTGCAAGCTCAGAATCCACCATTGGAGGTGAAGATGTTGACCCCTGCAAATTGCCCATAAACTGTTCAAGAGGGCGCAACACACCTTTTACTTTAATTTATTTTTATATTACTTCATTTACTTAAGTTTATAATGTAAATTCAAATAAAAATATTAGAAAATCAAATTCCCACCAAATCAAAATATGAAAAATCAGTTTTAGTGCAAAATACGATTTAAGCTAAAAATGATGGTTTATTAAGTCAGTATATACTTCATAATAAAATCCCATAAAATCAAGTTTTCTTATTTGATGTGTAAGGAATAAAAGCCGCCCAAAATTATCTTGAGAAAATGATTATTCTGAAAAACAATTTTTCATACTAATTTTTTGATTTATTATCACATTCTTAGATATATTTCTAGTGTATTGCAATGTGTGTCTATTTTTTGAAGTTGATGCAGTTATCTTTGATAATGAACATGAGTATTTTATATGGTTTTATCTATTAACTATGAATTAGAGTATTATCATTTTATTTCAATGGGTCTATTTTGTATAATTTGTTTTTTAACCTTTTACATGTTGACCCCATAATGAAAATTAATGGATCCGCCACTGGGCATGTGTATAGTCTGTAGAGAAGCCAAAGGGTTAAAGTAAGGAGAAAGCTAATAACCTTCTCTCCAACCTTTTCTTTTGAACCTTCTCCTTTTTTGGCTTGATATGTGTCATTCTCTTTACACTTAAAACAATGTCATTAATATATTATACGAACTAACTTTTGATTTCCAAGTTTACCTTTATTAAATGTATTTAATTTATCCAAAAAAAGTTCACAACTTTATTAATTTTTTTTAACGTTAATTTTTTATTTAAGAAAATGTCTACTTTAAAAAAAAAAAGGAAATGTCAATTTTTTTTAACGTCAAATTTAGACTTTTTAAAGAAATTAAAAAAAGGACATTTCCTCTTTCTTTTTTTTAAGCAAACATTTTCTTTAAAAAAATTAATTGACGTTAAATTTTTTTTTTAATAAGATGCTAAGAAAGTTGTGAAATTTTTTTAGATAAATTGAATACATTTAATAAGGGTAAACTTGGAAAGCAAAAGTTAGATTGTATAATATATTAATAACATTGTTTTAAGTGTAATGAGAATGACACATGTCAAACAAAAAATAGAAAATGTTAGAGAAAAATTTGCTAGCATTCCTCTTGGGTAAAGTGGCTTGAACTCGAGCCATTATGAATGAACCATATAAAAGCAAATCATCCTGCCCTTTGCTTTTAAGGATTCGAATGTTGCATACGTTCACAGGCTTCAACAAAAAACTATAGCTAGATATTTTGGTCCGTACCCTATATTGATTCGAACCATAGAGTAGTGCAGGAAAAAAAAAGTGTACGTATAATTTGAACCAGAGCTGCCCAACATCACACAAATGGAGATAAAATATTTGGTTGCTTTCCTTGTAATCTTTTGATCTCCAATTATTAGAGGAGATTTGCAGTCAAAGTTTTGGGTTGGAAAGCCATTTTGTGAGCTACCCTATGCTGCATAAAGCATTTTAATAACGTTAAATTATTTATCTCTGGGTTTCTAACTTTGTGGCAAGTGGTGGGGTTCCTTTTTGTCACCATTCAAATATCTTTTACAGATCAAGAATATCTTGCTTCTTCTTTTCTGTTTTTTTTTGGTTTTCCTTCTCAAAGGTCTCAAAGATAAAATAAAGAAGCAATGAGGACAAGAATTTCTTCACGGGTTAGGCTTTTAAGGAGGATGACAAACAATAATGTTGTTGCAAAAGAAGGGTTCAAACTCAGAGAGAGATCATTTTGATTCTTCTTCTTTCACATCTAAGAGAGAGAGAGAGATATATATATATATATATATATGGTTTAGCTTTGAAATGCTCCGTTGCTTCTGGCAATTGGCCTTATCTGTGAATTGACCATTTTACTCAAATCGATCTCTCAAATAATTTCACAGTCGAAAATGGTCGAACTGACAGCCATGCTAGTGTCCAAACTCACTGACATGCTTCACAAAATATAATAGATGACACTCTTTCAGCAACTGCATCATTGCATGAGCTCCATCTTTGCCACGCTCATGTTTAAGTTTAACCATAAAGATTCAAATTGTACTTGATAATACACTTAAGATAAAAGTTTTTGCATCCGTGGGCAATGGGGGTTTCATGATTCAAAAGTTAGATGGGCAAAACTTAAATACTAAAATTTATTGGCAGAGCCAATGCATGCCCAGAATGGGCACTAGCCCCTCTTAAATATGGTTGTATAGACAACAATATGTTAGTGATATTGTAAAAATATTTTAAAATTCCTCACAAATTCTTAAATGCTCACTATTTTCTTTGTTTCTCTTTCATTCTCATGTTTAAATTTCTTTTGAATTGCATGTATTTGTAATCATAAAAGAGTGATAGGTTATTCATACAAAAACATAAAAAGATACACCTAATCAATGAGGACGTAATGAGCCTACCCTCAAATACATCTCTATCCATAAATAAAAGTTCCACAAATGCACAAATAAACACTAAAACCAAAAATAAATGCAATGCAAAATAGAACAAAACTATCGATGTTTAGAACTCTTAAATTCTTCAATTATCAATGCATTATCGATATTATTAAAAAACTCTCTTTCATCCCTAATTAAACCCTAGAATACTCAATTTTAAATTAAAACTATAATTAAAGATATATAGAAAATGGAGGGAGAAAGAAGGTAGCTAAAAGATAGAGAAACAAGCTGATGTCGCATATCCAAAAGAGAATGAGAGAGAAGATACGATGTAGGGTTTGCTTTTAATTTTTCTAATTTTGGAATGGACTTATAACATATGTAGAGTATTTTATATTAAAATTTTTTTGGGTTGGGCAGACACCCAACCAACCCTATGCATAAGTTAGGCGAGTTGATTAAGACGGTAAATCCGTCATTGCACCCAAATTCTAATTTTCATTTCAGTTATATTAAATTAATTTAAAGTAATTTATTGCTTAAAAAAAATTAAAGAAATAAAAAAGAAAGGATATCCAAATAATTTATGGAAGGGTACTTGCAATAATTTATTGGGCTTTAATAATTGTAAGAGCATTTGAGTGATGGGAGGCCCGGATATAAAGGCCCAGTGCTAGGGCCCACCACTGCTCGTGATCCCAGAGAAGATGGGGCCCATGGCTATTGATCTTTCGTCTAATCATGTCTGGCCTTGTTTCCAAAATAAGTTATTAAATCACTTTCTGCGTCCCATAAAATTATAAAGCCATGTACTTTAGCAATCCTAATAATGTAACACAGGGAGAGCCGTGTCCAGCCAAGCAATCGCCAGCTGTTGCTTTACAATTCGTGCAAAAAGTGGTACAAAATCATGTTTAAGCTCTGCTTAAATCTTGCTTAAGTCTGGCTTAATTATGATTAATTATGCTTAATTTGCTGCTTTAGCGTTGTATTAGTTTCTACTATGTTGTGTTAGAATATAATAGTATTTTTTTAATTGATGTTTTCCTAGTGAAAGGAGGAGGCAACTATTCAGTGTTTCCTTTTTTTTAATTGGGTTTCCCTGGAAAAAGTAGGAGGCAACTAATCTGGGCTGAACTAGGATTAGTCTTTAAGTTTGCTGTTTCTTTTATCTTTTCTAAATAGGATTAGTTTCTGTATAGCTATATAAACCACTGCATTGTTGTTCAAGTTGTACTATTCAGAAGATATTCGATTTATAAATCTGGTCGCGGTACTTGGAGCTGGAGCAAACGGACCGCTCTCACTCTCTCTCTCTCTCTCTCTCTCGCTCTCTTTCTTGCTTTAAAATAATATTGCTTGAAAAGAGAGTGCACCCCTCGAACGGAGGAAGAAAGCTAAAAGATAAAGTGTTAGAGTTCTCTCTCACCGACCGCCTTTGAGCTCTCTCTCTGCATTTATATCCTCAGCTCACAATCTCAAGCAAACCTGTTTGCTCTCTCTCTCTCTCTCATAGACAATGAGTAAGCTGGAGGTTATGGATCTTGAGGTACACTTTTGTTTAAACTATTTTCGTTCATAATGTTCTGAAACAAAGCTATGCTGTACTGTTCCGCTGTTAGTTTCTTTCTTACTAATTCGGCACGAACAGTGACTCAGTCTCAGTTGGTCTTCTGGGTTTTTTATTTTTATTTTTTACTTGCAGAGATCGGTTTACAAAGTAAATATTTGCTGCTTGGGCTGTAAGGCGAAAGTTAAGAAAGCGTTGAAAATTGAAGGTATGTTCGTTTAATTTGTTACCCAAAAAAACTAGTCAGTATTTTTTCATTAATATTAGCTTAAAGTACTGATCTTTATGCTGTGAATTTCAATGGGTTAAGTAGTTTTTGTGGCTAATTGTTTGAATGGTCTTGTTGTCCAGGTGTGTACAACAGCTTTATAGATGCAGATCAGGGGATGGTGACTGTGATTGGGAATTTTGATCCAATCAGATTCATTAAGAAACTTAAAAAAGAAGGCAAACATGCCGAGCTTATGGTTGTTCAAAGGGTTTCAAACAACAACCAAGCTCAGCTCAACAATCAGATGCCTGCTGGGAAAGGTGGAAAAGACAACAAATCTCAGAAGCCAAAGGGTGGCCAACAACAACAACAAGCAGCACAGCAACAGCAGCAGCAGCAGCAGCAGCAGCAGCAATTCAAAGGGGGTAAAGCCATGAAAATGCCTCCTCCCAAGGACCAGAAATCTGTGAAATTCAATTTGCCAGAGGATGAATTTGGTGGGAGTGATGGTGAGTTTGATGATGAATATGACAGTGAGTTTGATGATGAGGAATTTGATGAGTTTGGTGATGAAGATTATGATGATGATGATGATGAACAAGAGTTTGGGCATGGCCATGGCCATGGCCATCACCAGCAGCAGCAACCCAATAAGATGATGCCAGGTATGATGGGTCCACAAGGGCCTTATGGGAAGATGATGCCAACCATGGGAAATGGCCATGGGCCACATGGGCCTGCTGGAATGATCAATATGCATGCTATGAATGAGAAAAAATTAGGTGGTGGTGGGGGGGGAGGCTCTGCCAAGAAAGGCGGGGTTATTGAATTTCCTGTGCAATTGAAGGGCAAGAGTGAAAATAATGAAAAGAAGAATGGCAAGGATGGAAAGAAAGGGGGTGGAAATGGCAAAGGAGGGGAGAAAAAGAAAGGAGAAAAAGAAAAAGAAGAGTGCAAGAGTGGAGGTGGCTTGGTGGGTTGGCTTAAAAGAAGTACTAGTATAGGAAGGGGTGGTTCCAAAGGAAGTGGTGATGGGAAAAACAATGGCAAGGGCAATGGAGGGAAAAAGGGTGGAGGCAAACATGATGGGGCCCGTGAACTTAAGAAGGGGAAAAATGATTATCATGAAATTGATGTGGTGCTCAATCATGGCAAGGGAGGGAAAGGGGGCAAAGAAATCAAAGAAGGCAAAGAGGGGAAGGGAAACACTGGAGGCAAAGGAGGCGGCAAAGGAGGAGGCAATGGAGGAGATATGCATCAAATTCAAATGGGCCAAAAGGGCCAGATGGTTCCAATTGGGCAGATGGGTCAAATGGGCCAGAGGGGTCCAATGGGTAATTATCCAATGGGGCAGATGGGTAATGCTCCAGCAGTTCAAGGATTGCCTACACCATCGATGATGAACGGTGGATATTATCAAGGGATGGGGCCTGCTGGAAACCCTTATAACCAGCAGCAGCAGCAGCAGCTCCAGCAACTACAGCAGCAGCAGCAGATGCAGCTGCAGCAACAACAATACATGGCCATGATGATGAACCAACAGAGAGGCAATGGCAATGGCAATGGCAATGGCATGTACCAGCCCATGATGTATGCCCGGCCACATGCCCCCATGAACTTCATGCCTCCTCAGCAAATGCCATCTTCAAATGATCCTTACTCCAACTATTTCAGTGATGAGAATCCTAATGGGTGCTATCTTATGTGAACAAGTAAAAAGTAGCTAGGGTTTCAGTCATGTTTGTCTTTTTCTTTTTTTCTTCTTAGGATTATTGTATTTCTGGTGCGCTTAATGCAAACACTACGGAAGTACCATTGCTTATGTTACTTGGTAATATGGGTAAATTTTGCTTCTTGGTAAATGTATATTAACCCTAACCTAATTCTCCCATTGATGATTTGTTTAACCAATTTGTTTAGGATCTCAATTAAAATACTGTAAGGGTTGCCAGAATGATTCAGGGGAAGGCACTTTAATCAAGGTGCATCATGTGTGGGTTTCAACTTGGAAATATTTAAAGCATCAATCTCTATCTGTCTGTTGAAATTATTAGGTCCATGATTTTTCTCCTTTTGACTTTCTCACCAGTCTCCACCAAGTCCGGATTGGAAAGGTAGGAAAACGTGACTTCATTGGCATTATAATTTATTTACAGAGACAGAGCTATCAGAAACCAGAATTGAAAAAACAGAGCCATCAGTATTTTTCTCACCTGGTGGGGTATGAGATAAAGAGGGTGTTATTTAAGCCTCACCAAACCAAACTAAATATATGGGCTTTGCCTTTGCGAGCCTTTCATATTGACCCAATCTGAACAGGCCTAAAAATCTTAAGTAAGCTTCAGTTTCAGATATGAGGATTAGTCTACCGTTACAGAAAAGAACTGGTTTTGAAATTCATGTCGGTAAGCTTTGTACCTATGTGGTGGAGGCTGCCTCTGGATGAACTTAGAAACTGTGTTATTGCAGAACTAATTCTGCTTTATAAACCATTAAACATGATCCCTATCAGATTAAGAAAGATGATTAGGGTGATTTGCTTTCCAAATGCAAAACTAATGCCGGTTTCGAGGACCGGCCAAACCCAGTGTCAATTTTTTTTTTGTTTGTTACTTAAAGCACAAGGTACTGCATGTCTGGGGCAGCCCATTGAAGCCCTTCCTCACTGCCAAGTACCCCTACATACTCACCAACTCTTTGTTCTCATATCAAGATTATGCTCACCTCTTTTGCTTTCAAATCCCTCAAGCAAGGACACAATGCCAAATTCTGAAATGTCCATATGCAAGCCACCCCTCTATAAATTGCAAGCTCTGCCTCTCTAGTTCTTTGCCAATTCCCACCGTTTCATCTTCCTATCTATACCAAAACTTGTTCATTTCCAAATTCCAATTGCATCCATGGCTTCTTTCCTTCATAATTTCCTGCTCTTCTTCTGTTCTTTATCTCTTCTCATTCTCACATCTTCAGCAACCAAATCCCAAACCCAAGTCCCCATCAGACCAAACAAGCTTGTCCTCAAAGTCCAGAAAGATAGGGCAACCAATCTCCATGTGGCCCAAATTCACAAAAGAACCCCTCTAGTCCAGTTCCCCTTTGTCATAGACCTAACTGGGAGGTTCTTGTCCGTCAATTGTGAGAACCAATACACGTCATCAACTTACAAAGCCCCTGATTGCCACTCAAGCCAGTGTGCTAGGGCCAACAGCCACACGTGCCGCACGTGTAGCTCTTCGAAAACCAGACCAGGCTGCCATTCCAACGCTTGTGGGCTCTTGACCACGAACCCTGTGACCCAACAAAGTGCCCTGGGTGAGCTCGCAGAGGATGTCCTCAAAATCCCATCAACCCAAGTCTCAAGCCCTGGCCCAATGGTCACACACCCCCAATTCCTCTTTGCTTGTGCACCTTCCAATATCTTGCAAAAGGGGTTACCCAAAAATGTTCAAGGTGTTGCTGGTCTAGGCCACTCCCCAATTTCCCTACCATACCAACTAGCTTCCCACTTTGGCTTCCCACCAAAATTTGCAGTGTGCCTCACTTCCTCACCTGGCAAAAATGGCGCCGTTTTCTTCGGTGAAGGACCCTATTTCATGAAGCCGGGCATCGATGTGTCACGCCAGTTGACCTATGCCCCATTGACCATAGGCCAGCAAGGAGAGTACTACATCAATGTTCAATCAATTAAAATCAACAACGCCATGTTGCCTTCGATCCCAAAAGGTGGGTTTGGTGGGGCAATGATCAGCACCACAACTCCCTACACAACTCTCCAAACCCCAATTTTCAGGGCACTCAATCAGCTCTTCATGAACCAGCTTCGAGGGGTGCCTCGTGTGAAACCTGTGGCACCATTTGGGGCATGTTTTGACGCAAACAGAATCCCTACCAGCAAGATAGGGCCTACGGTTCCCAGCATAGACCTTGTTCTAGACAACAAGAAAAACATCATGTGGAGAATTTTTGGTGCAAACGCTATGATTCAGCCACGTCCTGGCGTGATGTGTTTGGCGTTTGTGGACGGTGGGATGAGGCCTAAGGCTCCAATTGTGATTGGGACCCAGCAGTTGGAGGATAATCTGCTGCAGTTTGATTTGATGAACTCAAGGCTGGGATTTAGCTCTTCCTTGTTGTTCCGCAGGACCAACTGTGCCAACTTCAACTTTGGCACCTCCTCCACCAGCAATGATCCGTAGATTGTGAACCCTTTTGAGAGATGATCTGAGGGTTTTTGTGTATGTTGATCAAATAAAATATGTACTTTAAAGCTTTGTGCTTGATGTTGTCTCTAATTAAGTGACGGTATAAATAAAACTTTTATTTAATTATATTGTTGTTTATGTCTTTTTCTTGCTCGAAACTCAAATTTAGTACGTACATGCATGACATGCTCAAATGGATTCCAAACCTAATGAACAATTGGGTAAATGGTCCATTTCATGGATCTTAGTACTAAAAAAATGACCTTGAATTGTAGATTACTGTTCTCATGTTCGAACTTTCATGGCACCTAAATAGTAGTGTGTTTGAGAACCTCTCATTCCCCGTGTAGTTTAGAGTATCGCTTGTACTTAAAAAAACAATCTTAATACATAATCTGCTAAATATATAAAAGAGGCTTGAGGTGACTTGGACTAGCGTTGCCATTGCCAGGCCAAGGCTTGTTTCGGGCTAAGTTTATTTTTTGGGCCTGTACCCCCGGTTTTGTTAACTATAAAAATAAATTCAAACCCAATGATATGTTGTTGGGTCCAAATATCATTTTTTTAAAAAGGAAATATAATATTTAGCCAATTAAAGAAAATACAAATTTATAAATAAACCCAATCCTAGACATGTATTTATAAAAAAACCCAAGCACTATTTAAACATAGAAACACACCCAAAATCAACCCCAAAGTCAACTTTTTGGGTGTGTTTATAAATGGGTTTTGAGTGTGTGTAATGATGGGTTTTGGGTGTGTTTATAAAGTGTTTTGGGTGTTGGGTTTTTTTATAATTTCAACCTCCATTTTGGGTGTTTTAGTGAAACTCCCTAAAGAAAAAGCCTTCCTTTGAAGAGCCCAGAGCCCAAAGAGCCAGGTTTTATTGTTATTTTCCGGTAGAAGCAACAGTTAATAATTAATACAAATTTTTTTTTTTCAAGAAATAGTATAACCGTTCGGTTATACTCGTTTTTACTAATTTTTTTAAAAATAGCGTAGCCTGTAGGCACTTTTTTGACACGTGGGGCCTAGGCGCTGGCGGGTCTTTTATATATAGTGTAGCCGCGCGGCTATACTTGGGTTTTCACTAAATTTTTTTGGTAAAAAATAGTATAGCCGATCGGCTGTACCCGGTTTTATTTGTATAGTATAGCCGCTCGGCTGTACACGTGGGCGCTTAATCATTAGTTGATTGTTTTGTTTTTCACAAATAGTATAGCCATGCTGCTATAATAGATTTTTATAAATTTTTTTTAAACAAATCGTATAGCCGATCGGCAATGTATAGCGTTTTTACTAGTTTTAAAAAAAAATAGTATAGCCAAGTGATCCAATGGTTTTACATGCAACTTCAAAATTCCCAATTTTTTATATTGATTTTTCTCATGTTCAATATTTGGAGAAATTATGGAATAGAATAAATAAAGAATTACAGACATGGTAAAAACCAGATCAGCAAAAATTGCCAAGAAGATTAAAAATGGAGGGCCCCACCTACGTGTGTTTGTCCAATGACTGAGCAGTATAGCCAAAGTGTGACACTCTCTCATCCCCTTACTTTCTCTGTGATTTGATTATTATAAGTACAAACAAAACAAAACCTCCCAAGTCTTCGTTTCTTCAAACCCTCCAAAAGAAAACGCACATTTTCTCTTTCTTTCTTTCTCGGACCAAAACCAGAACAAGCAGAAAACGAAGCAAAAAAGCCCAGAAAGGAAGAAAGAAAGAAGATGCATTCGTTTGGGTACAGAGCCAATGCTTTGCTAACGTTCGCAGTCACAATTTTGGCCCTCATGTGTGCCATGGCCTCTATCTCTGATAATCTCAACCACCCCACTCCCACTTCCCAAGTCCAGGTCCTTTCTCTTCTCTTTGGTAGATCTAGGATTTAAAAAGCTTGAATTTTGTTTTGAATTAGAATACCCAGTTCGATTTTATTTATGATTTTGCTTGTTGGGTCTATTTAGGTGCTGAACATCAATTGGTTTCAGAAGCAACCAAATGGCAACGACGAGGTACATTTCTCTAATTTATAGTTTGATGGGTTATATGTGAAATTGTTATGTATATGAATTCAATTTGGTATTGGCTTAAATGGGTTTCTTTGATTCTTCTTTATAATATAGTTTAAAGACTGCCACTTTGGGATTTATTTTCTATAGCAAGGGTCTTCGGGTTATTTTCTACATCAAATTTCCATGTGTATGCATTTGTGTTTGTATTGACTATGTATGGATGTACAGGTTTCGGAGCAAAGCTCTGAAATTTCCGGGTTTTGTGGTCTAGTTTCAGTAAATCATTTGGTTCTTTGATCTAGGTGTATTTTATGTGTTGAAAGTAAAATATAAAACATTAATATTACGATCCTGGAGAGCTCAATCACCTCTTTCCACATATTGGTGTGAGCTCATTGGCTGTCGGTTTATAGATAATCAAGTACTAAGATCACTGTCCTTCAGCCTTTTAAAAGATGTGGTATTTCTCCTCAGTCGAAAAGGTGGTCCATGATTTGACTAGTTATAGGTGGTAGTTGCTGGTGTTGAGCTTTGTGACACATATAAGAAAACAGAATGGGATTGTGACTATAGGAAAACAGGTAAAAGAAAATTAGAGGCCTTTTTATTTTTGTTTGGTGATCAAACTAAGAGGGCATTTACTAAAGCTCGAGGTTATAATAAACTTGGTATTGGCAGCAGTTACAACTGCTCCTGAGCTGCATGAACTGTTTTCCCCTTCCAAGTTGGTTATGCTTTAGATCATCAACATTGGATTTTCCCTTTTGATTTGTAGAGACTAGTAGATGGGTGATTAAGAAAGGAAGATTATGTGTATGGAAAGAATCACAATTTGATATGAACTAAAGTGATTTTCATTTTATGCAGGTCAGCATGACTATGAATATATCAGCAGACTTACAGTCATTGTTTACGTGGAACACAAAGCAGGTTTGCAATTTTACAAATTTGTGTGTGTATGTGTTAGCAGGAATTCACAGTTGCATACATTTTTTTGAGTATATCTTGTGTGTTCTTCAAGTAGTATTTGGGTACACTGCGAGGAAGTTTTGTGATAATCATGGGTTTGAGAGTAAATGTAACTTTCATGCACAGGACTAGAAGCCAATAAACAAAAGTAAAAACTACTCCTCATTTCCGTTGAGGAAGTGTCTTTGTTGTTGTGTTTTGCTGCATTTTCTTTGGAGTGTCTAGTGAAATTCAAATTATGCAGAACACAATAAGACAATTGAAGCTCTTTTCTGATTTTCCTGCCAGTTTATGTCATGCAAGTATGATTCATAACCTTGACGCTAATACCTTCTACTTTTATCTGCAATGTGTGACAGGTTTTTGTTTTTCTAGCCGCTGAGTACGGAACCCCAAAGAACTCACTGAATCAGGTAAAGCTACTTTGGATCTGGCTGCACATTTGCTTTTGGAGTTATATTCTTACAATTGTATTTCTGCTTTAGTTATATGTTTTGGTTTTGCTTTTCTTGAGATAAACATGAGGTTGTCATCCCTAGGGCTTGTTGACTGTACCAGTGCTTTAGTTGCAGGTTACATAAGTCGTTGCTCTCTATTTTACAGATCTCTCTGTGGGATGGGATCATACCAACCAAAGAGCATGCAAAGTTTTGGATTCATACTTCAAACAAGTACCGTTTCATTGATCAGGTATGCCGTCTTCATGAATTAGTAGAGTCCCTTCCATTCTTTGCATATGTTTCTTGGCGTTATGAAGAATAAAGATCTAGTGTAGTTTAGTGGTTCAATAGGAAATTGACAATCTTTATGATTATTGCTTGTGTAGGGAAGCAATCTCCGGGGTAAAGAATTCAACTTGACGTTGCACTGGCATGTGATGCCCAAGACTGGCAAAATGTTTGCTGACAAGATAGTCATGTCTGGATATCGCTTGCCACAGGAATATAGATGAGGTTGTGTTTGTATTTGTTCTGTAGCTTTAGCCTCTCTTAACAAGGAATGATCATTGCCAAATTTATAGGCTTAGAAACACGGAAGGCTTTCAGTTCTGATAAGAAAAAAGAAATATATTGAGATTTGCTCGGATTTTGGATTCTCTATAACTTGGTTTGCTAATTCTTGCATTGGATTGGAGTTACTGTAGCGTCTTGCAGTCCGTAGCCTCTGTATCCCCCAAGGAAACCCCTCTGTAACCCAGTTTTTTCTTTATTTAAAATTTTAAAAATTGTTTTAAATAACGAATAAATTTGAAGGGTATTGGAAGGTTGGGACAAATTTAGTGGGTGTGTTAATGTTAATTAATTTCCCTTGCCGGCCGCAAGTAATGAATTTTATGTGGACAGGCCTAGGGGGAATTGGAAACGGATCATATTTCCACATTGCTTTTGGATTTCGAGAGTTTCCGTTATTGTTGATGATAAGATTACAAATGTCCCTATAAATTAAATACAGACTTGTTCTCTTCAATTCACACTTTGCCCTCTCTACGCAAGATGAAGCACACACTGACCATGGACATGAGGTCGAACCCAGTTGTCCCTGCTCTCAATGCTCCCAATGCCACCACTCTTCCACACCACAAAAGCTGCGCCAAATGCACCCCTTCATCCATCAAAACGCAAAGTAAATACAACCTTAGAGCAACACTCCTACTCTCACGAACCATCCCGTCCCGAAAGAGAAAACAAGAACCGACACTGCCACGAGAACAAGAACACGGACACGAATATGAACACAAACATGAACATGAACATGAACGCAAAAATAAGAAGACAACCATGAGAGTGGTTCGCATCCATGTTTGGGACCCTTATGCCACTGATGATTCTTCTGGCGATGACGAAAATAACCTAGAATAGGACGAGTTTAGGAAAAAATCTACTAGAAATATTTTAGCTATATATTAGCATCTCGACTTTCGCTCACTCATATCAATAGTTTTTTTTAAAGTTTATTTTATCTTCATCTATAGAAAGTTTTTGTGGAACATTGATTCATGTTTCATTTTTACTTTTATAATTATTTACATTTTAATAGACTATTGTTTTACGCATTTGTCCTTTTAAAATGAAGCAATTGTTTAAAATTTTAATTATAATGAATTGTTGCTACATATATTTAGATAAAAATAAAATAATTTTAGATGATAAACAAAAACGCAATGGAAAAAAAAGAAAGATAAAAGTTATGCTCAGCTCTTATGCTAAAGAAAAAGAGAATGGAAAAAAAAAATCTGAGTCTCTTTGGAAAGAAACAAAAAAAGCCGTTTGATTTTCAATATCGTGGGTCAAAAAGTCGTAAGTCCAAACAAGGACGAGTAAAACTACTGTCATGGGCCTGCGAGTGTAGCCCAAATCTGATCACAACCGGCTATCGCTCGATGTTACCTCTCCAGAAAGTTGAATCCCCAAATCCATTCGGCGGAATCAAAATCCCTAACCCTAATTCCCTAGTCGACGTCGTCGCTCGCATGACACCTCTGCCGAGTTAGTAAAGAAAAGGTAAAGACTGGCTTTGGCAATACACATCTAATTGGTTGAAAAATTAACTTTTGAAAGAGACCAACAATTTGGTTTTCAGTATTCTGGGTCAAAATCAAAAGTCGAAAACTTTGGGCTTTTTCTTTCTCATTCTTTTCTCTTTTCTCTCCATAACTCGAAGCAGAGGATATGACGATTGGAGGCCTGCGCTAAAGGGTGTTTGGGTTGTTCTACATTACGGTTCAAAAGCACGAGTCGCTCGGTTCAAGGCAGTGTTAATCTTCTTTATGGTAAATCTTATACTTAATATATTTTAGAACTTCAATTCAAATATTGTGGGTCTATGAGTGATTCTTTGGATTGTAACCTCCAATCATGTAGTTGCTAATTGGGTCTGATATAACTTTTGTTAACTTTGTGCTCTTCAAACTTGAAGCTGCTATCTGGGTTGATTACCTTACCCCTTAAGAAAAGATGTGTTTATACCAAAATGAACAGCCAATAAGCATCGGACACTTGGACCAAACTGGAGCTATAGAAGCCTTCGGCACCTAGCTTCGGTATCGTTCCTACCGATCGCAGGATTAGGGCAACTTCACCCCCAGGGACACGCGGCAGTCTCACAATTGGAGTCCACAGTCCCACATCAAAATTCTAAATAACTTGCACACTTCCCAAGGCCTATAAAAGAGGACAACTATCTCAAATTGGAGGTAATCAATCAGAACTTATGGCATACTGCCTATTGATCTGTAGTTCAATCTTACTAAATATGTACTTACTTAAGCATCGGAGAGCCTTCGACCGGTACCACACCGGTGCCCTAGGTCTTACCGAGCATTTGTTATCTTGCAGATCGAACGCCCTACCGAGGCCCAGAGCATACCGAAGGCCCAACATCACTAAGTTGCGCGGGAAAATGCCGAACCATTTTTCTGCGTCAACAGTTTGGCGCCGTCTGTGGGAATTCGATAAGAATCGACCTGCAATTCCTAAAAAACACATGGGAACCACTTCAGTACTAACGTTATTATCGGAGGATGGACTACCGTACGGCATGCCAAGCGGAGCAATCCCCGTTCTGCACCTTAGCACTCCCTTCGGTAATCCTCCGGTGATTCAGACTACGGTTGAAGCGGAGCTTCTGGCTCAAATGACTTCCATTCGGAAGGAAATGGCCAGGCTCCAAGAACATAACAACCTCTTCTTGTCCAAAGTAGACGAAACCCAGTGGCTGCTTAATCAGCCGAAAACGCAGAATATTCAAGCTACGGAACCTTCCTAGAGTCTGCAGACCTCCGGTCGGCAGAAGAAAGGGAAGAAGGGGGCAAAGGCAACGCCTGCGCCTTCTAAACAGCTGGTAGTCCCGGCTTCACGGGACCAGCCTCACGTACCGAAGAAGGTCTACTAGTGAATGCAGCTATGCAAGTTGTGTTGTGTTGCAAAATCACAAATATAGGGCACCTGTGAGAGTGGTGGATTTACTAGTGAATGCATTTCTCTGTATCTTACTAGGATCCGAGCTTCTAATCGCCTTTTTATTTATTTATTTATTTCATATCTGAATATCGCGATATCGCTTGTCACAAGAATATAGATATGATATTTTTTAGTATTATGTATCTGGATAATATAAAGAAGATCATAGACACGAAGAGGGTTTTCACTTCTGATAAAGCAAAAAAGAAAAATATTTGAGATTTTGCTCGGATTTTTATATCTTTTTTTTTTTTTTTTTTTTTTTTTTTTTTTTTTTTTTTTTTTTTGCCATTTCCAATCCTATATAACTTGGTTTCCTAATTCTTGCATTGGGAAACTAATTCAACCGGACCTCTTTATTTTATTTTTTTTAGCGTGTGTGTTAATATTTTGAAATTATTAAATTCCTTTTCATGCAAGGAATCAATTATATGTGAATAGCCCTAGGTTGAAACTTATATCATATACTATTAACAGGATTTAGCCAAGTGGAAAAGGTCTTTGATTTGTATATCAATAATTTTAGTTGTGTGTGAGAAAAACCTCCTCTCACTTCCTAACTTTGAACCCCACCCCCCCAAAAAAGAGGAAACTGATATTATTTTCTCCTTATTGCTTTTGGATTTGTAGACTTTCCCTTATTTGAACATAAGATTGCAAATATCCCTATAGATTAAATACATGTTCTCTTCAATTCACACTTTGCACTCTACATATGCATGATGAAGCACACATTGAACATGGAGGGTTCAACAAAAAGAGAAACGAGAGAAAAGCCAAACTCAGTCATCTCAGTCCTTCTTGCTCTCGGTGCTCCCAATGCAACCACTCTTACACACACCAAAAATGGCACCAAATGCACCCGTTCATCCACCAAAACGCAAAGTGATTGCATCCTTATTAGACCAAAATTACTATCGCAATCCACACTTCGCCGAAAGAGAAAACAAGAAGCAGCCATGCTACAACAACATGAAGAAGAACAAGAAGATGAACAAGAACAAGAACTCAAACTCGAACATGAACATGAATGCAAAAAGAAGCGTTGAAGGTGGTTCACATCCATGTTTGGGACCCAATGCCATTGATGATTCTTTTAGGAATAAAATAACCTAGAATAGGAGGAGTTGAAAATGATCTCAATACTCGTTTTTTGGTTTTTATGAAAAATTCTAGTAGAATGCTTTTATTTATAAATGACTCTCTCCACTTGCGCTCACGTGTTTGTTGATAGTTTCTTATTTTTATTGTATTTTATCCTTATTTATGGAGAATTTTTTATTTGTAACACAACTTAGGCATGATTATTGGGTACAATTTTTTGTACAGTCCACCACGATCTTAAATGTTTGTAATTAAATTTTCACATTCTATTTGAGGGAAAGTGATGAAATCCGTTGTGTTACCTAGCTAGGGTTCTTAATTTCATGGAAGTCATTGGGGTTCTTTCTTACCCATGAATTTTGTATGCAGGATGCTTGTAATTGAATTTTGAAATTATTGGAAGGAATTGAAGTGATGAATTATATTTCAAATATCATGAATATTGTGTTTGTCTTAAGAATAACGTCTGTCCCAAGCCAAGCTAGATTTTAACATTCATTTTTTGTCTTTGTGTTTTTTCTTTTTTGGTATGGATGGGCCAAAGCCCATAAAGGAAGATAAAAAAACTCAAGGCCACAACGGCATAGCCCAACCAAGCTACACTTTTTTCTTTTTGGCAAAACAAGCCCAATCATTTAATTCCGAAAATTATTAAATTTGAAAATAAAATTTTATTAATCTGGGTCAGGATAATTCTATCCGGACAAGGAATATGACACTCCAAACATCCAAACGGAAGTTAAAGAGGCTCCGAATGTAGTAAAGCTTCAAAGACCCGTGAAATCCAAACTCGGTGCCAGAGCTCTCCTACTTGTCGCTCTTCGCTCACTAAGAAATCAAAGGTGCCAAACCCTAAAATCTCTTGGATTTACATTCAAATATATATACACACGCACTCACATAAAGTTGCATTTTGATCACTTCATGGCTAAATGTGATGTTTGATAAGATGCAGTTTGCACAAACTAAGCTCAAAGCAGTGATCAATGTATAATTGAATTTCATGTTCCTTTGTTTCTTTTTAGTTTTTCTTTGTTTAGAGACCGAATAGTTCGTAAATACAATTTTATCTCAGATGCCATGCTAATAATCGTTCTTTAGCTTATGCTTTATATGCATAATTTTGATTCCTAATTTGAGTCTGGATATAATCAAGCAGCTATTTTCATCGGATTTTGGATAAAACTTTTGAAGTTGTTTTGACTGAAAACCAGTTTACTTACCGCCAAACTACTGAAAGCCTGGAAGATGCTAGTTTCCTGACCTCTCTGGTGTTGCAGTGACATGACTAGGTTGGCTGGTGTTTAATTAATCAATTGAAATGTTTGTAATTCACCAAAGAAAGGTGGGGATGGGGGTTGGTTTTTTTATAGTTATGATGAAATTTCGTTGTTGCAGGGAGGGAATGGGCAGCCAAAACCCAACAAACAGTGAGCGCTTAAGGACGAGTTGGACCCTACCTATGGAACGCTATTTTATTGATCTTATGTTAGATCAGGTTCATAGGGGGAATAGGATGGGCCATACATTCAATAAACAAGCTTGGAATGACATGTTGGTCATGTTTAACACCAATTTTGGGTCTCCCTATGATGTAAATATCTTGAAAAGTCATTACACTAGTCTGTGGAAGCAATTCAACGATATAAAGAATCTTCTCGATCAGAATGGGTTTTCGTGGGATAACACTCGGCAAATGGTGATTGCTGATAGATATGCTTGGGATGCCTATGTCAAGGTGCATTACTTAGCTTATATCTACTTGTGAATGTCTTCTAATTTGTGAAAGGTAATTGAAATAATGTCCATGCAGGTTCATCCAGATGCACAGTTGTACAGGAACAAAGCTTTGATGACCTTCAATGATTTGTGTTTGATATATGCGCATACCAAAGCAGATGGAAGATACAGCCTTTCAAGTCATGATATAGATTTCGATGATGACATTCAGGGAATGACTGACGGTGTGTCTCTAAATCCTTTAATGACATAGTGATACATTTTCTCATACAAGTTGAAATTTATTATGTTGGTTATTTATGATGATTTGTATGTTGCAGTGAGTATTTTTTTATAAATAATTCGCCTGCTGCTCTTTTCAATTAAGTGAAGCCAATCATAACCTAAAAATGAAACTAAAATCTTAATTTAATTCGCTTTCAGTTCTTTTGCAAGCTATTCCTCTCTGATATGCTCAAGGTGCTTAGACAGAAGGGGTAGTAAATTTTTCTCCTTTTTCTTGAATAAGTGAGTCCAGAAAGTCATAGTAACTTAACTATTTATGAACTAATTGCTAAACATTGGATTTTATTATACTGACTTAGCTAATACTTTTGCAAATTAACAAGCATGAACTGTTCTTTATGAATAAAATTTTCTTAGTTATTCCAATTTTGAACAACTGTCCCTTCTCTCAATTATTTGGGGTCGGCTTCTAATGTCTGTTCTCTCCTGGGCCATATATTCATTTACTTATTTATGTTTCTTTGGTTTTTTGTTTTTTCGGTTTAAAGGTGTTGGAATGAATAGCCCTACCCTTGCCCCTGGCCCTGGCCCTGTTCCTCCCCCTGCAAGTAAAGTGCAAACAAATACAGATTGGAAACCACCCATGGACCGATTTTTTCTGAAGCTTATGCTGGACCAACTGGGAAAAGGAAATAAGACCAATAATTCATTCAAGAAACAGGCTTGGAAAGACATGGTCACATTGTTCAACACAAAGTTTGGTTCTCAATATAGGAAAAGTTTCTTAAAACAGCTTTATAAGAAACTGTTGAAGTACTATACTGATGTCAGAAGCATACTTGCAATTAAAGGATTTTATTGGGACGAAAAAGAACAAATGATAGTGGCTGATGATGATGTTTGGGATAATTACATCAAGGTATATTTTTACGTGTATTTGATAGCATTAAGTTGTGTACATTTTTACACTTCTGTTGTTGATGTAGGCACTTCCAGATGCACGTCTATATAGGAAGAAGCCCTTGCTGAACTATCAAGATTTGAACTTGATATATGGAAATGAAATTAGCAACGTACTTCGTAGTCATTTGCATCAAGGCACAAATTCTGAAGATGACATCTTACAGTACATGACTGGTGAGGTTCATTAAATAACCAAATTCATATGTTTGAAATAGTGTTAAATAAATGAATGATTGAACAATTATGTCTATAAATGGGTTCTATTATTCATGTAGGTGAAGAGAGGGAGGGCCATTCCGTTTATGGTAATGGTCATTTGGCTTCCTTCGAGGATCTTGACAGTGAAGGCCAAGATTTAATGATAGGTGTGTTTCTTACCCAGCTCTGAAGATTAGAATACTCTATGTTGAACCTTGCTATGAGTAAAATCTCGAGTTATGATATTTTCAGGTAGTAAATTGAGTAGAAATTCCTCCTAAACAAGCTTGAGATAGTCTGATAGTAGACACTGCTTGTGTTTCATTAGCCAGTACAATCTATGCTGTTGAGGATGTGCATATAAACTTCGAACTCTTGCTGTTACCTAATAATTTTAAGTAATACAATTTTAAATGGTTATCTCCAGTTTTCCATTGCAATTATTTCTGTGATTTGTTCATAATAATTTTCCATATTCAAAATTTCACAATGTCCAATGTGGGTGTAAAACCTGTGAATTATTTATGCCTGTCTGCAATCATCCCTTCAATGGCAACTATGTACTTACAACATTTTGGTGGATAGAAGGGGAAGAGTCAGAAGACACTCAGATCCATGGAAATGATGATTTTTCAAGGACAGATTGGACACCTCCAATGGACCGTTTTCTGATTGACCTCATGCTGAAGCAACTGCAGAAAGTGAATAAGATTGATTATTCTTTCGACGACCAAGCATGGATAGATGTGCTTGTGCTGTTCAAGGAAAGATTTGGGTTACAACAAGACAAAGATCTCTTGAGGAGGCGCTACAAAAGTTTAGAGAAGCAATACCATGATACAAAAGATCTTCTTGACCAGAGAGGGTTTTGGTGGGATGATACACAACAAATGGTCACAGCGTATGATGACATTTGGGATGCTTATATTAAGGTGCATTACCTATCTCTTTGTGTCTTATTCATCAGTTTATATATGTGTTAACATATGGTATCTGTAGGAACACCCAGATGCGGAATCATACAGAACCAAATCCAAGCCATACTATAATGATTTGTGCTTGATTTATGGAAAGTCAAAATCAGGTGAAAGGTGCAACCAATCAGGTCAAGCTATGGGCTGTAATGGTGATGGTGAGTTTTTGCCTCTATGAAGTCTCCCCTCTTCCCTCTCTTAAGATTTTGGAGCCCAGCCTGTGGAAACATTACTGTAGTCTGATAGTGTTGTTGGGTTTGCAATGTGTTTATTCCCTAAAATGTGCTTATAAAGTAATGTTACATCAATACCTTTGAGCTTGTTGACATGACATGTGACATCATGGCTGTCTGAAGCTCTGCCTGGTTTGCTAGATATAACCAATGTGATTACTTTTGTCTTTCATTAAGCAATTTTAATATACTTGATGAATCAAAAAATGAAATTTTTCCTTATACATGTATTGTTGTTTTATTCCTAAAGCAGCTAAGTATAACCATAGCTATCACTGTAGAACTGATTGGACACCTCCAATGGATCGATATTTCATTGATCTAATGTTGGAGCAAGTTCGCAATGGAAGTATGGTTAACTCTAAATTCAGCAGACTAGCCTGGACTGAAATGGTTTCAAAGTTCAGAGCAGAATTTGGTTCCCAGCATGACAAAGATGTTTTGAAAAGTCGTTTTTTTAATTTGAGGAAACAATTCAATGGCATGAAAACTCTACTTGACCAGAGTGGGTTTGCTTGGGATGAAATGCAACATATGGTAACTGCTGATGATCATCTTTGGGATGCTTATGTCAAGGTGTGTCTTTTGTTGAATTGTTGATTGCATGAGAATTGTATGTCTATTGCAGGCTAACAGCTCACATGTTCTGGTGCAGGAACACCCTGATGCACGATCATACTGCAACAGAACTCTCCCAAATTTCAATGATTTGTACTTGATATATGGAAATGGAGACATTTTTAAAAGGGAGAGTACTTCAAGTCACACTATGGATGCCATGGATGATGATCTGGGAGTTAATCTTGGTGCGTGGCCCGCTCTCCCTTTCTCACAATGCCATAGATGTATTCTGCTCGGCTCTTTGATTATTGCAATGGAATGAACTTATTACAAATGTTTTAGGATGTCAGAAACTTTCTCAATATGAACTTGTTTTGCAGGGGATGAAACTCAGAGAACATTGTCTTCGGAAGATGATGTCTGGGAAGCTTATATCAAGGTGCGTGTTTTTCTCACTAGTTGCTGCCTAGGACAAAAGGAGGTTCCTATTTCTAGTACTAATTACAGCCTCTTCAACATTTGAGGAGGGAAGCAATATGATGTGTGCGCAAGTTTTGTATGTGTCCATGTTGAATGAACTTGTTGGTAACGTATGCGATACCTTTGCACGAAGTGAACCCTGAGTAGCTTTGGGCTCAGGAGACACTTTCCTGATTTGGTGACATGCGTTTCTTTCATGTCAATATGATATTTTGCAGGAGCATCCATATACAATTGCATGTGCAAATAGAATCTTGAACAGTTATAATGATTTGACAAAAATATACGGCAATGGAGCTCGTGATGGAAGATCAAGTTGTTTCGGTAGGAGCGTGGAGAAAATGGAGAAAATGGGGATCAATATGATGTTTGGTGATACCCCAGCCATGGAGTATGAAATATTTGATCAGCAAAAGAAGCGAAAACCAGCAGCTTCATCCACCTCAGCTAGTAAAAGAGCTCAAAGAATCATCAAGGAGGAGATACAAGAACCCTTGGATGAGAAACCACATATAGTAAAAGGGTTGGTCAGCGATGAAGAGGACAAAGACTGCTGCTCAATAGAACGCATTGTTGCTGCACTTGATACTGTACCTGGCATAGATGATGAGCTCTTCTTGGAAGCTTCTCTAATTCTAGAAGATGATAAGAAAGCCAAGATGTTTGTGGCAATGGATGTTGCAGCTCGAAAGAAGTGGCTATACAGAAAACTTCGCCAGTAGCATCTTAGTTGCCCGTTAGTATGCAAGTGTCGTTTTGATATGCTTATCATCCTTGTGTTTTTTTTTCTCTTGTAAATTAGATAAATGGAAAGACAGTTCCCCACTACATACATAATGTAATTCCCTTGTGTATATCGGTAGGTTTTGAGATGGGCTTTTTCCCTGCTATTGAACAAGAAAGCCAAAGCTTCTTCTTCTCCTTTTTATGTTTTTATAAGCAAATTAATTAACCTCAACAAATGCTAATTATAGCAACCGGATTATCTCCACCCTATTATGAGTTTTTTTGTGTGGACAAAATATTATTATGAGTTTAGGTTTACCTTTGAAGCCTAGTTAGAATTTTCCCGTTTAATACTATTATATATGTACATACATATTTTTCAATTATACTTTTGTTTTTCATATATGTCTTAAAGACTCGGCAAAATATACGCTAATTTTTTTAAAAAACAAGTACAATAAATATATTATACATGTATGTATATATTTTTTACATTTAATACACATATTTTTTATATAAAATTTTGAATAATACAGACAAAATTCAATATTTTTCACATATTATTTAATATATATATATAATAAATTATATTAAAATATTATATAGTGACGAACTTTTCGGTATCTTGCAAAAAATTTTACCCAATAAAACAGGTACTTTTCCTATTCCGTATTTTACTAGGCTTTGAATCTTACAAGTTGTAAATCGAATTTCATACTTACCAAGAACTGCAATACGTATTAACAACAATTACATAGTTACAAGTAAATACAAGTAAAACAGTAAATGAAGTTACTGATGAATTAAAGAAAACAAAATTACCCAGATCAAGAAAAAAGAAAAGCTACTGTGTCGTTCTTCTCTGATAAATTACTAATGAATCCTTTCTATTCTGTGAACCGCGTAAAGACCAAGGTCGTTGGCAAAAGTTGGATCCAAATTCCACTCTGTGAACTGGGAGGAAGAGCCAAAACAAACAGACACAGAGATGGAGACAGTGTCACGACCTTGACAAAAGATTGGTGCTTTTGCTAAATGGCATGGCCATCTCATTCTCTTCTTTCAGAATTTGCTTTCTCTCTCTCGCGCTGCTCTCTACCTTCTTCTTCTTCCTCCTCACAACCCCAAATTCCAATTCCCCAAACTACCCCTCCCCATTTCTCATAACCCCTCACAGGTTCCTCATCACCACCCCAGCAAAAAACCCACCTTGCTCCTCCACCACCATAACCCACTCCAATGGCCTCTTCAACTACTTGTACCTCCATTTCTGCCTCTTCAGCCAAAACCCTTTTTTCTCTCTCTCTTCTCTGTCTATCATCCTCCTTCTCCTCTTCTACATCCTCATCAAAACAGCTCAAGATCACTTCTCTTTGGTCACAACAAAGCTCACTTTTTCCCTCAATTTAACTCCAAGCATGGCCGCCGTGACCCTCTTAGCGCTCGGCAACGGCGCCCCTGACGTCTTCGCATCGGTCGCGGCGGTCCGGACCGGCCAATACCGAACTGGCTTCGGCGCAATTCTCTCGGCCGGTACGTTCGTCTCGGCGTTTGTGGTTGGTTTCGTGGCGATTTACGCCGCACCCTTTTCGCTCAATCCGGCGCCGTTTGTGAGGGACGTGTTGTTTTATTTGACCGCGGCGTTGTTCTTGTTCTATGTGTATCTTAGTGCCGAGATTTATCTGTGGCAGGCTGTTGGGTTTGTTGGGTTTTACTTGTTTTTTGTTGGCCTTGTGTTTTGGATGGACTTGGGGTTAGGTGCAGGAGGAAAGAAGAGCAGGGTTGAGGAGGGTGTGGTTGGAGACAGTGAAATTCAGAGGGGTTTGGTTGCACCAGATTTTGAGATCGGACAAGTTTCGGAGAATTCAGAGGATGGGAAGCTAAGTTTCGGGTTTCGGCGAGCTCTTGTAATGGTATGTTTCAGCTAAATTTGTGTTTCTTCTCAGCAAAAGTTTAGGTACAATGTGCACTATAGGCAATGCTTTAAAGGGTGTCCTTAGTTCAGGATTAGTGTCAATGGCTGTTTAATGTTTTTCGAGAATTGATCAGACTCCTTTTCTCAAGAACTACTTGATAGAGGAATGTGGATTGTGTTGAATGGTATCTACACAACTTGCTAATCAACTCATCACTTTAAATTTCTATGTTCTCATGGTTTCCTTAAATATTTTCCTCATTGGAACAGATGGTTTGGGTAGCCGAATGTAGGTGAAAGTCGCCATGGATTTCATTGGGAAATGAAATGACAATTTGGATTTTGAGTTTAGGCTTGCCACTTAGTTAATGTTACTACTTTTGGATCATAAATGTTTATGATCATTTGATATTTAATGACACCATAAATCGGCTACATATCTTGTAGGCTTTTATACTGAATAAAGCTTCCTCTCTTTGGCATTGCAGAAGGAAATGAATTTGAAATTTTAATGTTTTCTGTTTGGAAGACTTCTTCTATCAAGAATAATGACTATTGAATTGAAAGTTTTTACTTTACTATGAATAATTTTTGTGAACCTTTTGTAGGGTCGATGATAAATTAGATCATACACCCCTGGTCAGATGCAGCTTATCCTTGTCTCACGAGAGCAATATAACTAAGTTGTAGTAGGTGTGCCTAAATTCCTGTAGATGAAAGGTGCAATTTATGAAATAATTAAAGGGTGTGATATAAATTGTTGAAGCACTTGCTCAGAGTTTCATAGCGTTTTGGGATAAACTGCATATTTCATTATATAATCTCTTCTAGTTCTTCTTGAACTTGGAGAAAACATGAAACTTTATATTCTGATTGAGCTCATTTTGCTTCTATACAATTTTTTTACTTCTTTGGAAATTTGCATTTGTTAACTCTTCTTGTTTCACATATAGATCTCAAAAGCATGGGAGCTTCCAGTCTCAGTTCTTCTAAAGCTCACAATTCCGCAAGCTGCACCTTCTGAATGGAGCAGATTCTACACATCAGCCAATATTGCTCTTTGCCCTCTAGCCCTTCTATATGCTTGCAATTCGTTCATGCCATTCAACCATCCTGTTGTTTTTCTCCTTTCCGATACCCATTTGCCCCTATGGTTTGTAGTCCTCTTGGCAAGCTCCCCTCTTGCACTTCTTCATTATATAGTGGAAAAAGATCCCCCCAAAACTGAGCAAATGCCTGTATTGCTTATAGCATTTGTTATGAGTGTTTTTTGGATATCAACCACTGCTGGAGAACTGCTGAACTGCCTTGCTGCTCTTGGATCACTTCTGGAGTTGCCACCTGCACTTCTTGGGCTTACGGTTCTAGCATGGGGAAATTCAGTGGGGGATCTTGTTGCTGATGTTGCACTTGCCAAGGCAGGCCACCCTGCAATGGCCATGGCTGGTTGTTTTGCTGGGCCAATGTTTAACATGCTTGTTGGACTTGGAACAGCTTTGGTTATACAGACATATAATGTTTATCCGGAGGTGTATGAGCTTCAGTTCCACGTGAGTATTATAATTGCATTTGTTTTCTTGCTTTTGAGCCTGATGGGATCTCTATTGGTGATTACATGGTGCAGATTCCGGGTGCCTAGGTTCTGGGGGTTTTGTCTTGTTGGTCTCTATGTTATTTTTATGGCAGTTAGTTTGGTTATTGCCAAGTTTTCAGGATGATTCTTTATCCATTGAGATTGGATCTACCATGGAAAAATTGCACGCAACCGGGGATAACTTGCAGCGACCGAATGTCATCTGAGCTTGATCATGCCAACTATGACTTGGATGAATTGTGCATATTATAGAAGCATCGTTCATTGACAATGTAAGAAAGAGGTCAAGGATCAATAAGTACATTGCTTGTTGAAGAATTATGCACCCTCTTTGCTCCCCCATATGAAAAGGATATGTAGCTTTTACAGGTTGATTTGATTTTTGTTTCAACACTGGATAGCTGAAATTCTTTTAGACTCCAAGAACTGTTGAAATAATCTTCTTGTAGATGAAATTTTTATAGGTAGTATCATTGTTAGACCCAAAATCTTGGCTCTTGCACCACTTGTAACATTACCAAATAGCAATGGCAATTTTTTGTTGCAATCAGCACAAAGTGGTCCAAAGATTACACTTTTATGTTCTCTCTCAACCTCCTTACAATTTAGAAACATGGCCATGAACCATCCTCACCCTCTTCAGTGGGGAAGAAAAGCACTGGTTAAACATCTCCGGTCCTTATTAGAACATTGACGAATTATGGTATCAAAATTAGGTCCATGAGATGAGGGTTTTGTGAAGTGGTCCATGCATGTGGTGGATTCTCTTCCTCTTTTTTCCTTTTTTTCCCCTTGGGGGAGGGTTTTGTGAAGTTGAGGGTCATGATCAGAATCAACATAGACTTAATTTGAGGGGGCAGAAACTGATGATAATTGGCTCTTACCCTAACAGGTTTTAATAATATGTGCCCAACAGTTGAAAATCACATTATTGGGACCATTGATTTTTGGTTTATGAAACCAATCTTCCTAAATGTTGACTTCATAGAATTTACTTTATAAGAAAGCAGGAACTTCATGATCACAAAAGGGCATTTCCCTAAAGGATATAAAAGAAGAACTTTTCCTTTTTGGAGGTACAACTTCTTTTTCTTTTTTATCATCACTTTTGTGACAAAAACTAAAAGCAAATATAAAAGAACTACTTTAGCATGTATTGCAGGCCATGAATGAAATGAAATACATTTTCGAAAAAGTAGTTTCAAACCAACATTCCTGGCTTGTTTGGGACGTCAAACTCTCAACTAAACTATTATAATTAAACTGAATAGTAGTCTAAGCTGCACAATAATGGCGTAAAAAGTGACTCAAGTGTTACAATTAAATTGAAAAATAATAGAGTATTAAAAAATATGGGTTAACTTATCTCAACTTTGGACTTCATCTTATAAAAAATTAAACTATTGGGCTACAGAAATTAAACTGAACAGTAGTATATTTTTTTGTTTCTATGCCGGCCTTGGTCTATTTTTCTCCTTGTTTTTCGAGTCTCTCGTTGACACGAATATTGGTGCACATTTAAGGTTGCACTTTTACAAATTTGGATGTTATCTAACTGTAATTGTTTCCAATAATATAAATTATAATTAAAAACTAACACACAGCATATCATTAGAAAATACTTCGAAAAAGAAAATAAAATCCCATCCCAAAATTGAACGGATCTGGTGACAATCATAGGTTCCAAATAAGTAGAGTGATCTTCTCCGCGTAGCCAACAGGCACCATGATCAAACATAACATAACCCGTCATGCCCGTACCGTAAATAACAACGTCCACCAAGGGCAAAACCGTCAGACAAAAAAAAACTCCATAAAAGTTCGATGTTCTGACAATTTTAAGTCAGAATCGAACACTCCCTCGCAGCTTTTGTTCTTCCTTTTTAGGTTTGTATGCGAAACATTAATCATTACGAAAAACAATACATAGAAAAGAAAAAGAAAGGTTGCAAACCCAAAAATCTAGATCTTTCTCTGTACGAAAAATTTCCAAAGAAGAGAAAAAAATAGAAAAGTTTCAGACCCAATAGTTTTTTGTTCTCATTGCCCAGATGGATATTTTTGTGGCTCTGTTTCTGAAAGAATTTTCCTTCTTTTTCAGGTACTCAATTAATCTTGCGTAGCAGAGCACCGCCTGTTTGAGAAAAGGTACGAAAGACAGGCATACGCCCACACACACGCACGTAAACCTCTCTGGTTATATATCTCTGTGTTTTTTTTTATGTATTTCTTTGCGTGCGCGCGCGCGTGTGGTGGGTTGGTCTTAGATTGCCAAATGGGTGATCTTTGTTCTTTTCCCATGTAACATTTTTATTTCTGGATATGGGTTTTCTTTTACTGTTGGTTTTGTTGCCCGTCTGAGATCAAATGTTGGTTTTTTTTATTTGCTGTGATTCCGTTTTGCCTAATTTTTGTTGAGGAAACTGTTTTTCCTAATTGAATGATCATATATCATGCGTTTTCGCGCTGGAATTATTGTTTTGTTTTTGCTTTTATAATATTTTATTCTCCTTTTTCCGTGTTTCTGCTGTGTCTTCTTCGTTGATCATTGTGTCCGTTCTTTCTTTTTTCTCTTGAACATATTGTTAAGCTGGGTGGTAGAATGATTCCTACAAAAGAAAAGTACCGTCTTTTGTTCAGAAGATGCCACTTTGACTAGTACCCAGATAGTGGATTGCAAATCTAGTGGATTTGCTGAAGATTTTTAGTTATAAGAGAGCATTTAGACCCTTCATTCAGTGATTTGACTAGTTTGGCAGCTGGAACTTTTGATTCTATCACATGGGGAGATTTGAATAAATGAGTATGCTTTGATCTTTTATCATCTAAAGAGGAAAATGAAAAGAAAGAAAGAACGAACTGTTTAGATTTATTATGTGCAACATAGAACAAGATGGATGGGCCCACTCATTTACCATTTCATTGTGTGAGAAGGAGATCCTTTGATATTTGAGGAGTATTTAGTAACTAGCAGGTCTCTAAAGCAGACGTCTTTTCTGTTGCTTGCTTCTATCAGGGCCAAGTTGCTATGGATCCACAAGGGCATAACCAACCCCAATCTATGGGGATGGTAGGCAGTGGAGCTCAATTGACATATGGTACTAACCCATATCAGCATAATCAGATGGTTGGGAGCCCAAATCCGGGGTCAGTTGCCGGAACAGTGGGAGCTATTCAATCAACTAGTCAATCTGCTGGAGCTCAGCTTGCACAACACCAACTTGCTTATCAGCATATCCACCAGCAGCAACAGCAACAACTTCAGCAACAGCTGCAATCTTTTTGGGCGAATCAGTATCAAGAAATTGACAAGGTAACTGATTTCAAGAACCATAGCCTTCCCTTAGCAAGGATCAAAAAGATTATGAAGGCTGATGAGGATGTGAGAATGATATCAGCTGAGGCACCTGTAATATTTGCCAGGGCATGTGAAATGTTTATATTGGAACTGACATTGCGGTCTTGGAATCATACGGAAGAGAATAAGCGGAGGACACTTCAGAAGAATGACATTGCAGCTGCAATCACAAGGACTGATATCTTTGATTTCTTGGTAGACATTGTGCCAAGAGAGGATCTGAAAGATGAGGTCCTTGCATCAATTCCAAGGGGAACAGTTTCTGTAGGAGGGCCGGCTGATGCACTTCCATACTGCTACATGCCGCCTCAGCATGCGCCTCAGGTTGGGGCTCCTGGGATGATTATGGGTAAGCCTATGATGGACCCATCTATGTATGCTCAACAGTCTCACCCTTATATGGGTCAGCCAATGTGGCAGCAGGCACCGGAGCAGCAGCAGTCACCATCAGATCATTAGCGGGTGCAGCATGGAAGTGAAGAAGGTGTAAGTTACTTTGTTTTTGTTCTTCAGGCTTGTGACTGAAAGCTGAGAAAGCAAAGTGATGATTTGAATGTGTTGAAGAAAACTTTGGTTTTTGTAATTATAATGCAATTTCTTACCTTTTGTGCTTAACATCTAGCATCTTTCGTCTCGTAGACTCTTCGCTATAAAACCATATGGTTGGTGATGATGCAGGTTGTGAACTGATTTTTGTTAACTTTTTTTATAGTAAAAGAATGGTTATGATTAATATACGTGTGGCTCTCACGGTTTAAGCAAGGTATTTGTCCATGATTCATGCCCCTTTTTTAGTATGATATGATGAGACCTTGAATGCTGTAATGGAACTGTAGCATCAATTTTTTGAGACTGTTTATGCTGCAATGGAACCAGATTCCTGATACCTGAGTAGGAATTAGTAGTCAATTGCAACCAAACACAGGAAAGTTCCATCTGAAACTTTGGCTTTTTGAAACACGAAAGCCACTGTTTGATTGCCACATGAATCCAAGCAGACCCATTAAGCTACTTTTTCAACTTTGAAGCTTCCACAAGGACAGTAAAGAAGTCAGAATTGTTTCAATGACTACCATTATTCATGAAGGGAAAAATATAACATCACTGAAGCAATAAATTTGTAGACATAATAACAAAACAATAATTTGCTCACCATTTTTTTGTTTGGGTTACAATCAGGGTCAAGGCCCAAAGAAAAATAAATTAAATTCGATCACAAGAATGGGCCTTCTTTCTTGTAACAATGGATGACTTTTGGGCCCAATAATGGCCCAGGTATCATTAATTCAGCCCAATTTCCAGAAATTAGGCCCAATAATGTCTTCTGTTTTCACTTTACCAAAGAAAAAGAGACGGGAATCATCATGAGCTTAAATCGTGACAAATCACACAAAAAAAAAAAAAAAAAAAAAAAAAAAAAAGCAAATCTTCGTAGCTGATTACCCTAAGCACCTCCCGCCTCTATAGAGCACCTCACTCTCTGACAGCTTAGGATCTGTAATCATTAACATTGAGAGCGCAGGGCAAATATGCCTTAAAAGGAAATTAACCCTGAAAAATAAATAAAAGGAAATTACCTCACTCAGTCCATCTAATAAACAAGCAAAGCCCAAGGAACTCCCCGCTGCGACGCCGTTTCGTACATCTCCGGCCGCCCTCAGATGGCTGCCTCCGGGCCAACTAGGTATACGCACACCTACCCTTTCACCTTATACATAGATACACTTGATAATTTTTATATATATCTCTATAGGCTATATGAATTATACAGATATGAAGTCGAATATTTTCACTCAACTGGTTTCAGTTAATTTTAGACCATTTTGGGGGTTCAGATCGGCAATTGCATGTATGGTTATGCGTATATATGAGTATCTGTGTAGAAATGTCTGCTATTTGTATGATATAGTAAATAGACTCGTATGTTTGCATGTCGATGTTGGGGCTATATGCAAGTATGAATTTCTTGAAGAAGCTTTTGTGTACAAGAAATTGATAATGGTGTGTGTTTCTAAGTTGTCCCTTGTTATGCATGTGCAGAGGCAGAGCAAATTTTTTCATGAAAAAGTTGGTATGAGTGGGAAATACGCAGAAAAGGAATAAGAAACGATAAATATTTGTTTGATTAAAATAGATCTTCTATTTGAGAATTTGTTGGATGAAATTGATGATGGGAAGTGTGGCCAGGTTTGGCAGGTAGATTTTGAAAACTGTTTCTTTGAAAATTTGCCCATGAGGCTAGAACAGCATGCTTTTAAGGAATGCTATTGGTCATGGTAGTTCAAATGTGATTTTAATTGAGGATCATGTTTTTGGAACTGGAAATGAATTTTATGAGATATTGGTTTTTAGGTCTTGATCGTCAGTTAGGGAAACATTTTATTTATTATAATAATTCCAACATGTCATGCAATATGAAAATGGCACGCTGCATGCATTTCCCACACCATTTTCAAAATTTTCCCATTTTTAGAAAGAAAAAACCATGTTACCCGAACAGGGTCGCAGAAGTTTGATTAGTTCTTTATCATTTATTTGAAGTGATTATTGTAGAATGAGTAAGATTGATATGGAAATGAAGTTTTTGAAAAGATTTGTGTCATTTAGGAAATTAGGAGAAGTGAAGTACATAGATTAGCCTATTTATTGGATCATTTTCTTTCATTCACTTCCCTCTGGCAACCTATAATATTTGGAAGTTTTCCAGTTTTTTTGTTAGGTTATGTAGTTGTTGCAAATAATCATTAAGAATAGCAAGTCTTTAAGTAGATCTTAAAACATTCAACAAGTTTTGTTCCTTGAGTTAAACATAAAAAGTAAAAGGAATAAATCATGCTAGTTGTGATACTGAAAAAACCTAGGATTTTAGGGGAAAAAACCCATAAGGAATTTGTAAAAGTAAATGCAAAAAGGGAAACGAGTGAAGTCACGCTAGTAGTGATACTGAAGAAATCACAAGAATTTCCGGAAAACGCAGAAAGGAATAGACCGAGTAAGAGAAAATTAAGTTTAACTAATATAGCTGTGCAAGTTTCTTTTGGTAATGGTGGTCCATGATATATATATATATATATATATATATATATATATATGCATTTGTGCCTCAAGGACATTTCAAGGAAGATAGAACCACTCTGGGAGTTTCTTAGGTTTGGGATTGTAACGTTAATTTGATTGTTACCAAAGAAAAAGGAAAATGAATTGGTGGAGTTGCGGTAAAATGGGGAAAGAGTTGAAGAAAGTGTGTGAGCTCTAATTAGTCCCTTTGCTTCTCGATTATTGAAGACAAATGAAGGATAAGGCAGAGAGAATCTGGTTTTATATCAGAAGGTAGCTTTTCCTGACAATGGCATAGAGGAAAGCCTCTGCAGTTTGACTAAGGGTATATGAGTGCTGACTTGCTGATACATATATTATGCCTAAATAGCCTATGTTTTAATAATTGTCTTTTTCTAGAGTAGGAATAATCCAAGAAAATTTGTTGTGTTTGTCAGTTTGAGTTAGGGCCAGCCTTCAGGGGAGCCTAGTGAGGCAACTGCCTTGGGCCCCCAAGTTTGATGATTTAAATAGGCCCCCAGATTGAAGTTACCAATGTTGCATTAGGCCCTTAAAAATATGCTTATTTAATTCTAAATAAAGAGCTCCAGTCCAATCCTCGTATATGTTTGTGAGGGAGAAAACACAAAACCTATTTGCCTAAATTTCGTCTTTCTTCCTCTGGTTCGCTCTGGTTCTCCGTTGTTGCCGAAATGCCATTTAGGTTGGTTCTTTCATCAATTTATTCTTGCTCTTCCCTTTGCTTGGTGTGCTTATCTTCCCATGTCTTTGACTGGGGTTTCTCGTCTGTTTGTTTTTCTCATTTTTGATTTTGTTGATGATAAATTCTGTATAACACTCTGTCGTATTTTAAAGAAGATTGTTGTATATTATGTTAGTTAATCAAGAGCACTGGGTGTATATGACGAGTCTATTGTTTCTTTCAAAAGATGTGTACTGTAAGTGCTGCCTGGAACAGATTGGTTTTAGGGTATGCCATGGTAATGGTGTTGGTTATATGTGGCTTGCAATATGCCGACATGTCCTTTTGCATCCCACTTATTGTGGTTTAATGAAGAAAATCATCTTCTGGCCAAATTAGGTGGTTTTTTTAATATCTGAAATGCTATTAAGCTAGTAGATTAGTTGTACTTTATTACTTAGCAACAAAAATTTGGATTTTTCTTTATTTTTATTTTTTATTTATGCCAATGCAAATTTTCGTTGCCTCAGGACCCTAAATTCCCAGGGTTTACCCTGCAACGAGTGCATGCTTTTGTGATTACACTGTAGAATTTTAATAAACAGAAAACTCACTTTTTTTTTACAGCTAATATTGGAAAATAACCATTTCTCACATTCTTTTGAGAATGAGTAGCAAAATATGTATTTATTCTGACAAAATATTCTCTTTGAATAATGAAATATATGTTTCACCTACTTAGTCTTTTTTTTTTTTTTTTTTTTTTTTTTTTTTTCCTAAATATTTTCACACTAGAAATCATTTGGACGCTTTACAGGTGATGCTTGATTGTATGTGTCAGCAGTATGGGATTATTATCTTATTTTATCACGGTAGTATTTATGCAAGTTGAATTTTATTTGAATTTTTTTTTAATGCAGCATCTTCAGATAGTCTTTATTGTACCCTATTTGCCTGTTGTGATTAACTTTGAGGACTTCTTGCAGGTTTGCAGGAACAAGTAAAACTAATGAACCAGATCATTTTGATCCTCAACAACCCATACTTGATGTGAAACCTCTCAATAGCATGCCTTATATTGGTCCACCTACAATGCATCCATCAACAACTACAGACTCTGATGCACAAGAGAAACTGAAGCCTACTGTGATTATTCTACCTCCTGACTCAACAAGGGAACAGTGGAATAAGGCTTTGGAAACCAACAAATCAGGGATTGTTTTGACTGGAGCTGCTGCGAGGGGACAGGTGGGACCAATAATAGGATTAGTTGATATTGGCGAGAACGAAGACTCATACTTATTTCGTGTCAATCTACCAGGGGTTTTAAGGGATGAGAGTGAGTATGATCACCTTGCGTCATTTTGTTTACAACGAAGACTCAGTCTTGTTCGTTGACTTAGCATTCTTTATCTTATATATTAATGGTTGATTGGTAATTGTGATTGAATCATTATGGTGTATTACACTAGGTGTGCATACCTCTTTGACAAAGGTGTGAAAATCAATCAATTTGTTCTACATTAGTCATGCACGTGACGACTTGTCTGTTTGTTTTGTAAAACCTTCTTCTTAAGCTTTCAATAGTTGGGTTCTCCGGTTCTCATGAAAATTGGATTGGTGCTAAATTGAGATTGAATCTTCATCAACATGTCTTGATATTATTGATCATGCTTAATGAACCAGACCACTGTCTTTGTGCATGCAGATTTTGAATGCAGCGTTGACATTGATGGAGAAGTATTTATAAAAGGAGTAACTACGACAGGAGAGAAAACAGTGTGCAAAAACTCCCAAGTCTTTAAGATGCAAACACAAAATCTGTGCCCCCCAGGTCACTTCTCTATCTCGTTCCAGCTTCCTGGTCCAGTTGAGTGCCAAAAAGTTACTCTCTCTTTTGAGACTGATGGGATTTTGGAGGCCATTGTGCAGAAAAAATTACCATAAAAGTATTCCGCTTTGGGGAGCTTGTATGGTTTTTTATGATGTGGACTTAGAATGGAGAAGACTCTAGGTGGTGAGGATTTATAGACTATAAATAATTGCCTCTGATATTGCAGAGGATGAAGGCTGGGATACAAGCTAAATGGTGATATACAGTAGGCTTGGGTGGGCTCAAGTTATAGTGAAGTAGGGCTTTGTTAAGTTGTTTGTACTCACTTTAGGACCAGAAGCTGTGTTCATAGGTGGACTATGGTTATGTCCTAGCCACATCCTTTGTGAAATATTTTATTTCCATTGAAAGTTCTCTCTGCCAAGATCAATTCATGGTGAAACAGCTGCTAGTTATCTTGAAATTTGCCAGAGGCTTACCTTCGTTCATTTTGTGGAAAATGGTCTTTTATGGATTTATTTTTCATGAAAAATCCTTATGAAAAAAGCTATATATATTATGAGTTTCTAGTATTTCGCATTTATGATATTTTTGGTGGGTGGGTGGGGTTGACAGTAAGGGGCTGACATTGTTAATGGTGTTTATGTTGTCGGATTAATTAACAGCTTGCTTGCAGGTTTGAACTCTGAAACCCAAATTAAGAAATGTTCATAGATTTGGTTTCTTTTCTTTACCGGTCTCTTGGATATCTAAATGACCAGCCAAATGTTTTGGCTGAATTGATAAAAAGATTTTTTGTAAACACCCTCTAGCATTTATGCCATCTCAAATTTGTGGTTCAGTTCCCATTCAAATTTTTCTAGAGCCTCTGACAAGAATTTATGGCATCTATACCAAATTTCACACTGTTTCATGCTTGTGCACTCTGAATTGTTCATTTTAGGAGATTCACGGTTAAAAGGTTGAAGCAATTTTGACATCAGAATGTTTGCTTGTCATGTGAAACCGCATAATTCGTAGAGGTATTACTATTCTGAATCCTGTCTTCGAATGTATTTAGTTATTTTCTTCCCAAATCAGGAGATTATGAATGCTATAAATATTACAAGCAAGTTGTTTGTTTTGTTAAGGTTATAATTATTGCTTTTTACTTGGAAAATCATCTAATGATTTTCTTACTATGTCACCCTTTACCATATATCTTATAAAATATTTAATAGATGTCTAAGTTTATCTGTCCTTTTTTTTTCCCTCTTTTATATCTTATATACATAGAGAATGTTTAGCATTTCATTTTTGGGGTCTTCAATTTTTCGCCTATTTTTCATGTTTTCTTTGCTAGTCAGAATTGAATGATGATTCAATGTTTACCTTGGTTGGATGTAATGAATGATAGCCTCTATGTCATAACCAATTATTAATGTAAACAGACAATGCATCTTTCTTATCAAACAATGACATATGTATCATATCAATGGAAGTCATTTTCTAAGGACAGTACTAGATTTATCTTTTCTGTCAATAAGATTCCCTTTTAATATGTAAATATGCCATTGCCTGGCCGTAGATATGTTCTCTTTACTCTCTGTGCAGGAGCCACGAGTAAAAGGGTTTCTTCTTGTAATAGGGGCTAGGTAGGAGGTGTTGGAAGTGCTGGAAGTGTTGGAATTTGGTGCCTCTTTGCAATGGGGAATATAAGTGAGGCAAACCTATTTATTATCAATGTAATTCATCTGTAGGTGTTAATGATTGCTCGGTGAGATGTTTTCTACATATTCATGTAGAAATTGCATCTCTTTCATGTTAAGGAGACCACAGAGTCAAGATAAGTGATCTCTCAACTATGAGGAATTTTAGGTTTTATTTAATTCAGATCTTGCTGTAGCTTTATGCCTATGAAGCCGTTACCAAACCTCTTGGAAAATTGAAATACCGGCTACAAATCCTGGTGTGATACTGCATGGTTTCCGTGTGTGCGCTGTTGCGTGTTCTGAATAACTCTATAAGTACTACCAGTAGTTGCATCCCTAGAACATATCTGTTGGTCATTTGTAGCTAGAAATCAAAATTATCCAAGGTCCATTGTTGTTTTTGTGTTTTAGAGTCATGATTTCTGGAGAAGGTGCAGGTGAAGGTGACGTTGAAGATGAGGATGATGGGCATCTCAAAGTGTAGACTACCAGAAAGTTGGACATCTCGAAATGCAGATGTTTGAAAAATCGAATAGTTGATAGATTACCAGATTAATTTCCCTTCTGTAGCGGTGTATACACCAATGTATGTTTAGAAAATAAAGAAAAAAAAAAAAACTTTCTTCTCAAAATGGTTTGATTATGAAGCACTGTGTTAGAAAACTTTATTTGCTTTTATGGGAGCGACTTTATAACATTGTAAAGTAAGCTCCATTTTAGCTATGAGATTATTTGCAATGTTTTCATATTTTTCACGTTTGCTCTAGATGCGAATAAACAATTAGAATTCAAGATAAAAAAATATTCACATATAGCTTTAGAAGTTAATTTTATATAGAAATTAGCTTGAGATATGTTCTTCAACAAACAGAGTTCATCGTATAACCAAACCAAATTGTTTATTAGGCCTATTTATGAGCTAACGGGAGAATTTAAGTCCACTTTGGTGCAAATGAAGCTAAAATTTTCTGACAGATAAAAAGGACTTAAAATCTTAAAAAGGAAAGGGAAATGGCAATGCTTTTTACATGGAAGCAAGGAGAGAGAAGGCGGGGGCACCAGAGGCCGAGGACCGAGACGGTGTCGCGTTGGTCGAAACCATAAATGAGATGGACATATGTGAAGACTAAGTTATGGGTGGTCATAATATAACTTCAGCAAACATGTGCGTTGTTTAGTTGGGTGGGCAGAGTGACCTTATTATAAATAGTGGATGCAAATGTTTGAGATTTTGAGCTTGGCATCTCAATCTCTTTGCTATTGGGGTTACAGAGATTATAATACTTCTTGTTCATATAATTGTGAGCAATATTCTTGAAGGGTTTCGTTTGCAGGCTCTGATCTTCCAGTCCAAACTACTCGTTGTCATTGTTGGCTAAATCGCCAACAATGGCAGCGACCAGATTGCACTGGAAGGAAGTAACTTTTATGTCTCTTTGCAGCTTCCTTCTCCAATGGCCCTGTGCTTGCCTTTTGAGATTATGACAGATAAACATGCATATGATAAATATGTCATCTGGGAACTTTTAAGTAAAATAAATTTGGAAATGAATCAATAAAATATACTCATGAACTTAACAACTTCATTTCGACTGAACTATGACCAAGATTTTTGGCAATCCTCCTAACTTTCATCAATTCTCTAGCTAGCTTTACTTCCTGCCATCGACCGGCCCTTGCGTATATATTTGAAAGAAGAACATAAACTCCACTACCATGAGGTTCCATTTCTGTTATGCGTCTTCTCACTTGGTCAGCTAGATCAACATTTTCATGTATCTCGCAGCCATTCAGGAGAGCTCCCCATACAGCAACATTGGGTTGAAGTGGCATTTCTTCCAGTAGTCTCACCGCCTCTTCAAAGCGGCCTGCTCGACTCAAGAGATCAACCATGCAGCAATAATGCTCTTCAGTTGGTTCTATGCCATAAACATTTACCATTGAGGCAAAATGTCTCTGACCCTCCTCCACAAGACCAACATGGCTACATGCACATAAAACCCCGATGTAAGTGATCTGGTCTGGAACAACCCTAGCATCCTCTTGCATTTTTCTGAAAGTTTGTAGCGCTTCCATACCGTGCCCGTGCATGGCTAAACCAGTAATCATGCTAGTCCATGCCATCACATCTTTCTTCTGCAGATTGTCAAAAATTCTTTGAGCACTTCTTGCATCTCCAGTTTTGGCATACATGTCCACTAAGGCAGTGCCAATAGCTGTGTCTTTGCCCATGCTAGTTTTTGATACATATGAGTGAAGACTTTGTCCCAATGCCAAAGCACCCAACTGCGCACAAGCACCTATTACACCCAGAAAGGTAGCTTCATCGGGAGCAAACCCAGCATTCTGCATATCAGAAAAGAGACCAATTGCCTCCTCAGCCCGGCCATACTGATTATAAGCACTAATCATGGAATTCCAGGTAACCAGGTTTCTCTGAGGCATTTTGTTGAACAGATCTCGTGCAGTTCTCAAGCTGCCACATTTTGCATACATATCTAATATGGCAGTTGCTAGAACTATATTGAAATTGAAACTTGACCCAAAGGGATCAAACCCAAGTTGGCGAATACGACTGTGAACCAACTTTCCAGTATCAATATCCCTACTTCGAGCACAAGCAACTACAACATGCACCATGGTGAACTCATTAGGCTGTACATTTTGAAGTTCCATATCCTTAAACACCTTTATAGCCTCAGTACCCTGATTGTTCCCAACAAACCCAGAAATCAAACTAGTCCAAGCAACTACATTCCACTTAGGAATATTATCAAACACTTTCAGGCCTGAATTCATATCTGCAAAAGAAGCATACATACTAAGCAAACAAGTAGAGGCATACATGTCCAACTCAAACCCAGTTTTCACAATGCAATTATGAACACATCTTCCATAATGGTAAACAGTGATTAGGGAGCACGCTTTAAGCACAAATGGGAATGTAAAATTGTCCGGCACGTAACCCCTTTGCAGCATTTCTCTATACATGATCAAAGACTCAGCTGGGTTTTCACTATTGGAGTAGCCTCTGATCATGGAGTTCCAGATATAGACACTAGGCTGATTAATTTGGTGAAAAACTGACTTGGCATAAATGAGGTCTCTGGCCTCAGAATTTGCACAAAAATCAACAAGCCTACTTAATGGGATCACATTCTTAAAAACTGAGGTAGTGATCATAAGCCCATGTAATTGTTTCAATTCACTCATGGATTTGCATGTTTCCAACAGTGAGAGAATGGTGTTGTAGTGTTTCTTCATGAATCATGAGCCTTGTCATTCAAAGGAAAGACCTTGATGGGCAACGAAAAGCTTATATAGGAGCAAAATGTAGAACTCAGCGTATGAAACACTGAGCTTCTATAGGAGCAAAATGTGAAAGCACCATGGCAACATATCATTTGGCACAATGCAAAGAATACATGTTACCATAAATAAACAAAATCAATCGTGAAACAAAGAATCAAATTTCATTGTATTTTTTACTACATATCATATCTCATTGTCTTTGAGGGAAAAAAAAAATTCCATTACAAGAAGGAAAAAAACTATGCTTTCTCTTTCTCTTAGAATGTTCTTCTTCGGCTTCTTCTTCTTCTTCTTCTTCTTCTTCTTCTTCTTCTCCATGTTACAGTCTCTATTATTGGATAACAAGCCCTAAGCTTCAAACCCCATTTTTTCAATTCCTCTCTCTTAAACCCAAAACCCACCAAAACACCCCCAAAAAGGACTGCCAAAAAAGAAAAAAAAGAAAAAAGAAAAAGATATTCCATTACAAGAAAAAAACTATGCTCTCTCTCTTTTTCTTAGAATGCTCTTCTTCCACTTCTTCTTCTTCTTCTTCTTGTTCTCCATGTTAGAGTCTCTATTATTGGATAGCAAGCCCTAAGCTTCAAACCCCATTTTTTCAATTCCTCTCTCTTAAACCCAAAACCCACCAACACACCCCCAAAAAAGACTGCAAAAATACCTATCTTCTCCCACCACTGAACCATAGCAACCCCAGAAAGGCCAAAACCCAAACCGCAGCAAAGCACATTGCTTTCCACCTCGCTTCCAAACAACAACCCCAAACCAGAAATCACCAAAATCCCATACAACAGAAACAACAAGAACAACTTTCTGTTTCTTTTCCTTCCGAACCCATCAAAGCCTCCTCCTCCTCCAAAACCCTTCCAAATTCCCAAACCCCCTCCATTGCCATCTCCACTGCAAATTTCTTCGATAACCAGATCGAGCGGCTGAGGCAGTATCTTGAGGTTAGACACGACAACGGGCATCAATTGGCGCAACAATCTTGGTAATCTTAGAGACCCAGCTCGCCTTTTATTCTTCCTTGCACATACAATCTGTTTTTGGATCTGGATTTCATGGCAGAGTGAAAGTGAAACGCTAAAAACGGGAGATTTTGGTACAAAGATGGCGTTTTGAATCGATGTGTTTGTTGTAACAATGGGGTTGAAGAGGCAAAGAGAGGATTTTGAGAAGTCCGGTTGTGTTTGGAGGTGAAGGGTCTTCAGCATTGTACACTCCGCTCTCTGTTCTCAGAGATGAAGATTCGAAGAAGAAGAAAGGTGACCGTTTGAAGGAACAGCCTAGGGTGTTTTGTTTTTGTTTTCCTGACTGAAAAAAAAAAAAAAAAAAAAAAAAAAAAAAAAAAAAAAAAAAAAAAATGAGATTTTGTGTCATGGTCTAATAGGAAAGAATCTTCATGTTAGAATTGTCTAATAATATATGTGGACCTTGTCTTCCTAAATTGACATTTCGAAACTTGTTATATGGTTTTGGTTTAGGTTTTTTTTTGTTTTTTTTTGTTTTTGCTAATATTTTAGGCAATTTACAAAACATAAGTTTATCTTAGATGAAATTGAAGACAACCCCAAGTATCAATTGAATTTTCAATGCTTTTGGAAGATCATGGAGTGGATAGGAAGGAGGGAGCTAAATCCATGACACGTGGATTTGGTTGAAAATTGAACTGAATGATTAAGGTGATGCTGATGGAGAAAAAGTGCTTCAGGTTCTTTAGTGGATGTGATTGTAGGACATAATATTATCATGGGGTTGGCTTCGATTCATCCACACTCTACAACTATGCTTAAATTGACAGGAGATGGCAAAAGGCAACCAACCCTCTTAATGGCATAACTACTTCACACCCAAATACTTCAAGTTCAGCTTATTTATGTCCTCCATAAGATGCCAGAGACTCCAAAGTTGTTTGTGAAGAATAATCTCTCTGTGTTGAAATTTTTATGCAAAAATGCAAGGCTTTGTCTTCCCTGGAATTGACAGGCCTGCCACAGGCATGAAAAGTGTTGATAGAGAATATCCTGCATACCGTTCAGTATCTGGGGGGAGGCAAAGCAAATGCGTCATGTCACCATCCAATGCCGGCATGGTTGTTGAAACTATAGAGAGAAGAAATAAGCACTGGTACCTCTTCCTTCTCCTGTTGTCAACTACTTGTATGCCAATATTGTCTTTCTGGTTCTGATGTATGTTTTCGAAACTATTTGATCTTTTCTTGCAGGTTTGTCCGGACACAAGTGGCAAGTGATTTGATCATACAAGTTGGAGATTCCAGCTTTCACTTGCATAAGGTATGCTACTATGCTGAAATACACTTCTTAATGGAACCAACAAAATTGACTTGAGCTATTATCAGGATCCGCATGTGAAATACGGATTGCTTTATCAAGAAAGGCTTTCTTTAATTGTAGGGAATTATTTTACCAAACTAGGTCAGCATGCTTATAGTAATAGCTCTAGGATGTTGTTACAATCATTATCCGAGTCTTTCGAACCCATCTGCCTTGTACTGTTTTGTTTAAGCAGCCTATTGATATGGAATTCCTCTTAAAAATGCCTTAAGTGAAGTCAGGCATCTGACATGTCGTATCGAACATTTAGACTCAAAAAATGGATCCAAATTTTGAATTAAGAAAATGAGATGTCATGTTCAGATTCTTTAAAGTTTGATTTACTGGTGTTTTGGTGCTCAGCTCCCGATGGTCATGAGAAGTGGACACTTGAACAGACTAGTATTCCAGAGAAGTGATGCAGAGAGAGAAACCAGCCGTAAAATTCACATAGACAATCTTCCAGGTGGAACCAAAGTTTTTGAATCAGTAGTCAAGTTCTGTTATGGTTGGAAGGCTGATCTAACTGCTGCCAACATTGCTCCACTATATTGTGCTGCACATTTCTTGGAAATGAGTGATGATTTTGAACAAGGAAATCTGATATCCAAAACTGAGGCTTTTTTGAGCTTTTTGATATTTTCATCATGGAAAGACACATTTAGGATTTTGAAAAGCTGTGAATCCATTTCTTCATGGGCTAATGAGTTTAAAATCACAAAACGAAGCGCCGAAGCCATTGCTTGGAAGGCCTGCACAAACGTTAAAGCATTTGGTTCTTCTGAGAATGATAATGCACAGTGCTTCAATGTTCTACCAAATAATGCAGAGAACTTAAAGTTTGAAGATGAAGCTGACATTTGGTGGTTTGAAGATGTTTCATCCCTAAGAATAGATCATTTCATTGAAGTGATCCAAGCCCTAAAATGTAAAGGGATGAGAGCAGACCTTGTAGGATCATGTATAGCTCATTGGACTGCTAAGTGGCTTGCACGAATAACTTCTGGGCTTGAAAGAATGACCCCAAAGCATATGACCCATCAATTACTAAGAGTTACAGCTGAGTGCTTGATTAAGGTACTGCCTACAGAGGAGAATTCAGTTACTTGCAATTTTATACTTCATCTTCTTAAGCTGGGGTTCATGACAAAGATAAATTCCGAATTGCTGAGCATGCTTGAAAGACGAATCGCTTTCATGTTGGATCAATGTCATGCTCCAGATCTCTTGGTTAAGAACTATGGAGGTAAAGATAGTGTCCATGATGTAGGTCTTATTGTAAGGGTGGTGGTGTCTTATGTTTCTATAGTTTTGAGTAGTCCCACACCAAAAATGTTCGCCGTTGGAAGGTTGATAGATGGGTATCTTACTCTAGTTGCAAAGGATGAGAACCTTACGGTGAATAGTTTCCAATCACTTGTTGAAGCATTGCCGAAAGACGCTCGGTATTGTGATGACAATCTTTATAGAGCCATTGACATGTACCTCAAGGTATAGAAATTTCTTCTCTTCCTTATTTTTTTGATATCATGCAGTAGTTAATGCATCTCATCACCAATTGAACCAGAAGAGGATGCAAATCCTACATTACTATAGGCTTAACTGCAATGACTTAAACAACTAAGTAGCTTATTGTTTTCTTACTGCAGGCACACCCTGGCTTAACAGAAGAAGAAAGAATGAGTCTATGTGGATCCCTGGAATATCATAGACTGTCACAAGAAGCACGCGAGCATGTAATGAAGAATGATCGGTTGCCCCTGAAGATTACGACACGGTTTTTCCTTCTTGAACAAGTAAATATGACTAGGTCAATGACAGCTATTGGATCAAATTACCGAAGAACGAAGACTCAGGCAATTGTCAGAGTAAACAAAGGTTTAGGGAAGGGATGGATGAACTCCAAGAAGGAAATAAACTTGATGACAAAAGAGGTTGAGACAATGAGGGTGCAACTCAATGATTTGCAAATGTGTAAATTAAAGCTTCAAAACCAACTGAAAAGGTGCATTATTTAGAAGAGAAATGTGGCCTTCATCAGAAAGTTCTTGGTATTGTACTCTTTTTTTTTGTAACACAAGTTTGACACCTTAATAATGTATAAAAAGATCTAATGGTCTGCATTAAGAAATTTTTATGCTATTTAACACCTTGAAATACCTCAGGCTCTGCTCTACCTTGAATTAAGACCACCAGAGAAGATCCACTTCTGGTCTTCTATTACCAGAAACTCAGATGCAATTACAAACCGGTTGAACTCAAACAGTCTTGGCACTATCAAGAAAGATAGGCTAGGCTGGCAAGGACCTTCAATCGGGAAACTGAAAATTTTGTAACAGCTCAACTAGACTAAGCAACAACTCAAAACAGTGTAAAATTCACAGTGCAAGAACATCAAAGAAATAGTTCATCAACCATATTTGGGTACGTGGTGACAAATTAAGAAGGAAAGAAATGTGTACACTGAACCAGAATAGTTTTGGCTGGCACATTAATATGAATAAGCCTGCCAGACCAGAAAACATTGTGCCTTCCATAAATCTTAACACTAATCACAGAGGCAGGCTGATTTAAATGAAAATTATCGTTCGACATCACTCGACGTTTCCCTTGAAAATGTAATTAAATTAATGGCATGCTTTACAAGATTATAAATAGTGTGAGGATAGTACATGTTTGATCACCCAAAAACAACTCACCTGTGGCAGAAGATACATATGAAAGCAAAAGCTTGGCTCCATTTTCCGGCTTGACTTTGCAATCCATCAACTTTCTTGATCAAGAAAAATTGGATTGTTGAAGGCTCCGAATCGCGTCATGGAACAAGCTGGCAGTAGCAGCAGCAAGAGGAAAGGCAAAGGGGTAGCTAGTAGCAGCAGTGCTGCAGAAACTGACACTTCATGGCCATTCAAGTTAAAACTCAAACTAGCCAACTTATATACTGATCTCCTCAAGCTTGACCCCTCAAAGGAGTTTGAAGAGCATGTTGTAGGGGCCATGAGTGAGGCTAACCGCAAGCTACTGGAGGACTGGAAACCAGTTTATATCTCAGTGTGTGATGTAACTGATGCTGTTGATACTTGTCAAACTTACAGCATGAAGTTGGAAAAGAAAGAGTCTTACTGGTTTGGACCTGGTTTTTTTACTCATCAGCCGCCCCCTACTGACACTTATTGATTTGACACCATTGGGCCCCTTAGACGTGTCGTGGTCTGAAAGAAGTTGTTCTTTCAGATCGAGAGATTGGCCCTCGATGGTCAGACAACAACACGAACACACTTCAGTTTACTGTTTTTTTGTTGTTCCAAGGTTGGACTTGCGCACCTTGTTTTGAGAGGAAACAGAGATTAATACCCCTATGTACAATAATTTTAAAGGATTTTTAAATTCCATAAAATTAATTACTATTTATTAAGTAATTTTATTAAAATATTTAAATACTAATTCTTCACTACATAAATAATAATTAAAACAAAATATATTTAAAGTGTATAGCCGGGCGGCTATACTATTTAAATATTTTAATATATTCAACGTGTATAGGCAGCTATACTTTTTAAATATTCGAATATATTTAAATGGTACCGGCTATACCATTTAAATATTTGAATATACTAAACAAGTATAGCCGAGTCGCTGTACTATTTAAATAATCAAATATATTCAACAAGTATAGCCGTGCGGCGATACTATTTAAATATTCAAATATATTTCACCCGTATAGCCGGGTGGCTATACTATTTAAATACTCGAGTGTATAGCCGACCGGCTAGACTATTTAAATATTCAAATATATTCAAAGAGTATAGCCGTGCGGCTATACGATTTAAATATTCTAATATATTCAAAGCGTATAGCCGCACGGTAGTACTATTTAAATGCTCGAATATATTCAAAGAGTATACCCGTTCGGCTATACTAATTAAATATATTCGAATATTTAAATAGCATAGCCGGTCGGCGTTACTGCTAAAATATATTCGAATATTTAAATAGTATAGCCGATCGGCTATACTTCCAAAATATATTAAAATATTTTAATATTCTTATATATTTAAACCTTATAGCCGCGCGGCTATACGATTGAAATACTTTAAACGATTTGTTGATCCTCAACCAAAAATACAAAGAAAAGGAAACGACATCTTGAAACGACATTGTTTGCAGCACGGCTATAATAATAACCAGACGGTTATGATGAATGAACATTGAAGAAAATAAATGATAGTGAATTAAAGGTGCAGACATGGAGCAGCTGAATGTGAACAAGAACACCAGCTCTTCTTCTTCAGAGGACTCAAATCCGTGTCCCATTTGTCTCGGACCCATAATTCAAGATTCTTACCTTGACAAGTGTTTCCGTACGTTCCCTCTCTCTCTCTCTCAATTTCTGTTTAGAATCTGGGAAAACTGAAAGGAGAATAAAACGAAAGAAAAGACCCAGTTTTTGTAATTTTCTCTGCAACCAAACGGTGGGATGGAATTTAATTTTTGTTTTTTAATGGTAAGTCGGTGTATCGATATTTGTTTTCAGTTTTCATGAATTTGGTTTCTCCAAGAAATCTGAAAGGGTCATAAAGAGACCAAATTGGTGAAAGATTTTCCTATAGTTGCCTGTAATGAATTTTTGCTATTAGTAAGATAGATGAAAGTTTAATTTATATTTGTGACTGATGAAAGTTTAATTAATATTTGATTTTGGTTAAAAGTTTAGGGCTTCCTTTTTCTATAGCTGTAAGCGGTCATGCTGAAAGCTTCAGTATTATGTTTCCTATAGTTGATAAGCTATAATGCTTGATAAACTCGGTCTTGTTGTATGAGTGTACCTGCACTGTATTATCTCATATGTTGAGCCTCATAAATTGACAAATTTTGTGTTGCAGATAAGTTTTGTTACAATTGCATCTTACGTTGGACCAAAGTTGTTGCTCACAAGCAGTCTTGCCTGCCTACGTCTGTAAAGTGTCCTCTTTGCAAGGCCAGTTTGTTCATATGGCATTCTATTTATCATACTCTGCTCCATTTTGTTTCTTATGCTGCGAAAAATTACTGACCGCACGAGTGTTTGGGTATACCACTTCTAAATTTAGTCATAGTGCTGATTTTTAGTGGCTTGGCGCAGACTGAAAATTTATCAATAATACATGGATATGATGGAAGTTCTTTTCAGAAGCATTACATCAACCAGGATTCTGGGTATGGGTTTTGTTGTTTCTTTTCTTTTCGCTTGTGTCTGTGTTGTAAATGTAATTTACTTATGTATGTTTCATTACTGGTATCTGCAGCTTTATCTTATCAAAAGATCACAAGTATAGATTACAATGCTATTATACTGAACCAGGTTTTGTGCTTGTCATTTGATTTATTGTTTGTGTTGTTTCTTATTTTATATCCTGAGAATTGCTATCACCGGTCTAGATGTCTTCCAGTTAACTTTGTTTTTCAATCAGGTTTCTTAAATGACATATTTGATGTCTTGCGGTATTGGAAATCCCATAAGTATCTTCAGCCAAATCGCTGGCTCCAAAGTTGGTTGAGAAGGGAAATCCAAGCTCTGATGCAGGTCTTGAGTTCTTCTTGCATGAATTTTCTCTCTTGGTGACATAAGGCACATTTCATTGTTTCAACATCCTAGAGACTTTCGTTTGTTTTTGGCTAGAATCACCCAGTCCAACTGGCTAAATCATAAAACTATGCATATGATCTATCGTTATCGATGACAGACGTGGCAGGAAATCTGTTTTAATCCTCTTTATAGCTAACTTGCTTCTTTTGCTGCTTGTAGGAGGAAGATGTTGATATCATTATGCACCACATACATGGGCTGATTCATTCATCCCTGACTAGGTGAAATTTGTTACCGTTTGGATCTCCAATTGAAAAATGATTTGATCATATTGAATGACATTTCCCGGTTTAGTCACCTTCTTTTGAGTTCTTTTGGATGAGATATGAAAAGGGATATACTATTTGAAGGCTTGAAAACCTGCAGAGTTTCAATAATCTTTGTGTCTGAACTTGCCTGCCTGAACCCTGCATTTTTTAGGCACGAACAAAAGGGTCAAACAAAAACACCTGAAGCCAAACAAAGAGAATTTCAGGAATCAATCTCTGATGCAGCAAGGCCTTTCCTAGCAGCAAGAACTGATCGGTTTGTAAATGAGGTGGAGCTATTTCTTGCTTCGGGTTTGAACATTGAAGCATACGATGCTGTGTGCATGCAACGCTTAGGTTGGAGTGCTCCAGGAGTAACTACGGAGCCTACAGAAGGAGAACTTGCCGAACACAGACCTGCGATCCCTTACTTGTATATTTTTTATGACTCCGACTGTAGTGATTGAAAGTTTCATCTTCACATGTATGAAACAATCACTTGCATTCTTGTGTTCACTGATATACACTGTACTTGTATTGGATCCATAAGCGAACAGTTAACATCGGTACTTGAAAATATAAGAGCCTGCATTCCCATCTTTTTCATGGGCTTTTACTATTTTTTCTTGGTCTATCCAACTTGTTTGACTCTTGTAGACTACATTGACACCATCAACATAATTCAATTATGACGTAATGATTTTTTTGGGTTTTTTGGTTTTTTGGTTTTTCGGATTTTCATTTTATGTTTTTTGGTTAAGAGTTCGATAACGGTAAATAAATTAACTATACACAGATGCTAGGACTCAAATTCATGACTTTTTCTGAGGGAGCAATTGCTCCAAACCTACACTAGTGGGTTGTCTGCATATTGACAATCTTTTGAGGTACTACAGTGTGGTTATTTTTGAAGTTGAGATAGATAAGAGAAGAGGATGAGGGATGTAAGCGGGAGATGAGAAGAGAAGAATGCATAGAGATTTTTTAAAATTAAATAAATAAAAATTGATAACTCAAAAATACTTTTATCGACCTATAAACGTAACCCTACCAATCACAGGATTTTCCACTTTACCCTTACTGACCCGACGCGACTAACTCATCCACTTTAAAGGGTAATCTCGTCATTGTGGTTGAAATAGAATTACAACGGCCCGTTATGCGGAAATGTGTAATTGGATATAATCATATCATATGACTGATGAGTGCTGGGCTTGTCTGACAGAGCAGTAGCAGATATGGCGATAGGCTCAAATTATGGAGCTTTCACGGAGAAATTCGTTCTGCAACCACACTCTTCATCACATGACCTTCCTTTGAGTGGCCTCACTTTTGCTGTCAAAGACATGTGAGCCACTCTGTAATCTATACATGTGGTCTCAAGTTTTCCTCAATATATCACTCTTTCATTTGGTTAATGCAGCTTAAATTCTATGTTTTCGTTCTTATTTGCCAATTTCAGATTTGGGTTCAATCAATCACTGTTCTTGAGTAAACCATTTTGTGTGTTTCTGTGATTGTGTTGTGTGAGTGTTTGTACAAACTATAAATGATTTTTTAGCAATTAGGCTGTATCTATGTGATTTGTGTGCGTTTATGTGTTTTGTAAAACCATATTGATAGGGTACTGAATTGCGCAATCTTTTCATGTGTGTATCTGTGGTAAAGCGAAATTTTTTTGTTTCCTCACTTAAATTTCAACTTGGAAGCAGATTTGATGTGGCTGGATATGTGACTGGATTTGGAAATCCTGATTGGGCAAGGACTCACCCAGCTTCCGAATCGACAGCTCCAGCTGTTTCGGCAATCTTGAGGGGAGGTGCCACATGTAATGGTAAAACTGTCATGGATGAAATGGCATACAGGTTAGTTGAATTACTATTTTTATTGCAAGAAATGGCGACAAAACAATCTATATAAGTCTATTTTCGTAGTATTTTGTATTTGAACAATGATACCGTGCAATAAAGAGCTGTAGGAAAGAAGGCTCTTAATTTTGTAACTTGGCAGAATTTCACATTGTGTTCTTGGCAGTATAAATGGAGAGAACAAGCATTATGGTACGCCCATAAATCCATGTGCACCGGATAGGGTGCCTGGAGGATCATCTAGTGGCTCTGCTGTTGTAGTAGGTGGAGACCTTGCAGATTTTTCCTTAGGTAAGTTATTCCTTCTTGTACGATCTTTTGTATTTCTTGCCTCTTTTTGTTGAAGCACAAGAAACTCCCTTTTTCAGGAACTGACACTGGAGGAAGTGTTAGAGTTCCTGCTTCATATTGTGGAATTTTTGGATTTCGGCCATCTCATGGTGTCATTTCTACTTCTGGAGTTATTCCTATGGCACAAAGTTTTGATACTGTGGGTAAGAAATCAAGTGTTTTATTTTATTGCAGACTGGCTTGGAAAATGTTCCAGAGATTTTTGTATATGACAAAAAAACTCTGTTTCGGATTTCCCTCAATTTGATATAATGGGAAAATATAGTCTTTAGTTCTATTTTTGGAAGCAGATAACTTCTTCCACCTGATGATTCATATGCTATCCATGGATTCTGCGTTTTGATTGATTATTATTTGTGATACTTTAGTAAATTTAAGTTTCAGTATTAGGAAATATGCCATTTTTCAGAAAGCTTTACTCTTGTGAATGATGTATCTCTAGTTGCAACATAAGAGCTTTATAATATGTAGCACTCTTGCAATTGAAAATCATCCCTTTGACACCAACTTCTGATCTAGGATGGTTTGCCAGGAATCCTGCGATTTTGAATAGAGCTGGAAGAGTGTTACTGCAATTGTCTGATATGAGTCCTGTCGGACCTACTCAGTTAATCATTGCAGATGACTGTTTCCAGCTTTCAAGCATTCCAAGCAATCGAGTAAAACAAGTACTTGTTGACTCAGTTGAGAAGTTATTTGGGGGTAAGTGAATTGACCATATTGATCTGTTTTAGGTCCAGCTATAAGCATTTTAATTCATACATTATTGAGTCCAAATTATTTTTTCCCAGCATTTTAAGTCACAAATATACCATCTAAATTGGAGCAGATATGTTATCACCTGAAAATCATCATCCTCTTAACTTGGTTATGTTAGTTCTCTTGCTGAGATACAATAAAGATGCCATCATAATATGGAAAGAAGAAGCTCACTTATTTTATCTACTAATGCAGGTCATGTTATAAAGCATGCTAACCTTGGGGACGTTGTCAAGGACAAAGTTCCAAGCTTGAACTGTTTCTTGGATAAAGGAAATGCAGGTCAAGAGTATAATATTCCATCCTTGGCAGCCCTATCATGTGCCATGCGTCTACTTCAAAGGTGCTGACTTGGTGGACTTGAATATGAAAGTGTGATTTCTCTATGTTGATTAATGAAATTCAATTTATCTTTGGTGTTGAGTTCTAAATATATCATTGGGAGCATAGGTATGAGTTCAAGAACAACCATGGTGAATGGGTCAGTACAGTCAGACCTGATTTAGGTCCTGGGATAGCAGAACGTGTATGGGAAGCTGTTCGAACAACAGATGAAAATGTCGATGTATGTCACTCTGTGAAGACTGAATTACGTGTTGCTCTTACTGACCTTCTTGGGGTATTCTCTCTCTCTCTCTCTCTCTCTCTCTCTCTCTCTCTCTCTCATGCAAATCTTCTTTTTGGGATGTGATGATCCCACACTTAAAATCAAATGAGTTCAAATCCTTATTATTCTTGACAAAGTTTCTTGTGGAGGTGTTAAGGATGCCTGTATGCATTAAGTAACAGTATACAATGTTGTTTTTACATGTCCTGCCTACGCACATGGACAATATTTGGTCGGATTCTCTTGAATGTTCAGAACAGTAGCTCTGTTCCATTTGACTCACGTTTCTTCTCTGAAAAACGATTTTGGGAGAAACATGTTTTGTAGAAGGATGAGAGCACAAGACTATTTGTATCATTGCTGTAAAGCTTTGATTAATCTTACTTGAATGAATCTGGCTCATCCAGTTCCTGTATATGCCATCTCAAACATAAAGGGAGCCTTTTTCAATCATATTGAAGAACTGATTCATTCTTACTCAAAATACCTAACGTTGTTCCCCTGCAAAAACAACCTTAAACGAGGATTTTCCCTCAGGCCAAAAGAAACAGAATGAGAACTTTCCCATGTCATTTCAATGGTCTTGTTTTCTCAAGAACCAAATGAAGAATATTGTTCATATTTCCTCATAATTTTCAGATTGGTCAGAGTAGAGAGACTGAAAGATTGTTATTTGTTGCTACTCAGTGTTAGTTTTGAGATAATTTGGTAACAGAGATAACCTTGCATCTTACTTTCCTTTATAACCCGTTGGCTTGATTTTCTTCTAGGATTTTGGTGTCCTCGCAATTCCTACTGTTCCAGGGGCTCCACCAAAACTGCAAACAGATCCTACTACACTGGAAACTTTCCGTGCCAGGGCATTTAGCTTGCTATCCATTGCCGGAGTATCTGGGTTCTGCCAGGTTTTTTAGCCCTCTCTAGATCTCTCTCTCTCTCTCTCTCTCCCCCTCTTTCCATGAGTGCATGTTCGGGCATGAGGCCAAATGTGACACATTACAATCTTTTCCTTCCTCAATTACGCCAAATATCTTGTGAAAGTATGTCATCTCTTTCTACATATTTGCAGGTTAGCATACCACTAGGCCTGCATGATGAACTACCTGTGTCAGTTTCCTTGTTGGCAAAACACGGCTCGGATGGGTTCCTACTCAATCTTGTTGAGACTCTTTATGACACTCTCAAAGAACAGGTTGGAAACTTGGGGTTGCTGACAAGATTATGAGTTGCAAATTCTGGTCTCTTCCTAACATATGAGTGTAAGTTCTGATGCCTAAAATAGACAGGAATTTCCCTGCTTTCATCCTTGTGTATGGTTCATGAACAAGTAGTTATACTAGCAAACTCATCTGAGCCTGACCAATTGGCCCAGTTTCAAGCTGTTAAAGCTTTTATAACAGCTTTTATGGTCACATTTCCAGATACTAATAATATTTTGTGAGAGCATCCTAAAGTAGGTAAAGAAATACGGCCTTTGTGGTTCTTCTGCACAATAGGCCATTAAAAATTGAGCTATGAAGAACCTACTCTGGTTGCTCTTGCTGCCATTAAATTTAGACTAGTAGAAGTGAAGTAAGTAGTGGCAAATGCCTGGTCAAGGAAGAAGGTGGGGGTAGAGGTAGGTAGTAGGTAAGGTAAACAAGAGTGGGCGCTCTCTTCAGCCTCTGTCAACTGTGTTTGCTGCGTTCAACAAATGACAACTTGTATTTTATGGGCTTCTGACTTCATTAATCTTTTTATTTTTCGGTCAATAAAAAGCCCCTACGACACTATGTGTGGTTTATGAGTGGTTCTGTCTCAAAACCTAAGCGCCACTTACACTCGTGCATAGCACGGCCCACTCTCGTAACAACTGGAATTATGGATGGAATTTGTATACCATACAATTTTATATACTTTCCTTTCTTTTGTCTATCGGTGCTTGAAAAAAAACTTGCATGTTACAAGAATAACACTATTTTGATGTCTCCAATTAATCACGTAGATAAGGATTTTACCTGACAAAACTAGATGGTTGTGATTGGTATGAATCTTGTGTCGTGTACCAACTGATTCGATCAAATCCGGTTCAAATTAATCTGTTTTTGAAAAAAGTAGAGATTAAGTAAGACCTCTAAATTAACAAGTTGATATAATTTGATCATTACGAAATTGATCGTAGAAAGCCAATCTAATTCAGTTGGATTCTAGCTTCAAATTTGCACTTGAATTGGATTCAATCTATATCGAATTGGATGCAAATTTGCCAAAAACCCCTGTATATAAAGGTGAAATTTACTTTTGTCTTGACAAGGAAAAAAGAAAAAAAAAAAAAAAAAAAAGAACACCGTATTGCCCTTTCTTCACCAACCCAGTGGCCTGGTCCCCGCGGATCGTTGATCCACGCGCCACCACCTGCATGGCAAAAACGAAGAAGCCAAACAAGCGAATCGGAAGGACCCCTTTTTATAATAAGGCCAACAGCGTTGAGTTGAGTAGCAGCAGCAGCCTAAATGCGACCTTTCCAACGAGTATGGATCAAATAAATTCATATTCCAACATTTAACTGATTTAATTCAACACACACACACACACACACTCACATTCATAGTCAGTGAGATTGTTTGTTTGTTTATAAGTAATTAGCACCAAAAGAACCACAGAGAAATTCAATCAATAACCAGATTGGTTGTGGAATTCAACTGAATTTTGAAGAGAATAATGGAAGTGAAAGCTAGAGCTCCTGGGAAAATCATCCTCTCGGGTGAACATGCAGTTGTTCATGGATCTACAGCCGTTGCTTCCTCCATTGACCTCTACACCTATGTCTCTCTTCGCTTTCCCACTCCTTCTGGTACGCTCTATCGCTCTCTTGCTATTTTGGATTTCTTCTTCTTCTTTTTCTTTTTTTCTTCCATCAATCGATTTATTTATTTGGTTTGTTCTGGTTTTGGTGCCTTTGGGATTGGTTTGATTTGGGTTATGGTTGCGATGTCATTCGGAAGCTACAATTTTGAGTTCTGTTAACCGTGTCTCTCCTTGTATCATTATTGTATTTTCTTTTGGATGAGATGATTGTGTATCTGAAACTTATTTCTACTTGGGTTCATGGGTTTTTCTTAAGCTTTGTGATTTTACCAATGCAAAAGTTTGTGTCTTTTTGTGAGCTTAACATTTGCCTATTGGGTTGCTTGAAATCATATGATTAAAAGAAACCCTTTTGATATGATGTATAAATCTATTTCGTGGATTACTCTGCCAGCCTAGTTGCAGGGTTTAAGTGATATTAGAAATCTGATTACTTTCAGGGATATGTTTTCGAGAACGATAACTTTTTTGATCTGGAAACTAATGGGATTCATATCCTCAAGTGATATTGAATGAGTTTCTCACTGCTGTTTCCTGCTTTTTTTCATAGACAATGATGATGCACTAAGACTCCAGCTCAAGGATGTTGGATTAGAGTTTTCATGGCCAATTGGTAGAATTAAAGAAGCACTATCAGAAAAAGATATTCCCAACTCATCAGTGCCGACCTCATGTTCAATAGAGTCACTTAGATCACTTGCTGCTTTAGTTGATGAACTAAAGATTCCAGAAGCAAAAATTGGACTTGGTGCTGGAGTGTTGGCTTTTCTTTGGCTGTATTCATCTATCCAAGGGTGTGTGTCCATTTTTTGTTTATATAGTTGAATGCTTTTAGTTCTTGGATGTATATTTTTATTTTCTTAATTTCTAATTTCTTCTCTTTATGGATCAGATATAAGCCTGCGACTGTTGTTATTACTTCAGAACTTCCTTTGGGTTCAGGCCTGGGTTCATCTGCAGCATTATGTGTTGCACTGTCAGCTGCTCTTCTTTCTTTCTCAGACTCTGTAAATCTGGATTTGAGCCACCAAGGGTGGTTAACTTTTGGGGAAAGTGAACTTGAATTGCTGAACAAATGGGCTTTTGAAGGTGAAAAGATTATCCATGGAAAGCCATCTGGAATTGACAATACAGTTGCTACATATGGTATGTTAGTTTTTGACTTGTGTCAGATAATTATATCTTCTTGCATCAATATCTCATTTCTTCTTCTTTTTCTAATCTTCTTTCCTGGAATCTTTGAATTATAAAATTCTGGAATTAATTGGATATATAGTTTCTCGGGATTAAATATGAAGAGTATGTCATGATGTCCAAAAGCTAATGGTAAAAGGGAAATTTGACAATGCTGTCCAAGCCACCATTTTTCATTCATGAAGGAACTACTTTACTAGTGCTTGCTAGTACCGTGACGATAATCCAACTAGATCCACATTGTATCCTGAAGTTCTTAATAGGATCTCTTTTGGGTTCACCCAGAACTGTGTAATTTTGAATTTCTGCATTTCAAGCTGCTTGTCAGTAGCCTCCTTTCAAATAGGTAATCAGATATTTATGGATACTATAGCAATTAACCTTAACCACTTAAACCAGTTGATCCTAAATCATCATCTTAAGTATGCTTAGTTATTCTATATATAGGCTGTAAATGACTACACTATTTTGCATAATGTTTAAGAAAACCTCAATTTGAAGATTGAGTGGGATTTTATAGGGGTCATGGATTCTCATTTTGGTTTCATCATGATTAATCTAGAAACTTCTGAATAACCTATAATTATAGTGATTCAGGTTGACATGTTTGTTAGAGTTCAAATGTTAACCATGGAGTATTTAGTTTCCTCATCTGTTCAAGGGAAGGGATTAACTGCATTTGATTTTCTACCACAAAATTCTTATGCAACAGGCAATATGATCAAGTTCAAATCAGGTAGCCTAACTCGCATCAAAACAAATATGACACTGAAAATGCTTATTACCAACACAAAAGTTGGGAGGAACACAAAGGCCTTAGTTGCTGGTGTTTCAGAGAGGACCTTAAGGCATCCAGAAGCTATGGCTTCTGTGTTCAGTGCAGTTGATTCTATCAGCACGGAATTGGCTACGATCATCCAATCACCCGCTCCTGATGATCTCTCCTTAACTGAAAAGGAATCAAAAATAGAAGAGTTGATGGAAATGAACCAAGGTTTGCTCCAATGTATGGGGGGTCAGCCATGCTTCAATTGAAACCGTTCTTCGGACAACGCTCAAATACAAGTTAGCTTCAAAATTGACAGGAGCTGGGGGTGGAGGTTGTGTTCTCACGCTATTACCAACCTGTATCCTTTTTGTGATTCCATTTATTTTTAGTTTCTTATCTTTACAGTTCATGATGAATGCCTTGATATGGTTTAATGAGTTTGAATTTTTCAAAACTTTGCCAAAATTAAACTATCTTGCCTAAAAAGTCTTTGATTATATGAAGCTAGATAGACTAGCTTGCCTAAACAATTTTCTTATTTTCTCATGTCTGAACATTGTTTCTCTTAACCACATGAATCAGTGTTATCAGGAACTGTTGTTGATAAAGTAACTTCTGAACTGGAGTCTTGTGGGTTCCATTGTTTGACGGCTGCCATTGGTGGAAATGGTGTTGAAATTTGCTTTGGCGATTCATCCTAACCTTTACGCTGAATCTCAAGTGGTGAGAGTAAGATCTAGCTCCATTGCTGACTGGTAGGACAGAAGCACTGTTTGTTCTGTAAATTATCTTCTTGTGTTCTGCTTTCAAATCTGATCGACTTTCATCTTCAAGCTTATTTGACGGGAACTCTCAGCTTTTTGGTTCCAAATTAATAATTTAAATATATGCCAATTCGGTGCAAGTCAATCAATGTAACTTTTGTCATCCGTGATATTGAAAATAAATGTTTTTATCTTTTGGGGAAGTGATGCAATGCCTATTGTTACATTCAACTTTGCAAATTCTGCATAGATTTCTTGTGACACAAACAAGATATATATGCTTTTCCTTGAGGCAGGACTTGAATTGTTTGTTAATGTTATGCTCTGCAGAGCTTAGAATTGTTTTTACATCTCAAACTGACACCCAGCAACATAACCAAAACTCTTTTCATATTTTATTAGCAGAAAGCACATATACAGACCATTTCATGATCATTCTCTACATATACAACTCTTACCCTTACAAGGAAACAGAAACTAGCTAATACATTATGACTCAAAAGACCCAAAACCACCAGCCGAAAGACTCCTCCACAAACCCCATCAAGCATTCACTACAGTCCCACCTGCAAAATCACAAAATAGCCATTAAAATACAAACAAGGGTGGGTGCTCATCAGACGAAATGCATTATCACAGACAGATCATTACCATTGGGATGGAGAACTTGGCCAGTGTAATAAGAAGAGAAAGCATTGTCAGCAAGGAAGACGTAAGCCGGCGCAACCTCATACGGCTGTCCAGCTCGCTGCATTGGCACTTCGGAGCCAAACTGTGTAATCTCCACCTCATCAAAAGATGCTGGAATCAACGGTGTCCAGATGGGTCCCGGAGCTACACCGTTGACACGAATGCCTTTGCTTACCAGCTGAAGAGAAAGTGCTCTAATGAATGCCACAATGGCTCCTTTGGTGGAAGTATACTCAAGCAGCTGGGCGTGTCCCTTGTAGGCGTTCACTGATGTTGTGCAAATAATGGAGCTGCCTTCTTTCATGTGCTTCAAAGCATGCCTAACACATTCACAGTAAAAATGTTAAGACCATGTTTGGTGTAACATTCTGGTTTTCTATTTGTATTTACCTGGTCATGTAGAAATGAGAAAATATGTTGGTTCTGAAAACCCTCTCCAAACGGGGCTCATCAATCTCTTCCATGGAGCCCGCCTTGTACTGCTCGGCCGCATTGTTGATGAGGATATCGATGCGGCCATAGGCTTTTGCCACCTCCTCAACAACCTTCTTGCAGTTTTCATCATAACCCAGATCGGCTGCAAGGGCCTTGGGGTCCTTGGCATCAGAAGTCTTCACCTTTTTTATCATTTGGAGTGTGTCATTTGCGTCCTTGTCCTCCTGCTCCTTCACATATGTGAAGGCCACAGTTGCACCCTCTTGAGCAAACAGATAGCACACAGCTCGACCAATCCCAGAGTCCCCTCCTGTAATTAGCGCCACCTTCCCCTGCAAAACAAAATTATTAGCTACTAATTAATATTAAGCTCTTAACTAAGCTGAATTATATGTGATTATACTTGGAGCTTATTGGAGGGCTTGTAATCTGGGTTTGTGAACTGAGGATTGGGGTCCATGAAATGTTCTTTCCCAGGCTGAGTTCCTTGTTTCTGAGGAGGGAATTGCTGCTTGCCACCAGAAGCCATTGTTCTTCCAAAAACTCTTAAAATGGGACTTTTCAAAGAAGTTGCCGGAGAGTGTGGTTTAATATTCCAGTGATTTCCGAGGTGGGTTTTGGGAGAGAAGGAAGAAAAAGCTGACGATCTGCTCTTTATAATGAGGAAACTAAAAGGGAAAGCATGCAAGTGGTTCACAAGATTTGGACAATGCAATTATATAGGGACATTGAATTTGACACGTGGCAGGGAACCAGTGTCTACGTGTCCTGACAGTCGCATGCAGCGTGCACATCTGTGGAAGCGGGCGGACAGCTTTGTTGACACGCATGCCTGAAATCAAAAGGGGCTTTCTAGAGTGACCAGGATGATGGGCTAATAATATCCTCTGAAACATTGACATAACTCACACCAGAAGATCAAATCAGAGGAGGAGAAATGAGGAGGGCTTGAAGAAAAAAACTTGAATTTTTTGTTATAGCTAAACGTTTGACTGCTGCCATTGGTGTGGAAATTATTAAGATCTGAGCTACATTGCTGACTGATCTGTAAGATCTGAAATTATTAAGTTTGTTGTCTTCTATATTTTAACTCCGAGTGCATGCATCTCGCCTTCAAACTTTTGAAAGAAACACACAGCTTCTTTTCGTTTTCTTTTTTTGTTCTTCTCAGCTGTGATATTAGAAATAAATGTTCATATATTTTGGGGAGTGATGTAATTAAATAATTTTAACATTCAACTTTGTAAGTCCTGCACAGAGATCATACATTTATGAACTCTTTAACTTATTTGTTTTATTAGCAAAGAGTGCATACAGTATGTACAGACATTTCACCTGAGCTAATAGATACAGAAGCAGACATTTACAAATTAACCCATTTCATCACCGTTCTCTGCATACACAACTCTTACCCTTACAAGAACAAAGAACATAGTACTAGCTACTTTATTATGACCCAAAACACAAAAAGCCACCACCTAAAAGATTCCTTCTGTCAAACCCCATCATACCCCACCTGCAAAATCACAAAAATTGGCAAATTTTTTAATAAATATGTAACAAAATTACTATACAAACAAGGGTGCAGCAGCACGTCAGACTAAATGTTTATATGGATAAATAGTCATTACCATTAGGATGGAAAACTTGGCCAGTATAGTAGGAAGAGAAAGCATTGGAAGCAAGGAAGACGTAGGACGGGGCAACCTCAAACGGCTGCCCAGCGCGCTGCATTGGCACTTCAGAGCCAAACTGTGCAGTCTCTTCCTCATCGAAACATGAGGGGATCAACGGGGTCCAGATTGGTCCAGGCGCCACACCGTTGACACGTATGCCTTTGCCTACTAGGTGAAGTGCAAGTCCTCTAATGAAGGACACAATGGCACCCTTTGTTGCAGTATAATCAAGCAGCTTATCATTTCCTTTGTAGGCCACCACTGATGTTGTGCAGATTATGGAGCCACCTTCTTTCATGTGCTTCAAAACATGCCTAGCACATAACAAAAATGTTGTCAATGTCAAGGGCTTCGTTTGGTAAAGCTTTCGTTTTCGTTTCGTTTTTATTTACCTGGTCATGAAGAAATAAGAAAATACGTTGGTCCTGAACACCCCCTCCAAACGGGGTTCATCAATATCTTCAACTGAGCTTGCCTTGTACTGCTCGGCAGCATTGTTAACCAGAATATCAATGCGTCCATAGGCTTTGGCCACCTCATCAACGACCTTCTTGCAGTTTTCATCATAACCCAGATCAGCTGCTAGTGCCATGGGGTCTTTGGCATCAGAAGTCTTGGCCTGCTTGATCATTTGCATTGTGTCACGTGCGTCCTTGTCCTCCTGCTCCTTCACATATGTGAAGGCCACAGTTGCACCCTCTTGAGCAAAGAGATGGCACACAGCTCGCCCTATCCCAGAGTCACCACCTGTCACTAGCGCCACTTTCCCCTGCAAAACTTAATTGTTAGCTAGTAATTAAGTTTAATTAAGCACCTACCACGATATATAACAAAAATTATAAGTACTTGGAGCTTATTGGAGGGTTTGTAATCTGGGTTTGTGAACTGAGGGGTGGGGTCCATGGCATGCTCTTTCCCAGGCTGAGTCTCTTGTTTTTGAGGTGGGAATTGCTGTTTACCACCTGAAGCCATTGTTCTTCTCAAAACTCTTTAGAACAAGAAAACACTGATGATCTGCTTGTTAAGGTTCTTGATGAGGATAGTGATCAACTATAGGTTGTGGTGGTGCAAAATGTTGATATGGGGTTATATAGAAATTTGAATTGACAAGTGGAAGAACAGGTGGCAGGGAGCTGTTTCTACGTGTCCTGACCTTTACATGCAGAGTAAACATATGTGAAAGGGGACAGTTGTGTTGACATGGCCATGCGTGAATCAAGAGACTTCCTGGAGTGATCAGGTGGGGCTCATAACACTAGAGAAGGAAACAGAGGAAAAAAAAATGAAGTCTTGAACAGAACCTACTTGAACCAAAGCCTTTGATTGTTTGAGGTAACTGATTTTTCTTCGATGTTTTTTTCTGGGTTTTGGGGCATGCCTTTGCATGTTTTCCACGTGCTAGGCCAACTGGCCAAGCAACTGATACTTGTCAATCTGACACGAAGCTTATCGTTGTGCAATTGATCAACACCTAAACACCTGGAAGCGCTTTCAATTCAAACCACCTCATAAAATAATCTCAAGTCTTTCACTTCTTCCACCTCTCTCTGTCTCTGGTGCATTCTTATCTAAAGCTTATTCTCTAACTTTCACAAAAGGACTTTCTGCATTAATTGAAACCATGGCCTCCCTGATCAGACTTAGCTTCTTCTTCTTTGTGCTTTTTCATGCCTTTCTCTTACTTTCTCCCTTTGTGCATGGTAGTGGTATGTGCTCACTTTTCCTTTCTCTTTCTTGAAGTCATTCTTTTCTGTGAGGAATTATTTGAGTTGTATATATACTCTGCTCTTTGCATGCATGTATAGCGGGACAAGCTGATTATTAGTTATTAGATTTTGCTAATGATATTGGACAGCTTCAGTTGGTGATTAAGTTAGTTGGAGGACCAAACTTGTAACATTTGGTATGATTTCAGACTTTATGTGGCTAACCAATTCTGAAGCTTACTACACACCTATTTGCCTGCAGATGAAGATGAGGACAATCTTCTCCAAGGCATTAACAGTTACCGAAGATCACTAAACTTGCCAGTCCTCGTCAAGAACGATAACGCAGGTTGCCTAGCAGATAGAATTGCTGATGATATAGAGGACCTGCCTTGCAGCAGCCCCACCAACGGTGCTAACATTCTGCCTAGCTCTCAGAGTCCACTTGCCAATCTTCCCAAGCACTTAAGGAAGTGCAAAATCGATGCCAACAGCACACAAGATGGGGTTATTTTGCCTGTTTGTGTGCCTAAATTGGTCCCAACTCTGGTGCTAACCAATTATACTCACTCTCCAAAATACGCAAAGTATCTGAACGATTCGAGGTTCAGTGGGGTTGGGGTTGGCTCTGAGGATAATTGGGCTGTGGTGGTTTTGGCCTCATCTAACCCAAGTGGAAACTTTGCTAATGCAGCAGGATCTTTAGTTTCAATGTTCGGTTTTGGACATTATTTGGTCTTCTTGTTGTTAGGAGTATCTCTTATCTTGGTTAGCTGAAGTTGAAGTTGTGTCTTTTGCTCTTGTTCTTGTTATGTTGTACCTTATATGCAACTTTTGGTAGTTTTAAATGAGTGTATATTTTGATGGAAGGATTCAGATTGTATGTAATTCCTGAACTATATATGTTTTTATTTCAATCTGTTATTTGCATTAGATATGTAATTATGCAGGCAGGGCATCTTTGTAGTATCTCAGCTAAAAGGTACATAGATCTTAACTATGCCATTTCTGAATAAGATTTGTCAACCAGAATTCTCTAGGCAAGAGATATGAGAGAGAGAGAGAGAGAGAGAGAGAGAAGCAACTCTATCCACTTTTCCAAGTTATGTATAACGAACAAAAAGAGATTGCACCTGGAACAACTTGGCAGCCAAGGCAACTCACAGAAAGCAAAGAATTGAGGAACAATATTCAGCTCAAAGTCTCTAAAAGAAAATCTTAACCGCAAGCCATCTTCTTATTCTTTCCCTCTGGTGTGTTTTTATCTACCCTCTTGTCACAAGGCCCTGTCCTAGCAAGCACTGAAACCATGGCCTCTTATAAACTGAGCTTGTTTCTCCTGGCGCTTATCAATTGCTTGCTCTTTCTTTCTCATCCAGCGTCTTGTAATGGTATTCTCTTTCTCTGTCTCCCATTTTTCCATATTTGTTTTAGTCTGTTTGAAGAGAAACAGAAAGTGTACTTATTTCTTGGTTTGCAGAAGAAGAAGACAAAATTTTCCAAGGACTTAACAGCTTCAAGCAATCACTAAAGAAGAACAGCAATGCAGAATGTCTAGCTGATGAAATTGCAGATGAGCTAGAAGACCAGCCATGTTCCAGTGCAGACGACTACGCCATAGAGCCAGGCAATGGCCCAAAATTCCCAAAATTCAACAAGCTCATCAAGAAGTGCCACATAGACATCAACACCACCACAGATGGTATCATCTTGCCCGTTTGTGTGCCCAACTGGGACCCAGATCTTGTGATAAAAAACTACACTCACACCCAATATGCCAAATATCTGAATGGTTCTAAGTACACAGGAGCTGGGGTTGGCACTGAGGATGATTGGGTGGTGGTTGTGTTGAGCACTGACACAGAAAGTGGAAGCTTTTCTGGTGCTCCTTCTTTGGCTGCAATTGGCATGGTTCATTACATGATGGCCATGTTGCTGGGGTTGTTCTTGATTTTGCTCTGCTGAATTGCTCTCCTGTTTTCTCTGATTATGTGTTGGTGGAATTTGTGAAAAAATAATGATGTGATTTTACCCTTCTCTTAATCACTATTGTAAGAATGTGCGACTTTTTCTTCTGATTTAAAAGTATGATGTAATTGTTTGTCGTTGCAATTATTTCTCAGTTCTCATTCTTTTCAACGGCGAAGTTTGCTCTTTCCCGACAATTTTCGTAGGGATCGACCTCTCCCGGCGAAGTTTATTCTTTGCCGACAAATATTAGCCGGTATAGACATTTCCCGGCAAGTGTGTTCTTTATGACCAATTTTCGCCACCTTTCGGCCAATTGATCTTAGACATAGACAACATGCTTTCATCACAAAAATAAAATAAAATAATTAGACAACATCCACATATGCTTGGGCTTAGTGGTTGAAAATGACTCCAAAAAATAACAAATACTATCTTCCCAATTTTTTAAACCTTGGATTGCCATTCTTGAATAATTAATTTCCATTAAATTCAAGTGGTATGTACAATATATAAACTTAATTTTAATTTTTAACTCTAATATATTTGTTTATATATAAGTATAAAATTATGGACACATTCATAAGAGCATCTTGGAGATGTGAAATACAAAATGTTAAATTTGAATTTGATAGTTTATGTGTCAATTTGACACTTTGGAAAAAATTTACAAATATCAAATATTATTTTATTTTATTATTTATTTAAAAGCAAATTTGACCCATATGATGCATAAAATTTTAAAAATAGAGGAAATAATAGTGGGATTCATGATTAAAAAAAAATCAAAATAATATTTGACATCAAGCTTTTTTATTTGTTATTTTTTACATATCTTTTCCAACATTTAAATTCACATAGAATTTGACTACTCAGTTGGAGCAACTTTAACCTTCAATTTTTGTCATTTTATATCCATATAACAATTTAACATATCAATTGAAGATGCTCTAACTACGCTATCAAAGGACGAATGAATAAATGACAAATTACTCGAAAAATTCAATCAAAAACATGAATTTAATAGAATGATATTTTAAAAACGAAAATACATTCTAATTTTTTTTCCTCTATTGTATGTCGTCCAAATATGTTTAGATTTCGTAGACTCTCAGTTCTCATTCTTTCCAACAACAAAAAACTTTAGCTTAGCTGTATTGGATCGATGGTCCACGTCAGACTCCCACATGCAACAAAACCAAAACCTGCGCGAAACAGAGAACACCAAAGCCATAGACACAGAGAAACAGAGAGAGAGAGAGACAGAGCTTCAAAGCCCTCAGAGCAATGGCGGAGGACGACGACGCCGAGGGCTTCGGAGACTTCAAGTTCGTCACCGCCGTCGATCCCAATCCCAAGATCAATGGACGAGTTTCGACCGTCTCAGATGACGATTGGGGCGACTTCGTAACCCACAATACAAGTCAGATCAAAACTCAGGCCGTGCTCTCCAATGGACTCACATACTCCCAATCACCTCCCACCCAAATACCCTACGACCCTTTCGGTTTTTTCAACATTGCTAATGGGTCGGCGCCTTCCCGACCCAATTCCGAGCCAAGCCGGGTTGACACTGAGCCCGAGAAGGTTGACAAGACTCGTTGGATGAAGCCTCAGGGAGCTCTGCCGTTATCGTTATTTGGGGAAGAGCAGGAAGAAGAGAAGTCTGGTGCGGGCGAGTCCAGGGTTGGGGACGTTGCGACCGGCTTGACAAAAAATGAGGGATTTGTAAAAAACGAGTTGAATTTGAATGTTAGTAGTGTTGGGATTAACGATTTGATTGCGAATTTGTATGGTCAGAATCCAAAATTCGTGGTTCAAAATGGATCGAATTCGAATTTGGGGTCTGGTGGTCTTAATTCGACCATAAAGGGGTTGAATTTTAGTCCCAATACATTGGATTTGAAGTTTGATTCACTGATTCCAAATGAAAATGGGAAATTTGGTAGTTTGAATTCGGCTTCGAATGGTTTGGATTTGAAATTTGATGGTGTAGATTCGCATTCGAATTTGGGGTCTGGAACTCCTCATTCGACCAAAAACGGGGTGAATTTTAGTGCCAATGCGTTGGATTTGAAATTTGATCCTCTGAATGCCAACAAAAATGGGCAATTTGGTGTTTCGAATGGTTTGGATTTGAAATTTGATGGTGTAGATTCGAATTCGAATACAAATGGGTTGAAGTTCGATTGGGAGGAAGGAAATGGGGATTTTGATGGGGAGGATGATGATGGTTGGGAATTCAAAGCTGCGGATTCAGAGCGCCAGGTTAGCAATGAGAATTTTAAGGTAAGGTGGCTTTTTCTTTGGTGATTTGATTGATCTTGTTTGTTTAGAGTTTGCACTCTGTTTGCTTTCAGAGAAAACTGTAATGGGAGGATATTAGAATTTCTCTCGCTCTGTGTGTTTTGAAATGAGTGAATTCTAGGTGGATAAGTGACGAACAATTCCATTTAGCTTTTGAATCTGCTTATACGTATTGCTTAACACCAAATGGAGCATTGGTAAAGCTATGACCTTTGCCTTTGTTTTTGGTTATTTGTTTATTATTTTGATTTCACTGTTCATATCAGGAACAAGGGGTTGTGGAAGTAGCAGGATCGAAAGTAGAATCAAATGCATTCACACACCTAGGAATCCAGGCGGGTATTGTTTTATGTTGCATGTCTTGTTTATATGTTGTTTTTGTGCCACCATTTTGAAATTTTGTTGGAAATTTTGAGCTAGTTTACATTTCAATCAGTCTTTGTTCTTTAGGGTCCAATTTGCAATTGCGCATTCACATAGGAACTTAATTTTGCCATTAAACATTGGAATATTGTACCATGCCATTAGACATTAGAAATCGGATTTTCATTTGGGCCACCAAGTCTGACATATCCTAATTTGAATTTTGATGAGAATGGCAGGAAAATACTGGGGGAACTGGACTTACTTGGGGGTTTGGAATTGATGCTCCTGAATTTAATAATGTCTCTTTTCCATCTCTTGGAAATGATCAATGGGGTTTTTCATTTGATTTCAACCCAAGCCCTGTAACTCAAGATAATTTTTTCTTGGATCTGCACTCAAAGAACAAGCCAAACAACGCTGAAACTGTACCCAATTCTTCTCCAGTTGATGGAAATGTGTGGGAATTCAAGGATGCACTTTCAGAAAATGGATCAAAGCATAAGTTGGTGTGTTAGTGTGATTTGGCTTTGTAGTTTTGGTCTGGTTTATTAAAATGTTAACTTGTTACGAGCATGTCTTATAATACTTACTTTTTGGTTGTAGGGAGAGTCAAAGGCTGCCATCCCTTCTGGTTTAGATGTGCATTCATTAGATGGTGTTAGTGCTCGTGCTCATAATGAGTTTTTTGCTGGATCTGATGGAATTTCTCACAAGTCTGGTGAAAATAACTTTGCATTTCCTTTCATCCCAAATTCTTGCACTGAAGATTGTATAGTCTCAGATTCATATTCCAGTGACAAGAAAGATGACATTGCAAAAGGCTCGAGTTGTTCCCCAGCCAATGACCATGTTGAGTCTGATGACAATTTTTGGGAATTTAAGGATGCATTTTCAGAATCTGGATCAAGGCTTGAGGTAGATGATTTAGTTTGACCTTGATTTATATGCATTTTTTTAATAAAAAAAGTTACTTTAAAAACTTTCAACAGAAATGAATAGTCATACTTCCATTTTGATTATAGGGGGAGTCAGTGATTGCCCGTAATCCTCCTACGAATATAAAACCGCCTGCAATTAGTGACGAAATCCAGGTGCTTACTCCAGATATATATTTTATTGATGAAGTTCTGTATGATTTTGATATTTAACTGAGATGTATATAACCATCATAGTGAGAGCATATTGCATATTCTTTATTTATCTAAAGCAACTTTACCATCGTGGTGTTTAAACGATTGTATTAGTGTACACTGGAATTCATTATTTCTTCTTTTTCTTTTTTTGGTGATGGTGGGCTATGCAAGGAGGAATTTTACAGCATCTATTCTTCGTCATAATGCTTGAACTTTCGTTAGCAAACTTTTGTGTATGTTGTTGAAGTTTCTATTAATTATGATCTACTAACTTGTAATTGTTTTCCTTCTATTTTACAGCACAATGAGGTAACATTGGAGAGTCATCGGCAAGCCTTGCCCCTGTCCATATTTGGAGACGAAGAACTGGAGACTGATGATTCCTCAATCCATGAAGATATTTCTACTCATGCAGCTGTATCCCACCAAATAAATACCGCCAAAAGCCCTGTGCCCAATATATCCATCACTGATCTAATATCAAGCTTATACAGTCAAGTGGACCAGAACACTAATGCAATTCATGCACCAAAAGCAACTGAAAATCCTCCGCATCCTGCCTCAACAGTGTTGGAGTCTGTTTTGGGTGATGATGATTTTGATGATGATTCCTGGGAATTTAAGGACGCTGTTTCAAGAGATCAGGACCAAACTTCTATTACTAATCTTGAACATTCACCTCAAAATTCCTTGACCAAAGTCCAGCTGGATAATCTTGTGGATTTCTATTGCCAATTGAAAGATGAATCATACTTTCTTGCACTCCGCCATCTTGACAATAAGGTCAGTAAATTGCTCTGGAGTCTGACCTTTTTGTTATCAAGTTTTTAACAGTATTAAATATCTGAATGTGCATTTTGTTAGAAAGCTCAAAGTAGTGCTATTCTTTCTGGCAAAGATACAACAGTAGAGGCTTTGGAAGAGGAAATCCAGGTTCGTAGCTTTATATGACCATTTTAGTTTTATTCTTTTTTTCATTATCATTTGGGCTGTTTACTTCTCTTATGCCTATATATAACTCAATTGACTCCATGGTGCATTAGCTAATAGATCTTTCTAATAAGGAGCTTGGTTTTTGTACGAGTGCTTTTGTTAGGTTTGCAATTTCATATTTACTTCTTGTTGTTGCTATTTCTAATGATCTTCATTGGAGAATAACACTCTTTCACTTGTTGTATTTGTGTTTATAATACATAACTCCCCATTTTTACTATCTTGAGAATCATCATAAGAGAATAGCATGAACTGTGACAATCAGAAACTGATGTTGGTGGATTTCATACTTTTATGAATAATGAAAATATTCGACTTGTGAGTAATTAACTCAATCCTTTTCTGTTACTGTTGTTTGAGATTTGAAATACACACATGGTATTAGATGATTTAAGTTTATGCTATGGTGCTTGGTTTTGAAATGACTGGTATTGTTGTGGCTTGTAACTTTGCCAGTTACTTCTAATTAACTTTTTGTTGTCTCTTGTTGTAGAAATTATATAATGAACTGCATCAAGACATTATGATCTCCGATCAATTCCAGTCAGGGAATCCTTCACAAAGAAATGCATGCCTTAATGAATTTCATAAAGTTCTGAAGGATCCAAAGTTCCAAGTTCTTGAGTCAGAATATCAGTTGTCACAAAGATTGTCATTGGTATGTGTCTTGGCATTGATATGATGTAAAATCATGAAACATTTCTCGTTTGTAAATTACACAGCAATCATCATAAAGAGAAAAGGCAGAAACAAATGCACAAAAACACTTCCAATGTCTATCAAGGAACTTTTGTTATGTCAAATTATTCATAATTGAAAGTTTATATTTTCTGTTTCCATTTTCAAGGGACTTGGCTTGACGCTGCTTGTATTTTGGCTTTGAATAGGCAGAGAAGGATTTGAGATCATCAATTGAACTTTCAAGACATGCAGCATCCACGTTAAGGATTCTTAGATTGGGATCAAATGAGGAGCAATCTAATTACATTTCCACGTGGTCTCAAATAGTATCTATTTGTGCTCAAGAACTGAAACATGGTTCTTCAATTTGGATGCAATCAATAGAAAATAATGTTCAGAATCAAATATTGTCTGATCCTCAAGGTACTTTCACAAAGTACCTGTTCTTGATGACATCCCTAGTAATAATTGTTATTTCCCAAATTTTATCTTTAATTTGCTTTTTGGTTGAAACACAGGCAAGCAGTATATCCTTGCACTCGGAGAAATTTACAGAGTAGTTTTAGTTGTTGGAACCTCAGCCAAATTGTACAAGCCATGGACTCTATTACATTCTTCAGATAGTTCTAGCTTGTTTGCTCTTCTGAACGAGTGTTCTACTCTATGGTCAAGTTCAGGACTCAATGAAGCTCTCAAGAGTATTGCAGATGCAATTGATTTTAAATATGATGGAACCGTTAACGCACTGCTTGAGTCCATGACATATGTTCATCATATTGATGCATTTGCACTTCAAAACCATGTTGTTAATGGACAACAACCTACTTGTTCACTGTCACTGTTAACTGCAGGAGCTGTGCCAGGTATGCAGAAATTGATTTTAGTCACCAAAGAGACATTTAAACTAAGATATGTGAGGTGGATACTTGGTTTGCTTCATCTAGTAAATTTGGAGTTCTTTTAGCTCAAGGAAAGTGTGGTTATATATATCTACTTCATCTCAAAACTAGCTTCTGGTTTTATGTTCTCTTAATGTATTTGTTTGTTTGTATGTTTCAGGTATAAAAATGGTGGTGTGGAATGGGGAACACTTCTTATTGACGCTTGCAAACTTGTGGACAAATTTGATTAGTCCTGATCCTCCGAAATTGCCCCACTTGAGTTATAGCTGATGGGAAAAAATCATGTTGAAGTGATGAGGACTTTGTTTTGACATGCACTTTGGCTGAGATTGCCATTAAAATCCTTCAGTTCCCTCCGGAACATGGCCTTTAGGGTGTAACCATTGTTTTGCTGGAGTGAAAGGATGAACATCAATCAGAAAAAAGGTAGAGGCTTCTCAACATCACGGTCACAAAGAAAATCTAAGTTTGGGTTTTAGAAGGTATAAAAGCCCGTCGGCTGCTTGGTTTAATCGTACTGAGTTCTGATCCAAATTCTTGTATTTTGAGTGACATTCTTTTTCTGGGAGCTGTTGTACAATAGAAATTTGGCTGTAGAAAGTGTTTGTATTCTAGTTATGTATGTCTGAAACTGGCTGGGTGAATAAGAAAGCATTCACATACCCAGTAATAGAATTTTGAAACGAGGAAGAAAATAGGGTTCTCCAATTTCCAACTTTGTATTTTTTTTTTGTAATTGTATTGAGAGTTCACACTACGAAAAGGAGGTGTCAACTGATTTACTAGTCAAAAAGCTTACTTCTTGGTGCAAATGGAACTTTACAAATTTTTTTTTCTCATATTTTTTAACTGTGTTCTTTTGCTCATCAGTGAACCTCTAATTGACATAAATATCGATTAATTACGCGTGGCAATCACAAAATCAGATTTTTATGAAAATAATAATAATAAGAAAGTTTTGTTGTTGTATAAACATAAATATCGATTAATTAACACATATAGAATAACGAACCCAAAACAAAAAAAAACTTGCCTGAATTAACCGTTAAAAAAGGGGTGGATCCGACAAAAGTCGGGTCAAATGGGCCCAAAACAACCGGCCCAGTCTGTTTTTTTTTCCTCAATTGTTTTAGGAGAAAAAAAGAAGAAGATATTAGGGTTTTGGTTTGCCACTATCAGTAACAGAGTATACAGTTTATTCCTTGCTTGCGTTGTTTTTCTGCAGCTCCCAACTCTTTTCGGTTCCAATTTGCATCCATAGATAATCAGACACTCGGAGTAGCAAGCAGAGGTAGACAAAATGTTGGACATCAATCTGTTTAGAGAAGAGAAGGGCAACAACCCCGAAATCATCCGCGAATCTCAACGCCGTCGTTTCAAGGGCGTCGAGATCGTCGACGAGGTCATCCAGCTTGACAAAGAATGGCGTCAGCGTAATTTCTCTCTCTCTAAAAGCCCGAGCTTTTTTCATTTGGTTCAGGCCTGAGCTATTTTTTTTCATTTGCTTAAGAAAGCCTGACCTTTTCATGAGCTTTTAGTATTAAAGTTTTGATTGTTCTGGTGATTATATTTAAATGTCAGGTCAATTCGAGCTCGAGAATCTTCGGAAAGAGTTCAACAAGATCAACAAGCGAGTTGCTCAACTAAGGATTGTCAGTATTTCATCTCTCTCTTAATTTTAAAATTTTTTTTTTCTTCGTTTCCTAAATTTTCTTTAATTATTGGATAGATTTCTGAAAATTGTTCTCAAATCACTAAGTTAAAAAAAAATCAGAAGATTGATTTTCGAATGGATGAGGAAATGGCTTCACGAGTTTCTGTGTGGTTGCATCGAATTGCAGTGGTGATTTGGATGCTTACTTGAGTGTTTGTATTAATATGTACACGACTGCACTTGTAGGCATGTGAATGCAATGCAGACTCCTTTGCCTACTCACATATGACACTTGAGTGTGGAAACTTAATTAAAATTGTGCTTCCCAATCCTAGAAAGGTCAATAGTAATTTGAATAAGATTTCATTCCCTCTTGCTCTGGAAAATAAAAACAGATTCTTTTAGTGCCATCAAATGCAGCTTGATTTTGTTTTCTTTAAGTTGGTATGTTTCTATATTGAGTTCTTGGTTTTTGTTATTTATGGATTATGCAACTGAATTTTATAATTTTCTGGGATAAAAGGCTGGCGAGGATGCAACTGACGTGATTAAGGACACAGAGGAAAATAAGAGGTTGGCGGCAGAGAAAGAAGTAGAAGTTAGAGAAGCTTTAACACAGTTGAATTCAAAATTGGAAGTCATTGGAAACCTTGTGCATGATTCGGTTCCCATCAGTAATGATGAGGTAGTGATTTGGCACATTGATTTTGCTTTTACCATGGCTCTATGTAATGCTAATTCTGATATATGGTGTTATTATGTGTTTTAGGAAAATAATGCTGTGATTAGATCATGGGGTGAGAAGCGAATGGAGCCAAAACTAAAAAATCATGTTGAGCTTGTTGAGCTTCTTGGGATCGCAGACTTGAAAAAAGGTATTGACTCCACTCGGTTTCTTGGTCTATGAGGTTTGAAAAAGCTTGGAAAATTTGTGGATAGTTTAAGTTAACATGGCATGTCATGTATAATCTCTATTGCCTAATTACACAGTAGCCTGTTCTTTTAACTCAATCTGCTTAAAATGTATAGGTGCTGAAGTGGCCGGGGGTAGAGGTTTTTACCTGAAAGGTGCTGGTGTACGCCTTAATCAAGCTCTGATAAACTTTGGTCTTGATTTTCTTGAGAAAAGGGGATATACAGAATTGCAGACTCCATTTTTTATGAGAAAAGATATCATGGCAAAGTGTGCTCAATTAGCACAATTTGATGAGGAACTTTACAAGGTAATGTTTGTAATTGCCAACATTTTTTGTGTGGGCCACATAGAGTTTGTTCATTTACATATTTTTGTCGTATTTATGAAGTTTTGTTTTTCATTAATAAATAGATGGGCTTTGCTTGATGATTAACTTGTCAAGAGACTGGAATTACCTGGTGTGGATGTTTTTCATTCGAAAATACAAATGAATCCATCATTGGAATCATTGTTCCTACATTTTGTTTGCCTAATGTGAGGATGATGTTGATTTAGTTGTTGTGGAATAGGTAACCGGTGAAGGTGATGACAAATATCTGATTGCTACAGCTGAACAGCCACTTTGTTCATATCATATAGATGATTGGATCCATCCATCGCAGCTACCCTTAAGGTTGTAACATCTTGCTGGAAGTTTTGGCTATAAACGAGTGAGTTGTGTGTTCTGTTCATTAAACTTTAGGATTCTTTCCTCAGATATGCTGGATACTCGTCTTGTTTCCGTAAAGAAGCTGGTTCACACGGTCGAGATACCTTGGGAATTTTTAGAGTTCATCAGTTTGAGAAAGTTGAACAGTTTTGTATTACAAGCCCAGATGGAAGTGATTCTTGGGAAATGCATGAGGAAATGATCAAAAACTCCGAGGATTTTTATAAATCGGTATGATATCCTTTTCCCTGATCACTTTTTTATTTCCTTTGCGTATATATTTTTAATATCTATTGAGTCTGGAAAGTATTGTTCAGTGACCAGGTGACTTTTGAATGTCAAATGGCATTTGTAGCACATTGAACTGATTTAAGTTTACTCTCATTATACTTTTAGGGAGGAAAATGGTTATAATGCATGTTTGTGCATGTCTGTAATTTTATAAGTCGGAGGTTGACACACCAGCAATCCCCGCTTATTGTAAAACAAAGATGGATACCTTTTTATGGATCCAATTAATGTTGATGAACATTTTCTGTTTAGTAGTGTCATTACTAAACTTGATCAATTTGAATGTTGCGATTTTCAGTTAAACCTCCCCTATCATGTAGTCGCAATCGTTTCTGGTGCTTTGAATGATGCCGCAGCAAAGAAGTATGATCTGGAAGCATGGTTCCCTGCATCTCAGACATACAGGGAGTTGGTCTCTTGTTCAAACTGTACAGACTACCAGTCAAGAAAACTAGAAACTCGATATGGACAGAAAAAGGTAGGTCCTGAGTCCTCTTTGCTGCTGATCGTATGTCTAATTTAACATAAATATTTTGGTTATGTATGCCTTAAGAAATTTAATTGGGTAAGAAAATAAGTGACTTTTACACTAGGTCATATATAACTGTCTGGTCTGCACATTCCACTTAGAAGCTGCACGGACAATTTCATTAAGCCGCATTTTTCTATATTAACCTTGCTGTGTTTTTGTGCTTTTGCAGAGCAATGAGCAGACAAAGAAATATGTTCATTTATTGAACTCCACTCTTACTGCGACTGAGAGAACCTTGTGTTGCATTCTTGAGAACTACCAGAGGGAAGATGGTGTGGACATACCAGAAGTTTTACAACCTTTCATGGGCGGAAAGACCTTCCTACCTTTCAAGAACAAACCAGCCCCGGAAGTCAAAGGGAAGAAATCAAAGGCCTAAATTCATAATTTTATTTTGAGTTTTCAATGAAGAATAGGTTAATGAGATTAGTTCATGATATCGCTTACGTAAACTATTCTGATGATTGTTTTGAGAAACTGTGAAACCCAAATTCCATGTCTTGAAGTTGATGTAATGAATTTTAAAAGTTTGGCACCTGTTTAGTCCTGGTTTGTGTTATAGATACATTTTGACCGCTGATTTGCACCTTGATATCAATAAGACGTACCCTTTTGCTGCAAGAAGTCGTTGGTACAGAAAGTTTTACCAAATTAATATAAGTTTTTGCAGGGGATTTTAGTTTAATATCAGGAGGGTACTTGTTATTCATAATGTAATAATCAAGTCGCCCCATTTCTGAAATGATCTATTTTTGCTTCTGCAGGGTACGCAACCCTGTTCCTTTGAAACAAGCTGGTCCACAATTCTCATCTTCTTCAATCATGAAACTGTTTGAAAAGCCATTCTTCAACTTGGTCCGGCGCTTTGGGTTAAAAAGACTTGGCATGATGTTGAAATGAGAAGAACTCAAATTCTGTCTCGAGTCACGTTTCAATTGCACCAAAATAAAAACTCTGAGCCCACAAATTGGAAATTTTGCATTATAAAGAGATTAAATGTTGGAAACTATTGCATCTGCAATCTTGTTTTTGCTCTCAAAAGTCAAAGAACCATGACTTTGGAGCACCACACGTACACAATGTGGCATCAATTTAAGATTATATTTCTTGTCCACAATTGTACGGAGATTCCCGTTTCTCAGCTGATATGATCTTATCTATTTGATAGTTTGTAATTGTATGGTTGCTTCTTTATTTTTCTGTATTGGATAATGAAAACCAGCTAAGCTTTTATCACTGAAGTTGAGGACAACAAGATTTTCAAGCAATTAGCCCATTCGTCATTTTCACAGTTGATAATAGCCTGATAAAGTTTTTTAATCTCTCCCTTTAGAAAGATATGAGTCCAAGCACAACAGTCATTCCCATCATTTACAAATTCTTGTATACAACAATCTTCTCACAATAATTAATTTGAGATAGCTTCGATACGAGAAAGTAGTTAAAAATAAAATACAACGAACAGACGAAGTACGTAACCCAATGGCCTATTCGAAGACTGAATGAGGATAAGGCATTGTAGCATTGCAAGTTTGCAACTATGCATTGACACCCAATTTCATTATCTCTTCATCATCACCATTACAGAGCTATACTTAAACAAGAGAATTTGGCCCATCTTGTAGCAAAATGAATATAGTCAGTGCTCGAACCTGATATGCAATGACCCAAAATGATATTTATACTTGATTTGCAGTACACCATAAACTCACATTTGACAATACTTATTTCATACAAACCTATAAATTTAAGGTTCTAAAAGTACCTGAAAAAAAGGTCTGAGCTTTCTTCATTACCAAAACTAAAGAAAAATAATAATTCTTTCTGTCATCCAATAGATATTGGTAGGTTATGTACAGGCGAGCTAGCTTCTACACAACATACCTGTTTCTGAACCTACCTATTGTGCAATGGGTCAGGAGAAGAAGGCACTTCTCTGTTGATTGTTGCAAAAAAGCCTTCATCTGCAGAATTACTGGAGCTTTTCCTCTGAAGAACTTGAGGCTTCTCTGGATTTTCCACCTTCTCATTTAAATATCTAGCTCCAGAAACTCCAGTGTATAAACCTGAGATGCCCAGGAAGATCAACAGAAGACCAATAACTTGATTCCTTGAGATGAACATGGACATGAGCAGCGTGAGCAGAACTTCTGTGGATCCAAAAGTATTGTTTTTGTCTCTGTTCAGCTTCCCTTTAAGCCAACATGTGGAGAATATAAAAATCAGACTTTTGGGTTTCTTTTTGTGGAGAGAGAGAGAGAGAGAGAGAGAGAGAGAGAGAGAGAGAGAGAGAGAGCTTTTGGACTTTGGAGATGCTGAGGAAGTTGGCAGGTTTTAAAGGCAGGCCAGGAGAGAAGAACTCCAACTTCAAATGTTTGCTTGTGTGTGTGAATATGTAATTGGTGAGATTCCCAAGCATAAAAACTAAACTATATGATAGGAGAGTGAGACTTTAACTGGTGGTTTTGTGATTGCTTGTTTGACTGGTTGTGTGACTTGTGTCCTACACCACCAATGAACCCTTCATTTGTTTAAGAAATTGTTTAACATTTCCCAATTACCAAACCAAACAACATATGTCATTGACTCATTATTTAGTATTTACTATAGCTTAAACTATAAATTTAATCTAATTACTTAATTATAAGTAGAACATATTATTTCATTTGGGGAAATAAAGGGTATTTCAGAAATTTTAGATAGGGGCACATTGATAATGTTTCAAGTCATATTCAAACCAACCAGTCCAACCAATATTATACAATGTGCTTGCTATAAAACTACTTGTAATCAAAACCCTAATTCAACTTATGCATTGTCTTCTGAAAGGTCCTCAATTTCAGGATCTTGGTTTTGACTCTTGATTTTGGTTGTCATCAGTTTCTTCATTCGGCATTTCAAATGTCTAAACTAGTAAATGTGCTAGTGTCCATGTGAATATATGCAATCTAGGCTAACGGTACATATTTTTTCGATTTATTAATCGTCGTTTAATTTGTTAATTACGTTTGCGTTTCAGAAAACTAGGGGTTTGCCCTTGCCTTTTGAAGTAACATTTGTCTTGCTGGGCATCCGTTTGTGGTTATATATTTTACCCTTCTTTTGTTTCTTCTTTTGGACTAGCTTATATGGCAGTTCTTCCATAAATGTATCTCCTTCTTTCTTTAATCTCAGTGTTAAGGTTTGTCTTATTGATCCTTGATCTTGTTTTAGATCTCTGTTATCTCTTTCACTTCACTGCATATTATATTACTTCTTCCTTTGTTGATTTTCATGAAAATCATCAGAAATTATAGCATACGTTTCAGCCTTTGTGTTGCTAACATTAATGCATGTGTGCCAAAAGTAAAGCATGGTTAGGATCATGGGCAAGTTGCAAACAAGAACAAGAACAAAAACAAAAACGATGAACTCTCTGAATTGAACAGATTTTGGGTGCGTGTTTCAAAATACTGCAGACATTTGAGATTAGACAAGTATCAGTTTTTAAGGTCTTTATTTATTTATATGCGTCCAATCCAAGTGTTTTAATAAGAGATGGTGATGCCCATACAAACAGGCCTGTTTGATGAATAGGTTATAGGCCTGAGAAAAAACATGTTGTTTAATCTCACTCTCATCCTCTAATTAAGTGCAAAGTTATCTCTCTTTCACTCCTTTATTAAATTATTACTCGTGTTTAGGTCTGTCTCATGCTTCCATTGTCACCTGTCAGTGTTTCTCTCTCTATCTTTTTCTTTTCTCTTTCCTTCGAAATATTAGTAATGTGGATTAATTTGGCCGGCACTTACTTACCATGCTTGACTAAAAAACCAGATGAAAATTTAACCACCTTTACCCAAAGTCAGTCTGCTATGATTATGATTACGCTTTTGGTTTGTAGAAAAATGAGACGATTATCTCCAAATTACTTCGGTAATCATGACATTATTGGACATTTTGAGGAACAAATGTAAGATTAGAAGCCAACATGACTTGGGACCCATTCGCATTGTCGAACCAACTATGAATTTGAACCTGAGCTTTAGTCAAAAGACTTAATGATACATTGATTGGAAGGAAGCTTCATTAAATTATGTGCAAGTATATTACATTTAACTTAAATCGTTAATTACGTTTAGACCTGAAATCATGCTTACGAAAGACTCAACGACTCGGGAAAAGGCTCCCACCATGTTTGACCGCTGAATTGGATCAGGAAAATAACGAACAGTGAGCACATACTCTGATACATATGAATTTGTATTGCCGGAAAGAATGAATACAAGATGTTTTTATAGTTGATGAATGAATATTTCAATTCAGCTAACAGTAACAAGCCAATGGACAAAAATATCTTTACTTTGTAATCTACAACTCGTTCATGCCTCTTGATGAAAAAGCACGGTTTAATCTTAGACTGTTATGGTGAACAAATAGAGTTTTAGCACGACAGACAGAGCCAACTGCAACAGAAAGATCCCGGCGACAATCAAGAACCACCTTTCACCGGCTGAAACGATGTGGGCTCGAAGGTTGACTGCAACAAAGGTGGCAGACATAACCCCAGCTACGCCTGCAACTACCCATCTGAAGATTTCGATGGGCACAATTGAGAGGCACTGCAACCAAAACAGAGTAGGAATGTCAGCTAACTATTACCATCTATCTCAATGGGTGACTTTTTTTTGTATTTCGACAAACAGAAGCTTACAACAGAATTTATTGATGGAACTCATCTTGCACCTATTGAAACATTGTATCTTAATAAAACAAGGTGAAATTGATGAAGATACCATAACTGAGTCAACTATGATATTTGGGTTTAAAACTATTAGAATTGACACTGTTTAGAAAACTTCTCCAGGATTCTTAAAAAAATTATTCAAAGACCATTTTGACAAAAACATTCAGTATCTGGATAATTTCTGGCAAAAGTTTTCCTCCCACCTTGAATCTACACATACACTGCTTGAGATGATGGGCATAAGCTTTTGGGAGAGAGGGGTCAATGTAGCTCTTCTACACCCAAACTTTTCTCCTTTCTAGAAAACATCTTTGTGGTAATAAATCTAATTAAAAAGAACTACACTGGAAAACCAGGGACTTACCAATGCTGGAATAAAGACAAACAGGGAGTAGCCATAGAGACAAAACAGCTGAACGAGACCTGATGGTGCTGAGAAGTATTTGAGAATTACATACAGTACAAGAGGAACAATAGTGACATAGCCATAGAACAATCCAGCAGACCATTGCACTACATTAATGTCATATTCCCAATCTTTACTCTTGATCTTGTGTGCTACATATGTCACAAAAGTGCCGATGGCAGCTGCTACAAATATTAGGGTAGTGCATATCCAGAAAGGTCCATACCTGCACAGCATTTGAAGTTAAGATCAGATGACATGTGTCTCACCATACAGATATTTTATGAGACACATTTCCCAATATTTTCTCAAATTTTAAGATTAATTATTCTAATATCAAAATCTTCATCCACAATTATCAACTCTCAAAAAGACGCCACACCTCAGGGATGTTTGAATTTCAAAGGAGAATGCAATTTGATACTAATATTCAAAAGATTACATTATAGACAGATAATTTCAGTTAAGTTGACAGAAGAAAACTTACAAATCTGGGCTGTTAGATGTTTTCTCATTGAACGTTCCACTGAATGGAAGGAGTGAATCTTTAATCCTCTCTAGAACATCGGAAGTGTCAACATCAAAGTATGACTTGTAAGAAGATACAGAGAATACCCGTAACCAACCACTCTGCTGGGATTCATCAGAACCAGATACAGGTTTTGAAAACGTGTCTGTATCAAGAGAGAAAAATGGCTATTACCCTTTAACATGACAACAAATGACAACCATAGAAAGAAGAATAATAAAAAATATTAGTAAAACAAAATACTCTTAACACTTATAGAAAGAAGTATGGCTAGTAGTTTTAACACTCCTTATGAATGAAAGGTCTAAATTTTATTGTAAGTCCCTCTTGGTTGTAATACCAACTATCTGACATATGAATGAAACAGAGGCACGAAGGAGATTTCAGTCATTCTTGTTCAAATATCATCTCAGCTCTTCTAAGGTTTCTTTTCCGAACATCTACTCTGTTAAATTTCATCTCTCCCATGATTAGCAGTTTAAAGGACTAAATCACAAAAAAAAACCACATTTATTCTAGAACCTTTTTGATTCTCAATGGTACACCTAATTACTATTGCTGCAGATCTCTTTTTTACTTATAGTGCTGATCCAACCTAATCAAGTCTTATCATCCTTCATGATGGAACCATCAATCCAAGGACTTTAAACTTAGCTTTCAAAACCTTTTTAGGCAATGGATCCAAAGACTGTATTTCCTGGACTAGAAAGATCACAAATAATGTAGGAAAGACCTATAACAAAGCAAAACCTGGCTCGCACATTTCCATAAATAAAATCAGAACTAGTATGTACCATCGGCATCACGAGGAGGGCGAGCACCACTAGCAATCTTCCCGTGTGCCTCAGATGGAGGAAATGTCTGAAGGTTTGAATCTGCATTTTTACAAATCATACAGTTATTTCAAATAATGAGAGAACTTAGCAACTGAGCTGGATGTTAGTAACATTAAACCCATCTAAGCAGAGGTTATTGAGCCCCTTCCACTTCAAGCCAAATAATACTAGTAAACTACATTCACAATTATGCTTATTCTTCCGCTATACTAATTCAATAAAGCCCTTCGGCAATAAAAATTTACATTTTCAACTGAAATTTTAATCAAACAAAAGCTGTCTGGTTGCTGAGAAAGGCAAGAAAGTAGAAAACATCGTTAAAATTCAATTTTCCTGCATCAAAATCCAACAGTTCGTAACCAAATTTTTTTTCCAACAGCTGAAAACATCGGCTAACACAATGATGCAACGATTGCAAACTGATTCTTTCCACATCTAATCTTGTTTCGTATTATTTTCCCTCCGTTTCGCGCCAACCAAATAAAAGGTAAGGAATTCCACAAACTAATCACTCATTTCCAGAGCTCAAAAATATAAAGGAATTGTACCTTCGAATTTGACGGTGAGGTGACCTGGATCTGGAACCGCCTGTAGAATTAGCCAACATCATCTCACCAGAGATACATACATGTATAAATATTATGAATTTGTGAATTGAATGCTTACAGCAGGAACGGATCCTGAGACGTTTTGGTTATCAATGCTCGTATAATTTCCGGACATCATCTTTCCCTCTTTCTCTTTCTGCTTCTTCTTCTTCTTCCTCCTCCTTGTCTGTGCTCTCGCTCAGATCTCTCTCTAGTGCTCTCGGAGACTTGGAGTAGCGCGTGGCTTTTATTATCTTTTTTGCTTTTATTTTACTCGTTAATTTTTCTTACATGACAAATATGTAATGGAGACCCACCCAAAAAACCTGACAAATATGAGATGGTAAGCTGAAAAGAAAATAAAAACTTAAAAGGTGGATTGAGGGTTGGGCTTTTGTTGGGCCCAAGCTTTTTTTTGGTCAAAGGCCTTTATTTTTATTTTTTTAAAATAACATTCAAAATATAAAATTCTTATTTTTTTGTCTGAAAAATAAAAACATTATAATGGTATGTTTACTAATCAGGAATTGAATTCCACTTATGAATGATTTTTGCATTGACTTCACATCAAGGAATTGAAAAGTAAGTGGGGCCCACATAAAATTAGGAATTGAATTCTTGATTTTGGAGGAATTCAATTCTTGGGTGAGAGGTGATATTTTAATTCCTGAAAAATTAACCCATTAGAAATTTATCTTTTTTATCCATTATATCCTCACACAATTTTAAAAATTCCGAAATTTTCATCTACTTTAACCTAACAACGAGAACATTTTAGTAATTAATACCACTCCTAACCCAATTCTATATGATTTAGTAAACAATTTCAATAGGAATATAGAATCTAACTCCCCTCAATCCATATAGTTTAGTAAACAACTTCAATATGAATTCATAATGTAATTCTCCTCAATTCAACTCCTCTTCAATTCAATTCATCCTCAATTCAATTCCTTATAATCCAATTATGAATTAGTAAACATGTCATGAACATGTTAACTTATTGGATTTTTAAGGACATTTATTTATTTATTTGCACTTCATTGTTAGTATTTTGAGAGAGGAAATTGGATTTTTTTTTTGTTAGGTTTTTTTTTTTTTTTTTTTTTTTTTTTTTTTTTTTTTTTTTTTTTTGGCTATCATTCAGATGTCATTGTTCACTTGTTATTTTAACAACAAAATTAGGTAACTTGTTAACAGTTTACCATTAGCTATCTCAGAAATCTTAGAATTTGAGCAAAGTTTGATGGTCATTTGCCAATGCCATGTTAACGAAAACCACATTTACAATGGTAATTAAATTTCCATCTGAGTACAGTAAGCAATAGCAATCACACAATTAAAATTTATGCATCATTATTTTTGCAGAACAAAATTTCTGCTCTACATTATTTATCTTAATTAAAAGCTCACCCTAAAGTACTGAGCTCCAACAGATTGACACAACCATCATCTTTGAAGCAGGGCCTGAACCATCACTCCTCTCTAACAACAAAAAACCACTTTATTACAAAAGCAAGAGCTCCTATCTGAAAATTAGTATCCCACTTTAAAGAGCACATCTGTTTTCAGCTAATCAGATCAAACTCCCACCTAATTTACATGTGAATTCTGCAAGTTCTTGTTGGTACAATTCCAATCAAGCATCTTTTAGTCTTCCCCTTGTAAGCAATAGATACCTTCTGATTGAAAGTAAAAGAACCCAAGTAGCAGCCGAAAGTTTTTCCTTGATCATCAAAAGCAATGCCGAGCTGAGGACAGTCTTCAAGATCTGTGCATGCAATCCCTTGAAGAAGCCCAGAATCCCTTCCTTTTTCCATATAGCACATAGAACTCCTGGTATCGTTTTGCTGGACTTTGGTCGAGCATTCTTGGTTTTTTCATTATCGTCCTCAGCAGCTTGGATCATGACCTTACACCTGTAGAAAGTAAGAATTTCAATTGATATTCATAGGTTATAAGTGAGACACAGTTTTAGAGAGAAATTACGTACCTAATGGCAGGGTAGGTTAGAACGGTGGCAACAGTCTTTGAGACTGCGCCTAAAGCAAATGCTGCAAAGGCAGAAAGGGCTACTGGGGATGAACCGTTGCCCGTTTTGTTTTTCCTTTCAAGAAGTCGTTGTTTTAGCTGATCAAACACTGTATACTGAAGTACATAACAATTTCAGTTTCAGCCTCAATTATCATCTTCAAATATTTTGAGTTAATGGGAACGTAATAAGATGCAGTCAAACTTCAATTCTAGAGACAAAGGCAACAGAATCAGTAATTAAAGAAAGAAAATGCCAAGGTAACTACCTGGATTGCAGGGTTTGCGGTCAGCAACAGGGAGATTCCAAGACCATCAAATGCATCAATCCAGGTGCCCTCTGCAAGGGTCTTCAACAGCCCTTTGGATTTTCCAAAGGCACTTGTCTGCATCCTTGATGAGGCTGTGTCCAGAGGCTAAACACACGGTGATAACCAGATAGTCATTAAACTTCAAAATTCAGTGATGTAGATTGCTTTTGCATAATCATAGAGAAGTAAAAGAAAATGCCATGAAGTTTCATGACATCAATATAAATAGAACCCACAATCTTCCTATTCTCAATTTCACAGTTAAAATGGGAACAATATTCACTGAGGCTGAACTCATGTTTTGCTATAAGAAATTTATATCTGAGGTTTATTTTGTTATTTTTGTTTGTAACCCCAGTTTCTTATTATATCACTTAAACAATTCTCAAGTAAAAATGGGGAGCACTTTACACAAATGGCTCACCTGAGTCACAATGGCAGTGCAAGCCCCCGCAGCAGCAGCAAGGATCAAGTTCGCTCTTGTACCTATTGATTTAGAACCACTTGTTTCCAGATATAGTCTTTTGAAGTAGCTATACCCATAAAAGTAAACAAACTGAGCAATGAAAGATTGCAAATTTTTTGTTTCCAGACCCTGATACAGCGAAAGAACCTGGCGTGTGGATATTGCTTCCCAGAAAACATCCGAAAGGTTCCTATATAAGACAGAACCAATGAAATTTGGTGAATTGTATATCACTTAGTTAGCTTACTGGTGACTTACACAATCTATGACCATGAAAAACTTAAATGTACGTATGTATATTTAAAGGCTCAATTGTAGCGTGGTTCCTACAGCACATAGTTAAAGAATTCATCATGTGTAGGCTTTAAGCGCATCAAAAACAGGGGAGTTGCTACTAATTGTAACAGTTAAATTGCAACTCACTGGCACTAACTATATAACCTCAAATCTCCCCTCTCTCATGGCAGTCATGTGGTGAAACATTTGCTTAACTATTTCCGTTATCATTTTTCTTTTTCCAAATTTGCAAATTTTTTAGTTTTTTTTTTTTTTTTTTTTTTTTCTTCTTCTGTGATCAAAACTTGACAATATGAACACCAGTTGAAAATCAAGAAATCCAAAACACGGTGAAATTGCATTTACAGATGACACCTCGAAGTTGGATTGCTACAAAGCTCTGTAGCATTCGATGAGACTCGCAACCCAATTTTGTTTATTCCATATAACTTTCAAATTCATCTCAATTATATGATGATCCAAATTATTACTTGGTATTCACCTATCTTGTTCTTGAACATTAACAACATATTGGAGTTAATTTCCAGCTACCCAATTAAAATTCACTCAGAAATTCTCGCAAAAAACCAACAAAAGAAAATACAAAATTTTCCAGGTCGACCGATCACAGGTCGATGATCCAAAGAAAATATACAAACCAAGATAAAAAAAAATGATAATAATAATTGAGGATGTAAGAATGAAGAGGCAGGAGTGTCCTTACTTGTATCTGGCCTGATCATTGCCTCGAACTTCAGCTTGGTACCTGGTTTTGCAGGTGTCAAGTGGGTACAAGATGGTGGTGCTCAGGAGTGATCCAATGGCTCCTGAAGTTGCCTCTGATATAGATTCTAGATCAAGATCAACACCCATCTTCTCCAATTTCTTTTATTTATTTTTTAGATACCAGTAACTACGTAAGATATAAAAACAAAAATAAAATTGTTATATATATATATAGAGAGAGAGAGAGAGAGAGAGAGAGAGAGAGAGAGAGAGATGGAGAGATGGAGAGATGGAGAAGGTAGGTGGCGTTGAATATGAAAGGTCCGATCGATGTGAACGAGTGGGAAGAGAAGTAACGGAAAGAGAGGAAGACCGGTGCGGTGTCGTTTCCTTGGATTTGAAAAATGTGGATTGTCTCACCGACCTTTGATTAATCACGTGGCGCGGTGCAAATTCATTCATCAATATACAATCAATATTTTTAGGCACTCGCTTTTCTGTTTTTTAGTGGGGATGATAGGTTTACGCAAATATTCATTAGGTGTATGGGTTTTGAATTTGTGTTTATATATATAGAGGTGAAATAGCTCAACCAACTGAACTATAATGCAGTGATATTTTTCTAGCTTTCTGTTTTTGTTTTAGGGTATATTCGGTTATTAGTAGTATATTGAATTTATGAGGTACGATTACCTTTGATTAGAAATGATATGTAGCTAACTAATTCCAATATATTCTATAGGTAGCTAACTTATAGTTAGAAACTCTTTATTTTTTAAAGAATGACACCTCATCCTATGAGTACGCATGATTCTCATACCATATGGTCAACTCCACACTAAAGTGGAGTCAAAGTTAAATTTTGATGGTTAATTACACAATCAATACTATTTTGTTCCGACTTTTTATTCTACGCGATGATTTTTGAGCTCTTATTTGTGATCTGTTAAAAAATATTTAATTTATCCAACGTGCTTCCTAAAAAAAGTCTCTTTCGTGCCAATCAACATGGATTTCAAATATACCTATGTTTGTTGCTAACATTATTAGCAAATAACATTTAACACCGTGACGAACTCTTTTACAAAATATTAAACACCTTATTTAATTTTCAAACAAACACATGATTCATGGGACAATCCCAAATCTCACAAGATGTAGAGCACCCAACTGTTATAGCTAGGCTGGGTAGGGTAGATAGCTCACAATAAGAGTTGCATCCATAACAAGTAATTTGTGCCATAAAGTTTGAGAAAATGTGCACTATTACATTATGACCATAAAGAGAAGATGCATAATCAAGAGCCGTGGAATAAGCCATGACAAAAGAAAAGAAAAGAGAAACCCATGAAAATTATTGAGAACCTCTGATACCACGTAATAAGTAAGATAATACATGAGTTATAGTCGTATCATAAAATGTGATAAGCTCCTCAATCCTTAACATAAAATCCTTAATGCAACCAAACACAAAAGATCCTACTACAACTATACCGATGGGAAGAGACGCCAGTGGAATGGGCTGCTGTGCTAACATAATCCACATTGGTCGAGAGGCTAATTCGACAATTGGTGTCTTAAGGTTAAGTTGCAATATTAATTAGTGTAACTTTATTAAACTAATGTTATTTTTCTTGTTGAGCTTTGATTGAATGAAATAGACATTAGTGCCCATTAAACTCCTAGGCAGGAATCTCGCATAACCCCGACGTGGCAAAAACGCCAAAGAATATACAACTAAGCTTGCCGAATAAGCCACATCGGCCTACGTGTCACTATAGCTAAAAATAAAATATAAGAATCCGGTAAAAAATAAAAAAACACAAACACAAACCCAAAACGTATTTCTTTCTCTGGAAATTTCCTCACATTTTCTCTCACGAGCAGCCACAGACACCACAACCGCCACCACCAGACCAGCTAGGGTTTCTGGTGGGTTCTATTGAAGCTTCCTGGACGAAGAAAGCGTTCTCAAGTCTCCATCTTATCCCCGGTATTCCAGGTAAATTACCATTCATTCCATCGCTTCCGCCACCGCCCCCACCCTTCTCTCTATGCACTTCCACTCATTCACAACACTGAGGTTCTTCGAATCTCTTGTACTTTATATTACTTGATTGTTTGAATCTTTACTCTCTTAAAAACTGAATTTATTTACGGTTTTGCCATTGCATCACTCACAAGCTACTAAAAGCTTCATAAGATTTATGTGTGATTGAAAATTTTTGATTCGCGTTTGCCACTAATCATTTTGAATAATTATGTTTATGCCACTGCGCTTGTTGCAAAGCGTTATGTCCGAATCACATTCTTGTATATTTTAAGTATTGGTAGTTTTATTGAGCAATTAGGGTTTTGGGTTTTTATCTGCAGTTTCAATGGCAAAAGCTGCAGCAGGAACTGATAACCCTGCTACCCCAACCGCTGTCCGGATCGTTGTGGCCGGAGACCGTGGCACTGGGAAATCGAGCTTGATTGTGACTGCTGCAACCGAGAACTTCCCAGCAAATGTGCCTCCGCTGCTGCCCCCAACCAGGCTGCCTGAAGATTTCTACCCTGAACGCGTGCCCATCACCATTATCGACACATCATCTCGGTATGAATTTCATACTTGACATAAGGAAATGCTTGGTTTAGTTGCTGAGAAATGTAGGAAAGGAAAAGAGAATTAGTCATGTTCGTCAGTCACCGTCCTGCTGAGATTGAATTGTTTCACTCTGTTTACTGAATCAGACCGGAGGATAATAGTAAAGTTGCTGAAGAATTGAAGCGAGCTGATGCAGTTGTGCTCACGTATGCTTGTGATCAGCCTCAGACTCTTGATCGACTGAGTACCTTCTGGCTTCCAAAACTTCGTCAGCTAGAGGTGTGTGTATGCCTTTTTTTTTTGGTTTCCTTACTACATATGGTGTACTACTTGATAAGTTTAACATCCAATTTGTATAAAGAGAAAACTAGAAGAACAAAACACCTGATGAAAACCTTAATCTCAACAGTATATCATTCCCTGTGAAAATGAAGGCCGATAAATTTATTATTGAACTGATCTGTTTGAAAAGTGGTTTGATATAGACGTTAAAATAAACAACACCTGTCTTTTAGTATTACTTCTGATGGGGAAATATCAAATTTAATGAGCAGGTGAAGGTACCTGTTATAGTGGTCGGTTGTAGGCTGGATTTGAGAGATGAGAACCAACAGGTGAGCCTGGAACAAGTGATGTCACCAATAATGCAACAGTTTCGGGAGATTGAGACTTGCATTGAGTGTTCAGCGTTTAAACATATTCAGGTATGTAGTAATGGCTCCTCTATTTTCAAGTTCTGCTGCTTCTTAGTTTGTCACTGTTTTGTGAAAACATGCACCATATGATGTGTTGCATTTCTTCATACTTTATTATGTGTGTTTGGGTTGGCTCCTAATGATTGGGGACTTGTTTATTGTATTTCACACATTTATATGAACTACTTGTGTGTTACATTCGCTAAAGTTTTCTTTAATGGCTACCAAGGATCTAGTTTCAATCGATGGCTTTATGTTGCAAGTATTTTTTGTTATTTTGGCATTGACACTGTAATTCTCTGACTCTATACTATCGAACGCTTTGTATTTTCAGATCCCTGAGGTCTTTTACTATGCACAAAAAGCTGTTCTTCATCCAACAGGCCCATTATTTGATCAGGAAACACAGACTTTGAAGGACCAATGTGTGCGAGCCTTGAAGCGGATTTTCATTCTTTGTGATCATGACAGGGATGGTGCCCTCAGTGATGCAGAGTTGAATGATTTCCAGGTTATCTTTTTATGTTTTTCAAAGTCCTAGTGTTCTATGTGATCTTTTGATATGATCTTATGGCTATATTCTCGAATCTCCTTAGCTCAATTCATGGTAACTTGTTCCTGAGATTCATGAATATTTCAATGCTTATTGTAAACAGGTTAAATGTTTCAATGCTCCATTGCAACCTTCTGAGATAGTGGGTGTTAAGAGGGTTGTGCAAGAAAAGTTACCGGAAGGAGTCAATGAACGCGGGCTTACATTGACAGGATTTCTCTTCCTTCATGCACTATTTATAGAAAAGGGACGTCTAGAGACAACGTGGACTGTCCTCAGGAAGTTTGGATACAATAATGATATAAGACTTGCAGATGAACTAATCCCATCTCCTACGAAACGGACTCCTGATCAGGTAATATTTATTGAGTTTCTGTTTCTATTATGCGCTAACAGTGTTGAGATACTTTATTACGTGCTGATGTTTCATGCTGAAGCGAAGTAGAGATCCCTTGATTTTTGAGTAATCATTTTCAAGAATTTAGTACCTTATTTATGTTATTTTGCCATCAGTGCCTTTATTTTGGTTAAAATTGATTATTCAATGAGTGTTAGAGTCCTATTAATTAAGTACCTTATTCTGACCATTTCGAACAAGCCAGAGGCCCAGAGCTACTCTCTGCTGTTATCTAGGTCTGTGCTTGTGTGTTGCCTAATCAGTAATTCTCTTTACATATACATATTCTTTGCTAGAACCATAGAAGCATCAATCCAAACCGGGCCTTCGAGAGACAAGACTGAGCCCTATATATGATGTTTCATAATCATGCCACCTTAATTGCATCATGTTCATGAAATTCTTTTATTAATTATACAATATTCCATTATGTACTAAAAATTTATTTTATTTTTACATTTTCTGAAGCTGTTTTATGTTTAACTTTGTTGGCATGTGGGCAGAGTGTGGAGATGACAAATGAAGCAATCGACTTTCTAAGGGTAACCTTTGACGTGTTTGACAGTGACGAAGTATGTCTCAGTACTGATCTTTTCAAATGCTACATTCTCTTATCCTAGATATGTTAATCATGAAGACGTTTGTTCTTTCCACCAGGATGGGGCCCTACGACCACGTGAACTTGATGAACTATTTTCTACTGCTCCAGCAAGGTAATTGTATTTCTTGAGAATCATCTTTTAAATTTCAATTTGTTTTAGTTGGTTGCAACTTGTTTCTTTTCCATATGAGGTCCTGTTTGCAGTTGTGTTTTCACGTCATTTTTGCTCATCTGTTATTATGATGTAATGTAAGAGTGTCAAATCTCAAGAAATTTATGATCAATTCATATGTCAATCTTTGTTGGTGAGTAGAATCTTGATATTATAATTTGTACACATGGCCTAGCTGTTGTAACTTATAATTCACGACTTTCTACCTAAATGTTAGTTTTCAGTTAAAATTTTGGTCAGTTGAAGCTTCATAGTTCATAATGTATTCAGAGTTCTTAATATTGATAAATTCTTTGCTCAGTCTAGTTCACTACAACCCTAGCTATGAATATCTTGGCATGTTTTAAGTTTTGCCCTTTGATGTTGCAGTCCGTTTAGTGAATTGCCATATACGGATGCTGCAGAGAGAAATGCATTTGGGGGGTTATCACTTGATGGATTTTTGTCACAGGTATGTATATTTCTGTGTCTCTCTCTGGTGGGGGAAGGGATATTATGCTCTTTGTTCTTGTTACTATCCAAGTCTTGAATTATACATGGATTTATAATTGCATTAACATTCGTAGTCATGTTTGTACTTTATCACATGCAACATGAATTTACAAACAATTGTTATTTTTTCTCTTTAGCATGTACCCACATATTTATGAGTAATATGCATAATTTCAGTGGGCCCTCATGACACTCCTAAACCCAGCTTCTACGATGGAGAATCTGATATACATTGGTTATCCTGGTGATGTTTCATCCACAATCCGTGTGACTAGGAAGAGGCGTTTAGACCGCAAGAAGCAGCAATCGGAAAGAAATGTTTTCCAATGCTTCGTTTTTGGTCCAAAGAAGGCTGGGAAGTCTGCACTATTGGATTCATTTCTTGGAAGGTCTATCTTATGGATTATCATCTAGATTGATTCTCCTTTGAATTTAATTTTTATTTATTTATATTACATTACTTAACATTTTTTATATTATGATAACTGGAAATGCAGGCCATTTTCTGATAATTATAATCCAAACACTGAGGAGCGTTATGCAGTTAATGTTGTTGATCAACCTGGGGTAAGTTGTACTACATGAAACACCTTGTGTCTTGACAATTAGATGGAATATGCTCTCTCTCTCTCTCTCTCTCTCTCTCTCTCTCTCTCTCTGTATTCCTTAGAGCCCGAAACTCATCGTGGGGAAACAAGAAGGCAGCAATGTAAGAGCCCCCTTTTAGAAAATTAATTGAGTGTATCAAGTTTTACCTCTAACATGAACTGGGTTATTAATGTATTAGCTCATCGCTGAACATTGTTGAGTGTATGCTTAATTGCTTACAGTTATTCCGAGCTTTTATTTATAAATAATTTTCGTATGTGTACAACTATAGTTTGATTGGCAATCTAAATTTTATGTGAGGTCTATTATTAGTCCTTTTAATGGGTTGTCTAATTTTTAAAATATGTTTTTCACAGGGAATCAAGAAAACCCTAGTGTTGAGAGAGATTCCTGAAGATGGAGTTAGCAAATTGCTGTCAAGTAAAGAGGCTCTGGCTGCTTGTGACATAGCTGTGTTTGTTCACGACAGGTAAGCAGAAGCCTAAAATGGTTGTATAATTTCCTATTCTGTTTTTTCATCTTTTGGTATTATTTTGCTAGTTATTTCTCCTATTTAATTCTTAAGTTTATGTTTCCAGATTTAAAACATTTATTATACTTTGATATATCTTTTCCTATTTTGTATTTAAAAGTGGGGCCCTCATCTAATGTAAATGGTAAACTTCTGTTGTTTAGAAAACTGGCAAATTTATAGATAAGCAGAATATCTTTGTTTCGGCTGTCTAGATGGCAAAAAACGAAAAAGGTCATTGTTGAGGATGGCTTGTGTATGTGATTACTGCACACATGTATTCTGTATGTACCCTACTCTTTAGGTTGTTGGCTAAGAGCATTACTTTAACATGTGTATATTCTTTCCCTACTGTTGAAAATTCATTTTATTTACTGTTGAATTACCTATAAATTCTAATAGTTGGTGCCTTCTTCTTTGCTAGTTCTGATGAGTTGTCCTGGACGAGAGCAACTCAGTTGCTGGTAGAAGTTGCTAGTCATGGTGAGGATACTGGCTTTGAGGTTCCTTGCCTCATTGTTGCAGCTAAAGATGATATGGATTCATTCCCATCGGCCATACAACATTCTACGAGGGTATATTGATGTTTTTTTTCATTGACTATATTTTCTTTGCATATACTTTTCTATGTAAATTGGAATTGTAATATTAGATATCAATGCATTCTATTATGTAACACAAGAATTAACACATCTTTAATATGCTCGTGCAGGTTAGCCAAGATATGGGAACAGAGGCTCCTATACCTATCAGCACAAAGTTGGGTGATTTGAATAATTTATTTCGTAAAATTGTAAGTGCTGCAGAGCACCCTCATTTGAGCATTCCTGAAACTGAGGCCGGGAGGAGCCGCAAGCAATACCACCGGCTCATAAACCGCTCACTTATGGTTGTTTCAGGTTTGACGACCTTTTGCATTTCGATTGTTCATTTATATGGTTCTTGTCATTTTTTATATCTACTAATGACATGTGGGCCTCATGGCACATCCTTGCCCTTAAGAAGAGGGGTAGAGGGTGACTACTGGGGTTCAATACCTGGTGGATGCATGTGTAATATGTCTTTTGAGAAGAAAGGAATTGTTAGAACTGCTAGTGTAATTTAAATTTTCTGGGTTTTGAAATAATGTGCTCACTTTTAGGAGAAGTTTATATTAAAAAGGCACGCATTTGAGTGGATTTTCAGTTAATAAACAGTGGTCAAAGTTCAAATTTGTTGGTCATGAGTATTCCCTTCTGGATGGGGTTTCTAATGAATTTGGTTCAGCAATTTTCGATGATTATCTGTGTTTGGTTAAATGTTTGCTTTGTTGTGACCAAACTTCATCTGTCAATTTGTTTGCACCAAGCTTAGTGGTTATAATTTAGGTTGTGTACTTTATGGAATTTGTGTTTCTCTTCACAGTGGGAGCTGCAGTGGCCATTGTTGGACTGGCAGCTTACCGTGTCTATGCTGCAAGGAAGAATGCCTCCGGTTAGAGGATAAAGGATGAAGTTTCATGTGCATCAACTGACTTATTACTTGAGGCCGACTTTCTCAGGCTTCACGAAGGAGTCATCTTCAGTTCCCCATTTTGTTGGGTGGATTTGTGGAGAGATTGCAAGTCTCTGTTCAATTATTACACCCTTGAAACCTTTCAACTCTTGCCGTCTCGGCAGGGTTGTATCAAGTGCGCTAAATGTTTCCTTTCCATCAGGTTCCCATTGTGCCTATGGCTAAAGCTCTTTGAAACAGATGATATACAACTTACAAGGGTAAATTCGTTTTTTGCGTTTGTCATTTCCATAAGCGTCCAAGAATATGTTAATAGAGATAAATTCAGTTTTAATGTCATCAAAAATGGAAACGCTACACGCCAGGAAGCTTTCTTTTGGGGGCCATTAGTTAAGGCCTTAGAGGATTGGTTTAACTTTTAATTTTGATAAGGTGGTGTCCATAATTAAGTATTTGCATATGTTGCCCCCCTTTATTAGTTTGTTTGGTTGAATGTTTCCCCTTTAATTAATAGTTATCATCTTAATAAGATGCCAAAATTAATTACTTGAGGAAAGGTGCTGGGTTACAGTCCATCTGTGTAGTATGTATGAGTTTTGAATACTATTGCCTCCCAATAAGAAAGATCCTTAAAAAAGAGAGAAAAAAAGAAGAGCAAATCGTTCATTTTATTGTATATATTCAGGAAAAACCCACAAGTCCACAGATTGGGTACAAATTGTTCGATAAAATTGGCATAGTGATACTTAAAAGAACTTGTGTTAACATGGTATTGTAAAATTTAAGGACTAGTTTAAAACCAAGGTTCCCTAATGTATTTTACATTTTTTCTATTTGAATTTGAATCAAATTCGGTGTCTGAACACCATACACAAAGGCGTTTTGTTTTGTCAGTCTCCACGGATGCTGGACACCCTCATTAAGCGACTAATTTGTTTATCTTCAACACCTTCATCCTCAAGCTGCCGACAGTACTTTCCAAACATGTCTATAGTTACATGGAGTTTAAAATCCAGACTCAACAAGAATTCAATCTCTAATTTGTTCAACTCTGATAAGCTCACACCTCCAATTTTGGCATAGTAGGCGTTACTATAACATCTGCAGTCACAGGAAAAGTAACTCAACAGTCATGAACATCACAAATAGATAACACTTGGTGCCCCGGTAACAGCTAAAACACAAACCAAATGATCACAAAAAGTAACCGTTTTAAACATGAAAAGTAGGCACTTACTCATCATCCATAAATTTTGCAGCGACCATAATGCTGGTGATCAAAAGGCGGTGAATGTTGAGAGAAGTAAGACAAATCCCTCTGCGTTGAAGGAACCTTTCGATGTATATGTACGCAACAACAAAGCAAGAAGGGCTGCAGCTTGAGTACTTGAAAATGCGCTCGATATACCGTCTGATGCTCAAGGCGGGAACTTCTGATGCATGGAACATTGTAATCACATCTTTCATCTTTGATCTCCTAATTAATTTCTCATTCTTTCGAATGGATCTCTCGAAAACCGAAGAAACAATCGATAAAACTCGCGGCGTTGTTGTTGCAGATTCTTCCAATATTCCCACAGCGATGAACACCATGGCATCAAGTGCCACTGTTCCCATGTTTAATTAAAGAGACAATTTTGATTTTAGCTCTGAAAGATGCATATATATATATATATGTATACATATATTGTGGCTCAATTCTTGGCTTCTTTACTTATTCTTTTCTTTTCTTTAACGCCACAGAGAGATATACATGATAATAGTATAAACCACGGCATAAATTAAGGCATATATTCAATAGCAAAGAAAGAAGGATGTAACAATACAAAGGATAGAGTGTAAGAGCACCACTTTGGGTTCCAAAATTATGAAAACCTGAATATTCTTTTTTGATAAAAAGGCGATATAATTTTATTAGATTATTTCACTTTGCAGAGTATTCTCTTTTGCATCTTCCATCGATTTTTTGTGTTTATTTGAAACTATTTCAAGGGATTTTTATTGCTGAAATGGAATATGTTATACTCAAGGAATTGTTTTTACTATTTGATTTATACTGAAATAAAAGGCAAAGTATCCCACCATTTATTTGTTAATTGGTATGAAATTTATTTCTTGTTATAATAAGCTGGATGCCTGTTTTGGCCAAACATGCCAGATATGTCTCTTAGCATGTTGAACTGTTTACCTGATTAAGGTAATAGTTTTATTACCCGCTCTCAATCAGGTAACATTTTCTTTTGGATTTTCACATCTCGTTTTTCCAGTATGGGTTATTTTTTAATCCGCAAGGTAAAAATATTCTACCTTCAGCTTCACTTTGAGAAGTTCTACTTAACTCATAATAAATATAGCTTATACTTAACTTGTACATATACGATTCATTTTTTCATTCATGATTGTAAGTAAACGCGTGAAAGTCAAGAATGAAAGTAATTTCTTTTCTTTTCCCATACCCATTATTGATACGTAAGCATATCCTTAATTCCAATGTACCAAATTCGACACCGGTCCAACATAAGAAACTCATCTCATAGGTGGGTTGTATGTATTTTGAAAGATGGAAGGTATATTTTTTTAATGGAATAAAATCCTTGTATCCACACTCATATAAGAGTCATATATATATGGAATAAATTGCAATCATATATATATGCAGATACTTCTTCGTGGAACGTACAACCATGCAGACCTTCCTATTAAAACCGTTTCCACATATAGCAAATTATGCTCCTCATTTTTTTGGTAGAAAAATATATGCTCCTTCAAGGCTCTCTCTTACACTCTCATACAAGGCCACAATGGAAGGCTGCTTTTGCTTCACCCAATTATGTGAAAATGGCTTCCAAGTTCTCCTTCTCCTTCTCTTCCAAACACTTCATTCTCTGTCTATTTATTCTCTATATGTGCCTCTTAATCCTAATTTTATCATCATTTATACCCGCGAAGCCCAGTAACCTTGTTATTACCAGTCGACACCAACAGGTTTTTAAGAATGAAATCAAGAATGTGGATTGGTTCATTGCCATTTCCAAACTATTCAAAATCAAGGGCAGGAAAATTAAGGTTGGTTTGGTCAATGTAGATGATTATATTCATAGTCAACTTCATGGACTAGAAGATCATGTTGAGACAGTCTCAGTAGGGTTTGAGCGTGTGTCCAAGGATCGAAAATGGGGGGACTATTTTCCAGAATGGATTGATGAAGATGAGAAATGGGGCTCCCCGAAGTGTCCCGAAATCCCAATCCCCAAATTGGAGGGGTATAAGGACATCGATGTGGTGCTTGCCAAAGTTCCATGTGACAAGGAAGGGATTAGGGATGTGTTTAGGTTACAAGTTAATTTGGTGGTGGCTAATCTAGTGGTGGGGGAAGGGTGGATGAAGCCTGATGCTCATCGAACGGTGTATGTTGTGTTTATCGGGTCTTGTGGGCCCATGGTGGAGATTTTCAGATGTGATGATCTTTTGATGCACCGAGGGGACTATTGGGTTTATATGCCTGATATTGGGAGATTGAAACAGAAGGTGCTTATGCCTGTTGGTTCTTGCCAACTTGCTCCTGGTTATGCAGAAACAGGTACTAATTAGTTAACTAATAAGAATTTATTCATGCCGTTCTAACCATATTTTTAGTCAACATTCGGTTGGTTATAGTTGGTCAAATATACGGTGTCACATAGTGTCAATGTAAATATATATAGACATAGTTGCACACATACATGAGCCAATTTGAAATATATATAATTTACATAATGTTACAAATTATTTGGGTTTGTAAATATTTTGAATATGCTGCAGGTACAGAAATCTGGAAAAAGTTCATGTATAACTCAAGCTCATGGACCCCATACATCAAGCGGAGGCTTGCGTATGTAACAATCCTGCACTCTTCAGAAGCTTATGTCTGTGGAGCAATAGCTCTAGCCCAAAGCATCAGACAAACCAACTCCACCAAAGACCTTGTCCTCCTTGCTGATCACTCCATCACTCCCCCCTCCATCCAAGGCCTAACCGCGGCAGGGTGGAAGATCAAGCAAATCGAAAGAATCCGAAGCGCATTTGCCCGCAAAGGGTCATACAACGAGTGGAACTACAGCAAACTCCGCCTGTGGCAGCTCACAGAGTATGACAAAGTCATTTTCATTGATGCCGATCTTTTGGTCCTAAAAAACATAGACAGGTTCTTTATGTACCCACAATTGTCAGCTGTGTCAAATAACAAGATGTTGTTCAATTCTGGCTTGATGGTTGTGGAGCCATCGAATTGCATGTTCGAATACCTAATGCGAAAAACGTTCAAGATCAAACCATACAATGGCGGTGATCAGGGCTTTTTGAATGAGATTTTTACATGGTGGCATAGGTTGCCTTGGAGGCTAAATGCCCTGAAAATGTTTAACAGGCCAAGTAAGGAAGGAAACAATGAGATGGCCAAGGATCTTTACGCAATACATTACTTGGGGAAGAAGCCATGGACTTGTTACAGAGATTATGACTGTAATTGGGAAGCGAATGGACGAAGTGTTTTTGCAAGTGACTCGACTCACAGGAGGTGGTGGAAAGTGTATGATAAAATGCCAGAGGAGCTGAAATCTTATTGTGGGTTGACAAAGAAGATGGATGCAGAGTTGAAGGAGAGGAGAGATAGAGCATCTAAGGCTAATTTGTCTGATGGGCATTGGAAAATTGAGGTTAAGGACCCTAGACAATATCACTTGAATATATAGAGCTACATAGCTTTGATGTAGTTTAACATAGCATTTTCTCTTGCACCAGAGGTTCTATGTTTGATTTTCCTCATCCCTGAATATTCCTTGTATCAAAAAATAGCCACTGCTTTTTCTTTTTGGGTACTTTATGTAATTGTGAAATTTGGATTTTTCTTATGATCATAATAGTGAAACTCCATTTTCATAATTCGTTGGGTCGATTAAAGTATTGGGTTAATTGGGTTCCTAAAGAAGAAGAAAATTATGATGGGGTTGAATGTTTGACTCAAGGTGGCCTCATTTGTTACAATAAGCCCAGCCCAACTTGGAAATGGGTTGAGCATATATGGGCCCAAGTGTCCCTCCTCCATGTAGGACCATTTCTGTAATTTCAATCAATCAATGATCAGCTCAGTAGCACTCACAAATATTTATATATATATATATATATAAATCTTGTATTCTATGCTATGAGAAATACAAAAAGATAAGGATTATTCACAGCAATGATCCCTCAACTATATCTGTATTTACATTTAGGTCACTAAACTCAATTATTAGTTGCAAACGTCACTCAATTAGGTGTTATGTTGCACTATTAGTCATTCCGTCAAATTCTATTAAATTTTATGTCAAAAGTAAGGATAAATTCGGAAATTCCTCCACAACCCTCCCCTTCCTCCACAACCCTCCATTGCCGTAACCCAATCTTTGCCGACACCAATAAATTCAATTAAAAAGATGCCGCACAGCAACAAGAATATTTTCAAATATTCATAATAAATACCTTCAGACTAGCAAACAGATTCAAGATCTCTCATTTTACCTTCAGACCAACCCTTCTCCTAAATCACATCGGTCTTCCATAATCTTCGAACCCAATTCAAATACACCAATTTAAAACCCGACCCTTTTGCAAGAGCCACTAAATCTGACTCATGGGTGCTAAATTTTGTAGACTTTTGAAACAAAAATGAAAAAGGGTAAGTGCTGAAATGATGAATCTTTGGACCTCCTCGAGGGAGCAAACAAGAATGGAAGGTTGAACCATAGGTTTGACACAAGAGAAATCTTTCTTAGACTTGGTTCGCCGTCAGTTTGCAAACCATTGAGAGGTTGAGAGGGAAGAGGGGTTGGTGGGTTAGGGTTTTGAAGTTTTGTGTAGCAGATCTGTGAGAATTTTTATTATTTGATATTAAATTTGAATTTCCGAATTTACAAATTTACAAATTTACAAATTTTGAAGTTGTGGAGGAAATGGAGGGTTGTGGATGAATTTCCTAATTTTTCCTCACTTTTGATAGAAAATTTAACAGAACTTGACGGAAGGACTAGTGGTGTAACAAAACACATATTTGAGTGACCTCTGCAACTAATAATTGAGTTCAGTGACCAAAATATAGCTATAAGTATAGTTAAAAGACCATTGCTGCGAATAACCCAAAAGATAAATAAAAATTAATCGACCATGATGACATGCTCCCATATAGAAAGCAAACCGACCCAGCCATTGCTTACCTAGTAACTTTTTGGGGCTTGAATAACTTTTGAGGTTTACTTTTATTTATTTTTATGATTTTTTTTACAACGAGCGATGTCAAAAGAGGGATGTTTTAAAAAACCAATATTAAAAGAGGGAAATTCGAACACATAATAAAATACTTAACTACATAGTAAAATTCAACAAGAAAAAATAATCTATATTGTAAGGTATCATTTTCTCACTTGTTCTATAGGCCAGGCCACTAGCCAAGCATTATTACTTTTTATCTTATTTTAGTTTTTAAAATAAACTCCTCCGCCTTTTTCCCTCCTCTCTCTCTCTCTCTCTCTCTCTCCCACAAGTTTTCTCACTCCCTTTTGCCGACCAAATGAAATCCCAATAGCAGAACGCGACGCTCTCACACACTCTCTCTCAACTCTCTCTCTCTCTCTCTCTCTCTCTCTCTCTCTCTCTCTCTCACACACACACACACACACACACACAGAGACAAATGCAAGACATATTCGGATCAGTTCGTCGATCACTGGTGTTCCGTACAGCATCAGACACCGAAGAGTCCCCAGTAACCCTAGTGGACAAGATCAATTCCTGCATTCGAAAATCCAGAGTCTTCTCAAAACCCTCGCCGCCATTGCCTTCAATGCCCAAAGACAATGCCCCTCCGATCCGATGGCGCAAGGGCGAGTTGATCGGTTGCGGTGCCTTTGGCCGTGTCTACATGGGGATGAATCTTGGTTCTGGAGAGCTTCTTGCTGTTAAACAGGTCCATATTATCTATTGGTTTTCTGCTGTTTTCGGCCTTATTTTTGGGTTTTGGAGTTTTCTTTTGTTCTTTACGGCTGTTCATTCCTTCTGGATTTTGTTTCAGTTTGGTCTTTGAGTGTCAATTTGACTTATTTGGCTTGTTATTTTATTTTTTCTGGGTTTCAATTTCATTTGTTTTTATGTTGATTATATGGATTTGATCTGGAGCTGGTGCTGGAGCCGTTTCTTGTTAGCTCTCAAAATTTGGGTTTTCCTTCAATTTTAGTTTTGGAGTTGATTTTCTTAATTCTCGCAGGTTTTGGTTAAATTTTTGTTCTGAGTTTGATTTTTGAATCATGTTGGAGTATCAACTCTATCTGGATTTTCCTTGATTTCACTTTACGATTTCCATAGCTAGTTCAGTCTGGGATTTGGTTCAGAATATAATTTTGATGTGTGCTGGTTCTTGCACAGGTTCTTATTGCAGCAAATAGTGCTTCAAAGGAGAAAACACAGGTTTGAATTGAATTCTTGTTTTACTATACAGCTAAGTTTTTAAAGTGATATATGCCGTTGCATGTGATGATTGTGATGTTCAGAATCAGCACTGACTCTCCACCACCTCTCCCTTTGTTTAATGCACATCACAAAATTGGATGAGTCGTATTGTCAAATATGCTAGAACTTTTGAGAAGGTTTGCAGACAGTTAGTTTCCAGAACCATTGTTTCCATAAAAGGAAGCTTAGCTCCATTCTTGTGCATGCCCATGATGTGGTGAATCTCGGATGCCATTAATTTGTGAGAGAACGTAAGTGTTACTCTAAGTCGATGAGTGTGCATAGGAAGTGATTGTGAGTGGATAGCTGCCCTCTATGTTAGGTGTTTGGACTTGTGTATGAGTGAATGAGGTGCAAGAGGTGTATGAGTGCTTCTTGTGTATGACTAATGTAATGTATTCTGATCTATATATAAATTTTTTGTACACTTAATTTTTAATCTCCAATATTTCTTATTATTTAGACATCTAAAACATTTTCTGAAGATTTTGTCAAGTATGACAATTGATATCATATCTTTTTAGTTGCTATTAATTCGGCCATTAATGATTTTAATGCTATAAGTAGGCTCACATGAAGGAGCTTGAGGAAGAAGTGAAGCTTCTAAAAAATCTGTCCCATCCAAACATTGTGGTAAGTAGGACTGTCTTTCGTCGATATCAACTCTTGGAGTCTATTGATTTTCTGACCTTGTACTTTGTTTTGGTTTCTTAGAGATATTTAGGTACAGTGAGGGAGGAGGAAACCTTGAATATTCTGTTGGAATTTGTCCCTGGTGGGTCCATATCATCGCTTCTGGGGAAATTTGGATCTTTCCCTGAGGCCGTAAGTCCTTGCCGAATAACTTTGCATTTTGTAGGTTTTTTGAATGCTAAACTTATACAATCTGTTTGAGCAGGTAATAAGAACATACACCAAGCAGTTGTTACTGGGACTAGAATATTTGCATAAAAATGGAATCATGCACAGGGACATTAAGGTACTCCTCACCTGCGGCATGTATAAAATTGTCAATCACCTTTCCTGATGTTTTCTTTGTAAATGGTTAATATGTATCTCATATTAACTTTCAGGGAGCAAATATCCTTGTTGATAATAAAGGATGCATTAAACTTGCAGATTTTGGGGCATCCAAACAGGTCGTTGAGCTGGTACAGACATTTATTTCCTTCATTTCTATTTAGACGTGCAGTATCTATTATGCATGGTTACTTCTATAATGCATGGCCTATCTAATTGAGCGATGCGTTGTTGCAGGCAACTATTTCTGGTGCTAAGTCTATGAAGGGTACACCATACTGGATGGCTCCTGAAGTTATTCTTCAGACTGGTCATAGCTTGTAAGCACAATATTAGCATCTATTTGATTTCAGGCATGCTATTCGATCATGACATGTCATTTCTGTATTATCTTGGGTTAGAGTATTGATTCACTTCAGGAGGTGTATTGCTGGTAGTTCTTCCTAGACAGTGATTGCAATTTTGCATTATCTATTCCATATTTCTTGGATAAGTAAAGAATGCTGATATATGAGAATAACTCTGCAGCTCTGCTGATATATGGAGTGTTGGATGTACTGTGATTGAGATGGCAACAGGAAAGCCTCCTTGGAGCCAACAGTACCAAGAGGTAATTAATCTGCTAATTCTTTAAGTCTTATAATAAAGTTTTCCCTCCTGCTTGTTGCACTAACGGCATGTTTTTCTAGGTTGCTGCTCTCTTCCATATAGGGACAACAAAGTCTCATCCACCAATCCCTGAGCATCTTTCCTTTGAGGCAAAAGATTTTTTGCTAAAATGCCTGCAAAAGTATGCTAATGTTGTCTTCTTTACATTATTTCTATTTGGATTCAAACTCTCCTAGATATGTGTAGCATTTATCTGTTCCATTAAACTATAAATATGATTCTTGTGGAGCAATCAATAACATTCATGTTTTAGGTAGAGAGACAGAGGAATGGCTCAATTTATGTATTTATTTTCTCTGAATTTATTTTATTTTGGTCCTGTGGCAGGGAACCAAATTTGAGGCCAGTGGCGTCTGAGTTGCTTCAGGTAATTTAAATCTCATTAATGTTTTCTTTACACAACGGAGTTTCTTTATATCTTGTAAATCGTTTGCTTCCAGTGTAATTTTTTTTTTGTGTTTTCTGTTGGCGAAGCCCAAGTCAACCCTTATCTTATCAAGTTCTTACACTTCTACTCTTACAACTACCTGCAGCATCCATTTGTAACTGGGCAACATATGGAACCTCATCCTGTTTTTCGTAATTCTGTCATGGTAATGAATGAGGTTGTACAATATTGCGGTTGTTTTTCACCATTAAATCTTTTGAGTGATGCTTAATTTGCTATCATCAGGTAGAATCTGAAGTCCCATCTCCATCATATTCTACAAACCTACACATCTTGTAAGTAGTACAATTATGCTTCTTTGGAACTTGTAAAATCAGAGAATGGATGCTATAATTTTTTTACAGGCTTTTGACATGGTAGCATCAATTTTGTTGCCAGCGAGATGTCAACCTGCCCTGATTCAGATGATATGTGTAATTTGGGTAGTTTGCAACACTCAACTATACATCCTAACAAGTTGTTGGGAAGTAGAAATGTTTGGGGAAGAAACAGCAGTGATGATGATATGTGTCAGATTGATGACAAAGACGGTACTATGGTGGGCAAAGCAAAGCTCGGTTCTTCTTTGATGCCCGACAACCTTAAGGTAATTGAATTTGTGCCCTCAAGATTTGGATAAGTTTTAAGCAGTCAAGAAATTCAGAAACTAACTGTTTGCATGCTATTCTGTTATGTTAGAGCTTTAACCCAATGTGCGAGCCCACTGATGAGTTGGGGTGCAAATTTGGTGGAAGTTCAGAAACAGAACAAAATGGAATGAATCTGGATACAAATCACCAAATGGATTTTCCTGCCAGCCGTTCTGGAACTATTGGAGAGGGAGAAAAAGACTTTTTATTTCCTTGCGGAACATCACTTGCAGAGGAGGATGATGAACTTACTGAATTAAAAATTACGGCTTTTTTGGATGAGAAGGTACTGTTTTGGTTGGAGTTAGAATTATTTGTCTTCTATGTTACGGGTATATGTACTTGGGTATGGATGGGTATGTGTCTTGGAGGAAGAGTTAAATAACCAAACACTTAGCCATGTCATGCATGCTGACATTATTATGGAAAGCAGAAATTAAAGGTTTATGAAACTATCTTGCAGTCATGTTTTTTTAGATTTCGGTTTGGACTTGATTAATTCTGAACTGTGCCATTGATCAAAATCTCAGGCTCTAGAACTGAAAAAACTGCAAACACCATTATATGAAGAGTTCTACAACAGCCTGAATGTAGTGTGCTCTCCAAATTTTTTGGATAACTCGCCTGATGAAACCACCTCAAGGTACTTGAAATTACCTCCCAAAAGCAGATCGCCTAGTCGGGGTCCAATTGGTACCCCATCTGCAGTAGCTGATGCTCTTAGTTCTGGAAGCCCTGGGAGTAATGGCAGGCGTGTATCAAATATTGGCAATGGAAATGATCAAACTGCACAGGACATGCCGTCACCTCCACTCAGTAATTTGAAAGGTCTTGTAGTTGATGGACAGCAAGAGCCAGGTAGTCCAAGGTTAGTTCATGCATTCTGGTTCATGTAATTCGATCTTTTTTTTTCTTTGCTCTCCACTCCTTTGAGTAACATCTGATATATGATAGTGCTCGCAGTATGAGCTTCTCTGAGAGAGAGAGGAAGTGGAAAGAAGAGCTTGATCAAGAGCTCGAGAGAAAGCGAGGTAGATGTTTCTTTTCCTCTTCTGGTTTCAAATTCCAACTATATATATTATTTGATTGGTATAAATAGTGTGGAACTTGTAGGATTCTGCTTGGATTTTGATGTGCCCACGAAGATTATATCTAGATAAATGTAACATAACATGTCTGAAGTTTAGTATTAAATAATCTAGGGAAAATGCATAAAGTGTACAAAAAATATAAAAATACAAACCATCTTATATGTAGTTTGGTGACCGTCACTTAAGTCAAATGGTGGTGTTATCAGTTTTCTTTGCTTTTGCAGAGATGATGCGGCAAGCAGGTGTAGGAGGGAAATCATCATCTCCAAAGGATCGAGCTTTAAATAGGCAGAGAGAGCGAACTAGGTTTGCATCTCCAGGCAAATGAAGTATGCGAGCTGGTCCTTGAGATGGTAGTCGTATCTTTCCTTGGGGAATTCATCCTTTGGAGTTGGAGTTTTGGAGATAAATATACCTGGTGCTCCAGTTTACCAGCTCCATCGTCTCCATGCGGGAAACAGCACTGCTGCTGCATCCGGTTCAATTCCTCATTGTGCAACCTATAATGATGCCCTTGTATGTTCTATCAAAGGCCAAGCTAGTGATTGCAAGCAGGGCTGCATAAAGCAATGATCTTAAGTTGTTGAATATAAATATATAGATTCTTTTTGGGGGTTTGGGGGGGGAATCATACAGTGCATAGAAATTGTATTATTGATGTAGTAATCTGGATCTATGGCACAGGCTAGATAGATAGTATACAAAAACTTGATGCCACTTTTTTTGTGTGTGTTTTTTATTCTTGTGATTAATGGATTACAAAATGGTTTCTTGTGTGTGTAAGTTCTGGTGTTGTGCATACAGCAGCAACTATTATAGTTGAATTTGAGTTTTATCCCAGACCCATGTATAATGAGATGTTACCTCAAAACTCGAACAGTGAGGGGCCCAGATATCATAGAAGACAGGGGGCTTTTAAAATGAGGGGTTACAATGAGATGTTGAATCCAACAATCCAATAATAAATCTGCACCGAATTGGACGACTATTAAGGAGTGTAGACTCTGCACCGTAGAGGACAAAAAAGAGAAGGCTGTGGTATGGCCCGATACTTGACATAACAATACGCAATGAATGGGCTATCCACAAGAAGACCGATGAGACCCGACCCGAATAAATCACAACGTAGCCTCTGCCTTGTAATTAGATCATTCGTTCGACGTGCGCCTCATCTTAGGTCTCTTCTGATATTTTGATCTGAGACTGAGAGAGACTTCTCTGCTGAACTATCTCGATCTAGAGACGTCGGCTCATTTCCATTGGAGATTCTGAGATTCTGTGATTTCGCTGCTAAATGGAGGACATGGGAGGCCGACATGGACTAGCGATTCGAAGATGGAGGTTTCTAGGGAGGCCAGCATACGAACCATCGTCGTCGTCGCCCTTGGTGTTCGCATCACGAGGGATCTGCGGGAAATTTGCATGAAATCTTCGAAAGCGTAGCGTAAATCTCTTACTCTCTTCTTTAAATTCGTCAATCTCTAGCACATCTCAAATCCTAACTCCTGAGGACCTATCCCTATCCCTAACCCTAATTTACCATTTCATTTTACCTTGTTTTAGATCGAAGAAATTTGTGCATACGAACCGTCGTCGTCGGCCTTGGTGCTCTCGATCTGCGAGAAATTTGCATGAAATGTAAATCTCACACCCTCTTCTTTAAAGAGATATTTAGTGATATACCCATTCTTAGCACTAATATTATAGATAAACCCTCTATCATTGAATTTCTATAAACAAACCCAAAAAAAACCCCAAAAATGATAGCTGGCCTTATTGAATTTAATATTGATTATTAAATTACTTTAATGCCATATTGAGTGTTTTGGGTATTTTTATGAGATTTTGGGGTTGGGCTTGTTTTAAGAAATTTATGGTAGTTTTGTAATTTATAAGAAGTTAAAGCCTCTTTGTTATGTTGTAAATGAGTTTTGGGTGTGTTTATAAAGTTCATTTCATATGGGGTATTTTTATAATTTGGGCTCCCATATTGGGTATATTAGTGAATCTCCCTTCTTTAAATTCGTCAATCTCTAGCATGTCTCAAATCCTAACCCTAACCCTAATTTATCATTTCATTTTACTACCTTGTTTTAGATCGCAGAAGAGAGAAGCATATACAGACCCATTCATTGCATAGCTTCCACTTCCAGCGAAGATCTTCAGGTGAATGTTTGAATTTGTGGTTCTTTAATTGATTGGTTTCTTCTTCGGAATTGAAAGTTTTAGTTTGGACTGTGCTGAATTTCTCAATTAGAACGCTTAAGTGTTGGGGAACATGACAATTCATAAGGTGCTTTTAATCCTTTTAGAAAAAGGTCTCTTTCATGCGTTATTACTAGTGTGGTTTCTCACTGCGAAGCAAAACACACATGGAATCGTATTTGTACTTGTGTTTAAATTGTGTAAGTTGTTTGTTGCATGGTATGTTTTGGCTGCAATTCTATGTTTTGTATGTTTACTTTGTTAGAGTAAGCAAGAGAGCTTTAGAATATTAGAAAGCAATGTGTTAAGTAGCTTCAGAATATCTAGGAAGTAAAGTTTTAAAGTTATGATGAATGCTGTGGCAAATAAGTGGGTTTGCTTGCAGTACAATATGGGCTATAGCAGCCTGAATATGATAATGGTCATAGTTTTGTATGCTATGTCGAATTCATGCTTAAAATCATAATAGATTTTGATAAGGTGTAACTGTGTTAGTTATTACTAGAGGCTGCTACAAGTGTTCTAAAAGGCTTGTGCCTTAAGGTTAACGTCTTGTTTGTGGGGATGAAAAAATATATAACTAAACTAACTATAATATTGTAAGGATATTATGAAAATACCCTTGAGGGATCTTCTTTTTCAGTCTTAGTAATAGGATTCTTATCTTATATTACATTGTATAGTCTTCCTCTGTTCAGGTTTATTTTATATGTTGTGTTTGCTGTGGGCCTCATTTTAGCTAGTAGGCTTGGCTGCTGGGTACTTATTGGGTTACCTTTGTCTAAGCCCAAACTTTTCTGTTACACCCCCAGTAATTGCAATTTGGGAGGGACTAGTATTTCTGATATCAATTTTCGGGGATCAGTACTTCCGCAATTTTGGCCCAAAAGTTGCTAACTCGTTCCAAGAAATTTACATGTATTTTATCGGTTTTTCATCTGTATTTTTTTGCTAATACTTGATGTTCTTTTCTGCAGCTATGCTTCTGTTTATATGAATTAATTTGGTTGTTATCTGTCTTTTTTGAACAGCCCTTATGTAAAGATTGAAAATGCAAAAAGGTCCCTGCCGAGAAGCCATGGGTTTGTTTAAGATGAAGCGAAGGTCGCTGCTGAGAAGGCTTGGGATCTTGAACAGCACGGAATGCTATTTTGTGTGCGCGCGCGTTTCTTTTATAATTTTATAATTTTTTCAGCTCATATAATGAATAAGGACAATGAATTACTGAAAACAAAAACAATTAGATAGCAGGTAAAACCAATTGCATGATATGGAAATATGACATTAATACGGCTACATACATCTTTAGCCGGTAGCAATTATTTGGACAGTTTCCCGGCCTTTTCATGTTGGAAGGCCCAGTAATCACCAAATAGGTCAACTAAAAGGATCACGGACGACAAAATAGGCCCACTGTAAGCTGTATCTGCATACGAACTATAAAATAAGCCCAATTAAACTTAGGAAACGACAAAATGAGCGCCATTAGCGCCGTTCAAAAGACAAAGCAGGCCCAATCGACGACTCATAAAAGACAGAATTAGCCCAATTGATTCCGAAAACGACAAAATAGACCCAATGAAGGCAAAGAAACGACAAAATAGGCCCAGTAAAGGCCTCTGAAACGACAAAATAGGCCCAATTAAGTCAGAAAACAACAAAATGGGCCAATTGAAGGGATATAAACGACAAAATAGGTCCAATACAGGGCCACAAAACGACAAAATAGGCCCAGTTAAAACATCATAAAAGACAAAATAGGCCATATCGGGCCAGAAAAGACAACAAAGGCCCAGTAAAGGCCTTAGAAACGACAAATTAGGCCCAATAAAATCAGAGAAACGACAAATTAGGCCCAATAAAATTAGAGAAACGACAAATTAGGCCCAATAGAGTACCATAAAACGACAAAGTAGGCCCAGTAAAGTCCTTAGAAACGACAAAATAGGCCCAGTAAAGTCCTCATAAACGACAAAAAAGGCCCAATTGGGTCAGGAAACGACAAATTAGGCGCAATATAGTACCATAAAACGACAAAGTAGGCCCATTAAAGTCCTCAGAAACGACAAAAAAGGCCCAATATAGCCAGAAAACGACAAATTAGGCCCAATAAGGGCTCAGAAACGACAAGATAGGCCCAACAAAAGCCTCAGAAACGACAAAATAGGCCCAATAAAGGCCTCAGAAGCGACAAATTAGGCCCATTCACGCAATCAGAAACGACAAAATAGGCCCAATCCAGACCGAAAACGACAAAATAGGCCCATGTAACGGTCCAGAAACGACAAAATAGACCTTTTGGGCGTTATTGGGCCGATTTGTTGGCTATTTTCCAAGTTACTGGGCCGAGTTCTGGGCCATTTAAGCGTTATTGGAGCCTTTTCTCAAGTTATTGGGCCCATATTAGGCCTGCTTTCACGTTAGTGAGCCTGTATTCAATTTATTGGCCCGTTGTCGGATTGCTGGGCCTACATACGCGACGAATTTCATGTAATTGGATGTCTGGGCCTTCTTTACTGGTAAAATTTCACTTGCAGGGACCCACTTCCCGAGCGTTGGGGCCCATTTAATGCAAGTTTACGACACAAGTGGTTAAATATTGAGCCAGTTATATCAAATTCGATTTTACGAAATTAAATTTTTTTTATCAATCGACCCATTGTTTAAAATAATGAGTTCGTAACGGTGAATGGATCTGCCATCAACAATACTAGAGAAAATTTGATGATACTGAAACACGGAATCGGACCTACTGGGACTTACTGGACCTAAGAGCATCTCCACCCACAAGGGCTAAGTCTAAGGCAAGGGCAAGCAAGGGCTGCCACTATTCACGTGAATAGTGTCAGCCTTTGCATTTGTGGTTCCACCCATGATGGCAAAGTCTAGGGCAAGTCTAAGGCAATTACTATTCATTGTACTTTATTTCCTATTTGTTTATACTTTAAACTATTAATTTTGATAAGCTTTTTAGATTATATTTTTGGTTGTCATGTGTCACTATTTATTATAAAATTTTCATTTAAAATTTAAGATAACATTTTTCGAATAAAATTTTCAAATAAAATTTTTGGATAAAATTTTTCGAATAACATTTTTGGTTTTGCCTTGACTAATCTATTAAAAAAAAAGAAATTGGAAATGCAAGAAATATATATATAAAAAAAGACATTAAATTGAATAAATTGATTTTTTTTTTTTTTTTTTTTTTTTTTTTTTTTTTTACCTTGATGTGGAAAGTGAAAAATATTGGAAGGAGATGAGTTTTTATGAAGATTTGGTGTAGAAAGTGAATAAAATGGTTAGGTATTTATAGGGAAAAAATACAGAATTTTTTGGTATTTAAAAAAAAAATTCAGAATTTTTTTTGAATTTTTTTTTTGACGTCAGCCAACTCGGGCTTCAGCCCGGGCAAGACTTGCCCTTGGGCTTGCTCGGGCACGTGGGACCCACCACCAAACCGGGCTACGGGCCCTGCGCTGGAGCTGTCTCGGGCTGCCTCTGGCAGCCTTTCCCCCCTAGCCTGGGCTGCGCTGGAGATGCTCTAATGTGAATTATGGGGCCGACCATTCAGTCATCCAGTGTTTTGACTCCTAACATGTAATGACGTTTCCATATTAAAAGAAATTAAAATATCGACTGCAAATGAAAATAAAAAATAAAAAATCGAAATACTTAATCATAGCACTAAAACAAACTAAACAAAAAAGAGATTAAAAAACACTTGGAAAAACCATGCCAGCCGTGCTTCAACTCCAATCCTCTTTCCCATTTGGGTTTCATCCGTTGCCTTCATTTTCCTACCGCCTCAACCGAAACATATGAAAGTAGATAAGAGGAGACGGATGAGACAAGAGAGAGAGAGAGAGAGAGAGAGAGAGAGAGAGAGAGAGAGAGAGAGACACACACACACACACACACACAAACAGAGACCATGCAATGCGGAAAAGAAACTGCAAACAATGACGGAAATTTGAAAAACGCCTGCAAGACCAAAGAGAGAAGTAAGTCGATGTAGAATAAAGTAACACACACTTGGATATCGACCCAAAGAAAAATCAAGTCATGTAAAACCAAATGATATCACTTTCATGCTTCACAATTTTTAAAAAGGTTTTTTTTATTAAACAAGAAACTTTAGTTGGAGCAAGAAGAAAAGGGAGAACGAATGCATTATAGAGGCAGGAAAGAAACCTGTGAAACAAGGTTAAGCAACTGCTACACTGTTTGAAGGAAACCCATCTGTAAAATGTAGCATCCCATAACCAAACTCGAATGTCAATGAGGCTGAGTGAGCTCAGTTAAATGTATGACCTGCACATTCATCAATAAGGAATAAGAGCCACAAAGAAAAACAGAGGGGAAAACTAAAGTCTGGCAAGAATATAACGGGGCTTTTCTCATTACCAAATCAATTTTGTGCATAGAAATGTAAAAATGCCAGCCACTAATGATTCGTATATATATACACACACACATGTACTAGACGCATCAAACAGAAGCCAAGCATGTAGATTACGATGACAGTCACTGTACCAAGAGATAAACTAAGGTGTGGGAAAGAGAATGGGTGTGCTAAAAGTGGATGCATGACCGTCAGGTAAGATAACCTGCTTGGATGCACGACTGGACATCAAAATGTGAGACTTTATGCATTATAACCATCATTGACCAGAAGGCCGGCAAACCACCACATCATATGAGGCGAGCTCCATAATAGAATCTACAGAGATTTAAAAAGTAATCCATATAACTCTCAAGCCCTAAACTGAATAGAACTAAAAACTGTCCAACTTATAAAATGAAAACCTAAAGCGCATAATACCCTAGGGAGTTATTCGTGCATGTTCCAAAGACAAATTGAAAACCGAATGCTCGTTTTCAATCAACTTAACAATGGTTGTAACTCCAAAAGTAGTGTTTAAATATAAAGCACAGAGGCTAAGTAAAAACAAAGTTAGATATATATGAACAAAAATTTCATGTATTTTACATCAGCAGAATAACTAGGTTAAATTAATCAAAATATTCCGATTAAAAAATAGTCAAAACAGGTATGAAATGGATTCTTGCTACTAGTGTAAATCTAGCACTCAAAATTAGGGTTTAAATCATCGATTCAGACTCTTACCGTAATCTGAGACAGATCCTGATCCGCGCGACATGGCTACGTTCTGGATTGTTGTCATCTTCATCGTCAACGCAGAGACGAACGATCTCACCATTCTCTTTGCACCATCCGAAACACTAAATCATTGCCTTGTTCGGATCCGGATCCGGTTCCGGACATGGCAATGAAAATGATTTAGGGTTCCTATTTTGCCATGGGGCTCCATTCTCGAATGTCGTCTACTCAGAGACGGGAGCGACGGAACCTAGGGATTCTCTACTCTCTCGGACTCTCTAGCTCGCTCTCTCGCTTAATCGCTTGGAATTGGAAGTCAGATCTGATTGGAGAGAGATTTGAGAGGCCATTTTTCTTATTTGCCCGGTTATGATATGGGCCTTTTTGTCTCTTTCCTGTTTTGGGCTTTTTATACGAATTTCACCGACCCAACAAAATGAGAGTAATTAAAAAAAATCAAACAATATTATTCCTTTTCTTTTCTCAAGAGATATGCATTTGTACCATAAACATAAAGGCAGCTGGCTATGTTTTTTTTTCCCATTACGTAGGCTTTATCAAATTTTAAGTTTATTTTTAAATTTTTAAAATTAAAATATTGGTTTTTTATTTATTACTATTTTGTCCTTTAAAAAAAAATATAATAGTTTAAATTATTCTAAATTAATTGAAAAAATGAATTCAAACTTTGATGCAACCAAACGAGATCATTGCCCTGGCCAATTAACATTACCCTCGCGTGCTATCATTGTTAATAATTAAGTTGTCTTTTAAGATTTTAGTCAGCACATAATAATTCAAAATAATGCCACAAGGAAAGATGAATGCAGCCAAAGAAACTGCTGAGTGTAGAAGTACTTGTCCATCTTACATATTGTGTGTGTGATTCTTCAGTCTAACAATCTTGCAATCTTGCAATCTTGTTTTCAATCTCCTAATTAAGGAATGAGAATGACTGTCTACCTAACAATTAGATTACAATTAGGAATATTCCAAACATTTTTAGGAATATTCAGAGTTAGGATGATGATATGCATTTGAGATATAAAAAAAACACATTACATATTGATAAGTAGTTTTTTTTACTCATCATTTAATTTATTTATTCATTGAATTTCTCTCAACCTTTTACATGAAAGAATGGAATGACAAATTTGCATCCTTAAGCAAGAAATAATCCAAACTAATGGAACACTATGGACATTGAGGAAATATCTTAAAACACCAAACACAAATCAATCCAAACCAAGCCGTTGTGCATATTATCTAATCATTAACATGTTTAAATTCTCCGAGCTGAAATTCCCAATGGCAATGAGCAAGTTGGACGCTGTTTCAAACCACGCATTACTACTCCCTCACTCTTTTGCACACTCTTTCTGCTCTTCAATGGAGACACCAATCTAGTTGCCAATCTCGACGGCGAAAATGACCGGCGTAGTTTCGAGGCAGTTGACATCTTGGGAGACTTCTTGGCTATTTTTGTTGGAGAAAGAGAAGAAACCAATGGAGGGCTCTTAATCTTGACTTGAAACTTGGAAGCTGAAGGTGGAGACTTGATTAAGAACTTGTGTGGAGTCTGAATCCGTGGCTTATTATTATTTTCATTTCTACCAATGATTGGTGACCTTGTCCTGCAAAACTTCTGCTGATGTGAACAAGAAGAAGGATCTGAGGACAAAAACAAAGGGTTGGGAAATAAAACACTCTTTTTAGCCCATGGCCTATTCTTGGGAGACACTCTGTTTGCCAAGTATCTGTTGTTTTCTATCAATACTTCTCTCTTGTTTGGAGGTGAAACCTTGAAATTGATTCGAGAACGGGCCCGTTGGAGTATTGGGGAACCTGATTCTGATTGGAAGGATTGAGATTTGTTGTGCTTCTCCTTCTTCCTTCTGGCCCTGAGTTCTGTGTTTTCAGGGAGTTGCCTCTGTTTCCTCTGTTGGGTCAATGGGGTTTTGGGGGTCTTCCACAGTGGTTTTCTTGGTTTTACTACCAACTGCTGCTACTATTTCTCTTGCAAATTGACTTGCTTGTAGAATTTCTCCGACTGTTTCACCTACCAGCATTGCCGGCAATGACATTCTCTGCCACTCCCCTGAATATAAATAACAATGAAGTTATTGCCCAATTTGCTCTATTTGGTTTCCAAAATGAGGTTAGAAAGGATAAAAAGAAACCCATTTGGACCAATCTATGATTTCAGAGAGAGAAAGATGGAGAGAGATTTACCTCCTGCATTTGCTGGAAACTTCCCAACAGGAGATTTCCTAGGGGCAGAACCTTTAATCCTTCATAAAGCAAAAGACCCATTTGAGTTCACATATCAAAATTGACCAAAACTAACCAAAGAGTTCAAATCAAAATCAAAGGCTAAGAATTAATGATACAAATCAAATTCAAATCAGACTCTTACCTTGCGGTTTCTTGTTTGCATCGGAGGCTAGTCCTTAGATAACCTCTAGTACTGCGAGGGCTGAGACTCACTCCGGAGATCACCTTTGTACCACCTGAAACTGTGTACTGTAGCTCCTGCAACCGAGCCATGCATCTATCCACCTTCACAAACCCACAAATAACAAAAACCCATTACTTCAAAAGACAAGAAATTCCCACAGATTCAACTTCAACCAAAGATGGTGCTTTGCTGCTGGGAAAGTGAAGGAAATGTATAAAAAATGAACTGAACTTTCAATTCAAGAGTTGGTCTCAGAGAAAAGAGAATGCTGTGCTGTTGGAAACCAAGTAGCGGAGAGCTTTTATTTTTCTCTCTAAGAAAAAATTTCATGTAGTTTACCTTCTTCACTGTTTCTCTGAGCAAAACAGGATTGAGAGGGGCTACCATTTTCCTCTGCTTTGGTGGGGTTCTCGCAACCATTTTCACTTGAAAGAGAAACACTAGGTGGGTCTCAAAGATCTCTCTCTATCTCTCTCTCTCTCTCTCTAAATAACCATGAAATGGGTTTCTTTCATTTACTCTCTCTCTCTCCTTCTCTCTTTGGTTCCTTTTTGGCTTTCGCAGTTTGTCTCCGGAACTGAAAAGTCAAACGGGTCTAGAAGCAGAACACTTTGGTAACGGATCTTTTGTTATGTTTCTTTGCTGGAGTCCAACGGTCGAATTTATCCAATGAAAACGGCTACTTTTGGTTTCAATTTAGCCGCAAATTTTTCCTCTTTTAAAAGGGTGAAGCTGTGATTACGCATAGATCTAACGGTCGGTACCCTTTCTTACTTTAGTCAGTGTGCAGCTACAGTCCATCAACCACCATGGACACCATGCTCGAATTTGAACCATATTGCATATCAGTCTCACATTTATATCTATAAATTCATTTTCCCCTTTCATATGAATATAATTAATTTCCCTTCTTTTGAATTATCCCTTTTCATTACTAGATTTGAATTCTATACATATTCAGACTGCAGATGTGATGTCGTGGCAGAAGGGTTTTCATATTTTCTCAGTTGAATCAATATTCTAATTTATAAAGGAATTGGCTCATGACTTCTTGAAATCTCAAATTTCATTTAACAAGGCAATACTAAGAAATGCTCTAAAACTTTGTAGGGAAAATAAGAATGATTGGTGGTAAGCAAGAAGCATACAATTGCAACACTATCCCAGAAGTTAACAGGTAAATAACAAAAAAAGAAAAGAAAAAGGATTTACTGTTCCAAGGTGTTTGAAAATATAGACAGTGACTACTTGATTCATTGCATCTCATAAGAAACTCGGGAAGGCAGTAACAGTGATGGCCTTCTGTTATTTTTCATGCCTCTCAACTTGAGCGGACTCCAAATTACTGGTTTCCGCTGTAATGCAACAGCTGTTGGATGCCTCTCCTTTGCTGAGCCAAGCTGTGCCGGGGGACTACCCATGAACTTACTGCTCCTCCTCATGGTAGCTGGTGTTGTCTCAGCTTCTGTTGTCAACTCAGGCATTGGAGAGAACAGCCTGGAATACCGTGCCTTTCGTGGATCCCTCATGAATGACTGTCTGCCATTGTTAAATCGAGAGGCAGAAGTATGGAGGGGCGTTGTCATGTGAGAGTTTGGCTCAGGGCGATAGGTAGCAATGGAAACCCGTCTCTTAGGCTGAAGAATCTGCGAGGTTGTTGTAGTTGGAGGTCTGACAGCAATGGAGATTCGTCTTGGTAAAATTAGGCTTTTTTGGTTTCTTCCTGCCAATGTTGTGGAAATGTTTTCTTTGCCATCCATTGAAGATGGGACAACAGAAGTTGTATAGCTGGGTTTTTTGGGTGGTAAAGCTGGGGGCATGAAGTTGGTAATTCTTCGCAGAGGTAGCCTCGATTTCGAAGGAGCCAACGGTGGCTTCTTCTCTACAGCAGTCTTCTGGGCTGCTTGTTTCCGAAATGATGATGCTGAAGACTGATGAGAAGCAGCGGCAAAAGCTCTAGTCTCCTGTTTCAGTCTTGTCTTCCTTTCCTCTCCCAATTGGTTCTCAAGGTCCCGAACCTATTATGGACAAATGTAGTTGTTAATCTATGAATACACTGATAAATAAATAAATAAATAAATAAATAAATAAACTCAGTAAGATAAATCAACTTCCCAAAACTCAGGGGAAAGTCGTCTCTTTGAGTTGTATTGAGAATGGAATACCTTTTCTTGTAGATTTCTGCAGATGTGTTCTCTTGCAGCAAGCCTCAACTGCAAAGACTGTAAGCCATCCTGTAGTTTTTTTGTTTCCTTCTCATCTTGCTTAGCCTTTTCTGCCTGTTACATTGGAAATCTAAATATTTTAATAATTTGAAACCAAGAGAAGAAAGAATAAAGTAAAGGGTTAAATTACTACAACATACCATTTGTTTGTACTTGAATAGCTCAGTGAGGTCTGCCTGTTTGCGAGCAGGGCCACTCTCTATTCCCCGGACCCGGCTGGCAAAATTCAAGGAACATAGTGTCTCTCCAAGATCTGAGGCACTTGGGCTGATCTGGACAAACATCAAGGTTTTGCAATCTCCTCCTGCATGTTAAATTTCAATCAACGTCATGCATGTAGAACCAAATTAGAGAAGCCACTCACATTAAGTAAAATACTACTACAAAGGCTCACCTAGAGAACTCTGCAGCATATGAGTCAGCTTCGAATTCCTGGTTTTTGCAAAAGAACACAAATTTAGATACAGTAAGCAAATGTGAACATGAGAGAGAGAGAGAGAGAGAGAGAGAGAGAGAGAGAGAGAGAGAGAGAGAGATGCCTGTAAGGAATGTGGGCTGTTTTAGATGCAAGGGATGAGATAACATCACCAGGGCTGAGAGAGATTTGTTTATAAACTGAGATTCCTTCAGTCTTTCACCTTCAACATCAATCCTCCCCACACGCTCACTACCAGCCAAGTCTACTAGCCAAAGTTGACTCCTAGTCCTCTGCCCATTTATCAAGTTCTCCCCCTTAACAGTCACTCGCAACAAGCTACAGAAAAGAAACTTGAACTCATTACAATCATAACAGGAAAAACTGTATGTTCATTCTGATTTGAAAGAGTACATGTGATTTTGCATGTAGTGTTTACAGGCAATCTTGATCCATTTTGCATGTGATCTGGTAGAGAAACAAACTAGAGTCTGAAAATATAGAATTTAGGAAATTAGGAGTATGAAAAATACCAGTGAGAACGGCTGCTCAGCTCATTAGCACTGGTAGATCCAACAGATCTAGCTCGGCTTCCAGACTTCAAAAGTTCCCACATCTCTTCAAAGCCATAAACACGGGCTTCAACAAGTCCTGGAACATCTATGGTTCCCTCTGCAACTTGCTTTATTTCCAACCTTTGTTCACATAACACAATATGTATTATGACTCAACATTATATCCTCTAATTGAGATTCTTAAGATGCCAATAGATAAAACAATATTACCTCTTCAAAGAAAAAAAGTCAGCCAGTTACAATTATTTCTTTAGAAGAAGTTAAACCCAGAGGGCAATCATATTTTGGTTCTTCAACATCTTAAGACGCCAATAGATAAAAACAATATTACGTCTTCAAAGAAAAAAGGTCAGCCAGTTGCAACATTTCTTTAGAAGAATTTAAACCCAGAGGGCAATCATTTTTTTGGTTCTTCAACGTCTTAAGAACAGCCAAGTGCATGTTGATACTTGATTCAAATAAATTTTCTTTATGAAAGGTAGCAAAGCCTACTCAATTAAAATTTAAGCAAAAGAAAACTCACTTCTTTGTTGGTTGATTGGTGCTATCGACCAAGAGGTCCCTTATCTTCTCATTATAAACCTCCAGCATGCTAACACATAATTCATATCTCATGAAACCACCTCTGTCTTTTGAAATCCGAAACAACTCCTCCAGAGTCCTGTAGTTAACACCCCTATTTTCAGGGGTTCCCTCCATTGTAAAAGTCTTACCAGTCCCAGTTTGTCCATAGGCAAAAATGCAGACATTAAAGCCATCCAATACTGAAGTCACAATGGGTTTAGTTTGAGCAAAAACAGCCTCTGCATATTTAAAAAACTCAGCATCAGTGATACAAAATCTGTTTATAATTTATTCATCGTAACAATCAACAGTGGAGTATTAAACCATGCAATTGCAAATCAGTATGACTTCTTAGATACCTTGGTTGTCCTCAGGTCTGAACACATGGTCAAACTTGAACTGCTTTTTTGAGGAATCAGAGCAAATGACCTGGAGCTCATTATCTAAGGAGGATTCAAATTCAATAACGGAACTAGATCCAGTTGAAATTTCATTTGGATTCAAAGGTCTACATCTGCAGAAAACCCTGATGTTTCCTTTAAGCTCGATTACTTCATTGTAAAGTCGCTTCCGCTCAGAGGACTCATCAAGGTACTTCTTCTTTAAAAGTTCATGTTCCATACCTAGAGAGCCAGCAACAACCGATTTCAATCAAAGAGAAAGGAAAGTTGGTAAATAATCATGAGTGATCAATGCAAAAGGCTCACTTAGCAGCTGAATAGTGTTTAAAACTTCAGGGTCTGGAAAGGAATGTGTAGTGAGCTTGACTTGATCAGACAAGACAGTATGGTCTTTCTTTAAATCCTGAAAAAAAAGTGCAATATAAAAGATGAATTAGAATGTTAGCCGTAAAACAGTGAAAACAAAAACTTTTTATAAATTCGTTCACCCACATTTCACCCTGTGGCAGTCAATCATTATAATTTAAAAGGAAAAGAATATACAAATGCTTTCAATAACTTTCTAAGATTTCCTAGAAGCAAATTGAAATACAGGATGCTATATTTAAAAAATTACCTGAATTTTGGCACTCAAATCAATGATCTTCTGCAAAATTGGAAGGGTCTGTCCCTGATATGACGAAGCTTCTTGAGTTCCATTTGACTCACTACTCTCATCAACCAAATCAGAACCCTCAACTTCTTGTGTAGCAATACCTGAAATAAATTATAAATCATTAAACACGTTGCAGAAGCAATAGGTATATGTACCATGAGAGAGTGGGTGTTAGCCGTCTAGTTGCTGAGAAAATGTTATAATGGATATGAAGATTAAGGTTTAAAGCCTGGTGAACCACTCATCAAAACTCAAACATGCAAATCAAAGAAAGAAAAACAAATTCAAGAATTTATAGTGCACCTTAGTTTTTTTTAATGTCATTTCAACTACTAATTTTACATCTGTAATATCACAGTTCAGTTGAAATCATTACAATCTTTAATTTAAATATACAAAAAAATCAAGAGTTGTAGAAAATACACACCTTTGTCGCTGACATAACTGTTCAACTCGCATGTCGCAGCTTCTAGGGTTTTAACTGGAAACATAAAAGATTAAATCTAATCAGAAAATTTCCCAATTTTATATTCTCTAGGACTAAAATAAAATAATAATAATAAAAATCAGTAATAATCGCATTCGACCTCAAATTCGAGTTTAAAATAAACAAAACCTCAAATTCAACATTTTCTTGCAATTTTGAAACTAGAAAGGGGGGAAAAACACAAACCTTTATCGGATTCTAAAAAAAGTAACATTTCATCTTTTTTTTTCCTTTTCATTTCAAAATTGGGAATTAGAGAATAAAAGAGGAGGAGAAGAAAAACGAAATCGGAAAATTAATAAAACAAAACAAGAACACGTACTTGTTTCGGAGGTTGAAGAAGGCTTGGAATCGTGATCTGGAACAACATCGTCGCAACTTTCAGGGATCATTTCCACCATTTGATCTGAAGAAAAGAAGCAAAATTCATAATTATTACACCGTTTGAACAAGGATTTAGGAAAATTTAAAAAAACAAGAAATCATGAGAGAGAGAAAGAGAGATGAAATTACCCTCCATGGCGAATCAGAGCAAGAATGTGAATTCTAGAGGGAGAGTGAGAGTGAGGGATGTCTGAGAATTCTAGACGAAGACCTCTGATAGGTAGAGAGAGAGAGAGAGAGAGAGAGAGAGCGTTGATTGTTTTAGGACCGGAGGTGTTTGTCAGGGTAGGGTTTTGATTGCGTTGAGTTTGAAATTGAGTGAATCACAGCCGTCGGTTTAAATGGAAGGAGCTCTTTCTTTCTAACGGCTATCAAAATCTTCTCACTGGGCCATAAACACTGGGCCATAAGGGGCCCAATTGGTCCAATCGGTGAGAAGGTAAAACGACGCATAGTTTGACGTCGACTTATTTATAACTACGATGCAACATTCACGTCGTTTAGGCCTTGATTGGTTTTCTTCCTAATTCCCCATAAAGATCTGCACTGAATCACAAAACAAATAAATAAATAAATTTCTATCTAATAAAACATAAAAATCTCTGTAACTTCGCTCCTATAACTACTTTTCCAGTGGCTAAGTTCGTCATTCATGGCTTCCACATCCCCAAACTGCTTGTTTTACTTCTGCTCCCCTTCTTCAATATCCAACCCAACCTCAACCTCAACCACACAATTGCCCTTATCTTATTCTCACTCTATCTTTAATGGGTGCAATGGGATTTCAGTCACCAAAGCTTGGCCTTCTAGCTCATCAAGAATTTGTGCCAAGTTTGAACAGTTCCAAGGTGAGCCTCCCCAGGACAATCTTGAAGATACAACACCACCAACCCTAGAAGCATTTGAAGAAGATGGTGAACAGGAGGAAGAAGATGACAGGTGACTTAATTTCTTTCATAATTTGGGTTGTATGCAGTTTTTCTTTCATAATCTAGTGTGCATCTGAAGTACAATTGGGCTGATTGTGGAGGGAAAATGGTGATTTCCATTTTATGTAAATGAATAATTCAAGTGTGTTCTTTGAGCTGCAGTTAATTTTGAATTGAGATTAAAAGAAGCTTCAATATCTATGCTTTTACATAATATTGTTTGGAAAGGCTTTGATGTAATTTGTTTAATGGTTTAGCTGCTTGCCTTCTGACTTGGAGGGTGCAGTCCGGCAATCGGGTGAAGCAAGTGCAACATTTGTGTCTTCAGGAGGATTGAGAGCCATAGTACGTGCCATAACAAAATGTAATCTGATTGATGCATGTTTGAACAAATTTGTGCGGAAATAGGAATATTATTTTCTTGTCTCATAGTTGACATTCTTTAATTTTCTTGGCTTGTCTGCTCAATTTTTTTTCGTAATTTCGTTACAGGTTGAGCTTTTAATCCCCCAGCTGCAATTTCTTGATGAAGAAGGTGCACAAGCTGAGCTCTGGGAATTGTCAAGGGTTTTCTTGGATACGCTTATTGAAGAAACTGGTGGTCAGGTTAGTTGAAATAGTTAGGAAACTTTAGTTAAGTGATATTTAACCAAGAAATCATCTCAGTTGATAAGTTATGCTAATTTAATTGTTAGAGAGTTAAAGCCATATTTCCTGATGCTGGTGCCGCAGCACTTCTAAAATACCGGTGGAAAGATGCTGCTTTTGGATTCTCCAGGTAATTTATACCATCCCACTAAGTCTTCACTTTGTTTAGTCATCCTCTTCAGTTGAATTCTCTTAAGCTTACTTTCGGTTCGCGTTTGTGGCTTTAATCTTAATCTTCTGTCCCCTAATATCCAGCTTAAGTGACCGAAAGCCGGTACAGAGTGAAGATGAGATTGTGGTTATGGTTGTTCCTGATTATCAGATGTTGGAATATGTAGAGAAGCTTGCATCTGCTCTCTCAGATGATCCGGTAAACTAGTGATTCTTACTGTTGCATACCTTCTTAACTTAAACTTACTGAATAGCATCTCAAAGTGGGAAGGATAATTTTCAACATTTTCTTGTGCATTGGCAGCCAAGGCCTCTCATCATGTGGAATCCTCGTCTCATCAGTGAGGATGTTGGAGTTGGATTTAATGTTCGAAAGCTCAGGCGGTACTTTCTGAGGTATAATTCTGATCTCTCTGCATTCATATATGGTCATTCTTAATTTTTACGTTCTGCATTTGTGTTGTGCAGCACTTTTACAACGGTGTACTCAATGAGGCCTATGCAGTCTGGTGCTGTCTTTAGGTGCTATCCAGGGTAAGGGATTTAAACATCATATCAAATTCTTAACATTTAAATTGGCCTCTTTGGTCTATTGTTTCAGCCGCTAAGTGCTATGGTTTCTGCACGTTTACCAGGTCATGGAAGGTGTTCTATGATGACAAGGATAGACCAAACAGATATCTGCTTGCCAAAGAGCTCATTAGGCGCCCGGATGCCGAAGAACTTGAGGTTAGTTACTTGTTGCCAACCCCTTCACTTGAACAGATTACTCAAATTGTATAAACAAGCTCAATGGCGTTGGTTTGATCTTTTGCAGATGATATTTGGAAATGTAGACGAGAAGTCAGAGCAGGGCCAATCTTTGTTTGATCAAGCGGCAGGGATCTTCTCTTCACTAAATCGATTTATGAGGGTCATTTCAAGATAGACTTTGTCTCTGATCTATCTCCTGTATTGTAATGTGTATTGTGTATAATATTTTCTAGCACGAACCGAAGTTGTGTTTGCTGCTTTACGTCTGCTGTTTTTAGTGAAAACAAATGAAACAAAGACAAAATACACATTTTTCGTATCACTGAAATTGAGTGCATCTGGCATATAATTTCTTGAGCAAGGCAGCTTTAATGATCTCTTTTACAGGCAACCCAAATCAGCATTTCTGGATTTCAATTTCTTCCTCCTATAAATACAGTGGCAACCAGCTACATGTTTTGTTTGACTATGAAGACTGAAAATACTATGCTAGCAACATACGTGCTCTAAAACAAAGTCAAAACCAGTCTACATGTTGTGTTGAAGCTTTGGGTTGCTTCTTCGGCTTTCGATACCGATTGTTCTCAAACCTGGCTTTAACTATAAGCGAGTATAGCAAATCTGCCTCGGCTGAACTATCATAAGGCATGTTCAAGATACTACAAAATCAAGAGTTACCACACAAAGGAAGAGTTAATTAAAAGATTAAACAAGGAAGAAACAAACAAGTTCTCTTTTGTTCTTGAAAATTAATAACCACCTGTCAAGTAACTCCTCCAAGATAATTCTCTGTATAGGTGTAACATAATGAATGCAACTTCTTGGGCACTGACCAACTGCAAGCTGAACTTGGTAATCATCCCCAACTCCTATTAACACACATACAGAGTGGACTTCAATCAGAAAATTAGCAACCTATTCCACTTTCTACAATTACAACCATCCTCAAAACCATAGCATAGGCTTCATCTTCTGTTCCTGTATCTACAAACAAAGACGAAACAAAACGAAATAATTAAACCAACCTGGAGAAGTTGCTCTTGCCGTCCCGGTTGAAGCATAAGTGAAGGCATGAGGAGCTCTTTGTACACATGAATATGGACAACCTGCAGATTTTTTTTCCTTTTAGTGCTCCTCATTCTTTATAATGCGATCGTAAAAAGAATCAAAGCTTTATACCTTTTCCAACACAAAGAACCTCGTTAACGAAAACATCAAATGCTTCACATTCTGGATTATCAAAGGGATCTACACATTCCCTACAAATTCATCACCAACTGTCAAGTATTACAATAAGGAAGCAAAAAACAACAGAAATATAATAGAATGTGAACTTAAAATGGACAAAAATGATAAATTATATATATATATATATATATATATACACACACACACCAAACAAACTCCAAGTTTACCTTTCAATTATCTCCGATCGGCTGTAATTTGATAACATCTGCACACATTATATTAACCACCATCATCACCAATTATTCTGTTTTAGCAAAACTCCATTTTTTTCCCCTTGAAAAATATTATAGAAAAATATTTATAAATAAAAATGGCATCTTTAAATACAGAAATACCTCATAGGCCTGAATTACACGGCGAATCATCATATCAGAATCGTTCCCAGTCCTATTTACATCAGGAATGAAACTTGCTTTTTTTTTTTTTTTTTTTTTTTCACATCAAAATATAAAAATTTGAATTAAACAACATATATATACAAAAATGAATGCCATATTTAATTTTTCTTTAATAAAAAGAAGAATGAAGATAAATACTTTGGCGCGGAAAGCGGCTTTAAGCTCGGTGGCTGAGCAGGTTGGCTGGACGCCGAGAATAGCGAAAGCGGATGAAGTACCGGAGGGAGGAGCATCCTCTCCGGTGCGGTCTCTGCAATTCTTCAGTGTGAATTTGTGACGGAGGTGAGTTTTAATGGCTTTTTGAAATGGAAAAATTGGAGGTGTCCAACCGCACACGGATAAACGTTCCATTTCTCCCTCTTAACTTTTACGCGGGGCTCTGCAGTTCTGTTAACGAGTGAGTGGAGTAGAAGACTAAAACGCTGCGTTGGAGTTTTTGTGGATCCCTCCTCCATCTTTTTTTTGTTGGAATCCCTTCTGAGCGAATTTTAGATGTATAAATATTTATTCTATTAATTCTTTTTTTTTTTCTGTGGGTGTGAAATAGCCTTGGCCCAACGAGGAACCAAAAAAAAAACCTAAAAGACTACAACCAGGTTTGAATTTTAATGAATTTCTTTTTGCATGATATGATATCGATATAGCGAGACAATATTGAGATGATATCGAAATAACAAGGCAATATTAAGAGTATATAATTGGTCTGTTTGAGAACAATGCACCAGTAAAATAAAAGTTCTATTAGATATAAGTATTTGACTGGGAACTAATTGATAGTGAGAAAACAATTATAATATTATACAGACATAAACACTCACAAGGGACTTTCATGAGCCCTCAGTATGAAACTTCACACAAGCAAAAGGCCAAAAGAAATTAAAAACAACTGGTAAACGTAAAAGTTTTACTATATATCTTGTTCAAGCCATAGTTGGAGCTTCAAATTCCTTTTCTTTCGAGACATTTTTTCAACATTGGCACAACAGAGGACATAAGGGGTCGTTTGTGCGGACTCTCTTCTGTGCAAATCATCCCTACCTCAAGCAATTGAATGCTGCATTGCTCAAGCTTCTCTAAAGCATCACTTGTGCCTTTTGAGCACGCCTCCTGCTTCAGTGTGGTGTCAACAACATCCCAAATTTGGTCTGGAAATGCAGAACCCACCCACTTCCTTAGATCAAGCCCATCCGAAAACACATTACTTGTCGGTCTTTTTCGTGTAAACATCTCGAGCAGAACCACACCAAAGCTATACACATCCCCTTTAGCTGATACCTCAACTCCCTGCCCATATTCTGTTTCACAAGCAATATATATACAGATGGTTGCTCATAATTGCTTTAGTTTCTGGTGTTTCTGATATATGAAAGTGATGTATGTTCATGTGATATGCATACCTGGGGGAATATAACCAATCGAACCTCGAAGAGAACGCGTTGTGCTAAGATGTTCTTCCATTTTGTCAGCTGAAATGAGCTTTCCAATCCCAAAATCTGCTACCTGAGCCACCATATTTGTGTTGATAAGCACATTTTCTGGTTTCAGATCACAATGTATCACTTGGACTGGACAGCCTTCTTGAAGATACTCCAAGCCATTGGCAATATCAATAGCTATGGAGATTCTTTCCCTTAAAGTTAGCTCACAAGCTCCTTCCTCTAGCCCACCAGGATAAAGATGTTGTGCCAAGTTCCCATTGCCAATAAAGTCAAGGACAAGAGCCTTGAACCCTGTGTTCCAGGCATACCCTACCAGTCTAACGAGATTCCGGTGCTTGATTTCAGACAATATTTGACATTCCCTCTTAAAGCTTTTGAAACTTTGATTGCTGTCATCATGCAGGACCTTAACTGCCACAGTACTTTCCCCATTATCAATGATTGCTTTATAGACTGATCCAAAAGTTCCTCTACCCAGGAGATTAGCCTCATTGAACTTGAGTGTTGCAATTTCGAGTTCCCTTTGGGTGAAACTTCAACTTCCATGCTTTCCTGGAGGTGCCATTAGCATTCCATGCGCTGTCCTTGAATATTTTCTGAAGAAGAACCTATGAACAAAGACAGCACCCACCACACAGCTTACTGCAACTGCTGCAACCACAGAGTAAATTACCCAATTCTTTGTCCTGCCTTTTTGCTTTTGAACTTCACATGGAGGAAGACCAAGTTGTGCAGAACCACCACACAACCCCACATTACCCAGGAATGAGCTTTTATTAAAAAATGTAATCCTCCCAGTATATGGAACTTCACCTGATAGATTATTATAAGATAAATTGAGATTCTTGATCATATGTTCATCAGCAATCCAGATTGGAACAGTGCCATTTAATCGATTGTGAGACATGTCCAAAACTTCAAGATAAGTGATTGATTTCAAAGACCTTGGAATTGTGCCTTCAAGCATGTTTTTGGACAGGTTCAGATACACCAAAGAAATGCAACTTCCAATCAAGCCAGGTATGACACCAACAAATTTATTCTTCGAAAAGTCGATTGCCTGCAGAGACACCAGCTTTCCAATGCTTGTTGGCAGTTGTCCTTCGAAATGGTTGTTTGAAAGGTTAAGTGAGAAGTCTAAGTTTGAAAGAAGGCCAATCTGTTCAGGAACAGAACCTTGTAAGCTGTTGAAAGATAAATCGAGCATCATCATAAGAGAACAGCGAGTAAGATCAATGGGAAATTTTCCTGATAGGCTGTTCGTAGACAGGTTAAGATATCTCAGCTGTGAAAGGTTACCAAGTGAAGGTGGAATAGACCCACCAATCAAATTTTTACCAAGATCCAGTAGACCAAGGCTAGACATCTTCCCCAATTCATCTGGAATTGGCCCAAGAATTCTGTTTCTCTCCAAGTATAACCTCTGCAAATTCCCAAGCTTTCCAAATGATGGTGGAATTTTTCGTTCCAAAAGGTTGTATGACAGCTTTAAGGTTACTAGGCTGCTTAAGTTTCCAATACTGTCTGGTATACTTCCCATAATGGAATTATTGAAAAGATTGAAGTAAAAGAGGTCTTTTGAAAGACCACCTACAGAAGACGGTATATTATCTTTGAACGAGCATGAACCAAAGTGTAGCTTTTTTAGAACCGAACAGTTTGTGAGAGCTGTTAAGAAACTGAGGGAAGAATTGCCAGAGCTGCCGCGACCTAAGTAGTAGTTGGAATGAAAGTAGAGAATCTCAAGGTTCTTTAACATTCCCAACTCTGCAGGAACTTCCCCCTCTAAATTGTTGAGACTGAGATCAAGCAGTGTGAGCTGAGAGAGATTGGAGAGGATCACTGGAATTCTACCAGAAAGCTTGTTATCAAGCATGTACAATTTCTGCAAGTTCTGGAGTTTGGCACCCAGCTCTAAAGGAATTTCTCCACTTAATAGATTCTCAAGCAGCGAAATCTCACGTAAAGCGGTGCAGTTGCTAATTGCTGCAGGTACTGGTCCCTCAAGATAGTTCGTATGGAGGTACAGAATCTCTAGCTTTCTTAATGCTCCAAGCTGTGGTGGGATCTTTCCAGTAAAATAATTGACACCCAGTTTTATTTGTGTCAATTCCGTCAAGTTTGATAGCGACGACGGCAGCTCTCCAGTGAGTCTGTTTAGAGACAGACCCAAGTATGTTAAGTTCTTCAGCCAGCTGAGTTCCTCAGGAATGACCCCAGAAAGATTGTTGACATTCAAGTCTAGTTCTTTCAAGCTTTGGCAGCCATGCAAAGAACCAGGAATCTCACCTTCAAGCTTATTTTCGCTTATATTGAGAAATGCTAACTCTGAAAGTCCTCCCAAGGAAGATGGAATTTGTCCAGAGAATCTGTTGCCTTGCAGAGACAGGGTGGTAAGAAGAGAAAGATTGGATATGAATGGGGATATCCCTCCTTGCAAAACCATGTCTATGAGCTCAAGACCTATCACTCGGTCTCGGAGATGTGGGTGGCATGTGATTCCAGTCCAGTTGCAGAAGGGATTGGCTTTGTTCCAAGTCTTCAGATGACCTTCGGGATCGCTTCTCAGGCCCTGCTTGAATTTAAGAAGAGCATGACAATCAGTGGATTCTTCACAAAGAAATGCAGAACTAAATGGCAGAACAAGTAAATTGAAGACAAAGCAGCCAATCGTTGCCCTGATACAGTTCAGATTGTATGCCATTTCTCTCTTTCTCTATATTCTTTCTTTCTAGAGCAATTTGTATTTTCGGATGACTAAATATCTCTTAAAACAGAAAGAACAACTTCATCTGTCACAAGTTGAGGTATAAGATATTTAGCATATTTTGAAAGATTTGTATTAGTCCAAACAGAAAGAACAACTTCAACCTCTAAATATGACTAAATCTCTTAAAACAACCTCTAGTAGTGAATAGCGTTGGCCCTTAATTATAATAATTCATCGCTCTGATTAGAGAGCAGTAGTTGAAAGCCATACCTGAGGTTGCTGTTGATAGCCACATAATTTAATGAGATATTTAGGGGAGTGTATCCAATTCAAACTTTTAATGACTTTTATAGAGTTTAAAAATCTGGAGATATTCAATTTAGACTTTTAAAAAGTATATAAAAGTCTAATGGTATTCAATCACAACTTCTAGTAGTCAATAGCCTTGGCCCCTGATTATAATTAGGGAGATTCACTAATATACCCAATATGGGAGCCCAAATTATAAAAATACCCCATATGAAATGAACTTTATAAACACACCCAAAACTCATTTACAACATAACAAAGAGGCTTTAACTTCTTATAAATTACAAAACTACCATAAATTTCTTAAAACAAGCCCAACCCCAAAATCTCATAAAAATACCCAAAACACTCAATATGGCATTAAAGTAATTTAATAATCAATATTAAATTCAATAAGGCCAGCTATCATTTTTGGGGTTTTTTTTGGGTTTGTTTATAGAAATTCAATGATAGAGGGTTTATCTATAATATTAGTGCTAAGAATGGGTATATCACTAAATATCTCTTATAATAATTCATCGCTCTGATTAGAGAGCAGTAGTTGAAAGCCATAACTGAGGTTGCTGATGACAGCCGCATAATTTAATGAGATATTTAGAGGAGTGTATCCAATTCAAACTTGTGCAAGACTTGTTGCATTGACAGTTTGACGTTTTGGTCCCGGGGCCCCCATTATTAAATCTGGTAGTCAATAGCTTTGGCCCTTGGTAACAATAATTCGTCGCTGATTACAGAGCTGTTGTTGAAAGCCATAACTGAGGCTTCTTTTGCAAGCCACATAATTATTTGAATAAATGTTTCATGCTGAGTCACTTGATAAACCCAAATCTCCAGCTATTCACAAAGAAGAAATATCAGATATTTTTTCAGATTTAAAGTTCTCCAACTAACCCAATACCCTCGTTCATCAGAAACCCTTCAATACACCCAAAATAGCAAAAACGAACTTCACAATGCAAATATAAAATGGCAGCAGGGCTACAGTGGACCTTCTTGGCAATCAATTCTTTCTGAGTTGCAATGTAAAAGATAACCATTCATTATACCTTATGCTACCAGTGTTCTCTTTCGTTCAGTCTACAAAACGAAAGGGAAAACCCAGTTTTGTACCAGCTTCTTTAAAATTTATCCTGCCGGGGTGAAAAATATGCTGGATAAGAAATCATAATCCCGCATGCAAAAGTTCAACAGTTGAACTTCTCTGAAGATAATATTAACACAGAAAACTTGTATAATACAGGAATGACAAACCTAAATCATTCTTCTTCTTTTTCCTCCAGAAATACAACCTTCACGGTTTTGGCAAATCTGTAATAAAGAACTTGCTCTTATCTCTTTTCATCATCACCTAAATAGTAGAGTATAAACCTCTAATTTGGTACATATCCTTCATCTGTCACAAGTCTATACAGTTCTGCCAGAACTCCATAAATGATCTCTGCTTGTGGATGCATTCTATCCCCAACAACAAAGCTCTGAACTTTGTTTTCAATCTCAATCCAACTAATACCTGTTTCTTTTGCGACCCTCATTTCCTTCATCCCCTTAATGGTCCTTGCTCTCTCTTTCCACCTTCCTTCAGAAGAATATATATTCGCTAGCAAAACATATGGTGCCGGGGTCTCAGGTGCCGCCAAAAGCAACTGATCTGCAGCATATTTACCGATCTCTGAATCACCATGAATGCTACAAGCACCAAGCAATGCTTGCCAAACAAGTACACCCGGATTCTCAGGTAGTCCCTCAATGAAATTTTTGGCCTCAGTCAGAAGTCCTGCGCGACCTAACATGTCAACGACACAAGCGTAGTGTTCTGGTCTTGGACTCATCCCAGGGTCCTCATTCATGGAGTTCAAAAATTCCATGCCCCTTTCAACGAAGCCAACATGGCTACAAGCATGAAGTAGAGACAAAAATGTAACATCTGTTGGTTGTACACCATCCATTTTCATCTCTTCATATAATTGTAATGCTTTGGAGCCATCTCCATGACGGGCAAAAGCTGCAATCATGGAATTCCACGAAATTGAGTTCCTCTGAGGCATCCTACTGAACACTTCGACTGAATCCTCCAACTCTCCACACTTGGAGTACATATTTATAAGCCCATTGCAGACAAAAGAGTTATGACCAAAACTTTTTTTGACAATTAAAGAGTGGAGTTGCTTCCCTAGACCTAAAGAAGTATCAACACCAAACACACCAAGAACAGCTGAAACCATGTTTGGGTCGATTTCAATTCCTGCTTTCATCATTTTCACAAATATTTGGATCGCTTCACTCTCAAACCCATTTTGTGCAAATCCCACAAGGATAACAGTCATGGAAATCTCATCAAGTTCTTCCGTGGATTCAAATATTCTCCATGCATCTTCCACGCTGCCACACTTCGAATACATGTCCATTAGTGCACTCTCAATGCACAAGTCTGATTGAATTCCCAGTTTCCATGCAAGTCCATGAATTTGACGCCCTACACTTATTGCCTGCAAACCAGAACATGCAGTGAGTGACGCCAAGTAAGTCAAGGAATTTGGCTCCACTACTCCACTACGCATCTCCAAAAACAATTCCAAACTTTCCACATAGAATTCATTTTGTGCGAGCCCCGAAATCATTGCCGTCCATGTAATCACGTTCCTCTCAAACATCTCATCGAAAACCCGCCTTCCTGAACCGAAACACCCACATTTACAATATGATGTGATCAAAGCATTCCCCACTGCAGTTTCCCGCTCAAACCCATTCAAAACCACCAAACCATGCATCATCTTATTCAAGTGACAAAACTCAGGCCCATCACAAGCTGCTAAAATCGAAGTCAAAGTTGCTCTATCAAATCGATAAAAATCCGATCCACGCATTTGCTTAAAGTAGCCAAACCCAACATCAGACTCCCCGTTCCTTAAAAACCCAGATATCATTGTATTCCACGAAACTGTATCTTTCATGCCCATATTGTCAAACAGCTTAACTGCATTGGAAAATTGACCGCATTTCAGGTACACTGAAAGCAGAGAATTCCAAACAACAAGGACATTACGATAATCATCTTGACTCTCGGGGTAAAAGAATTCAGGGTTCTTAATGATAGAGGCATGGAGGGAAGAACCCAAGTGAAAGTTTCCTTCTTTTCCACAAAGAGAGAGAAGCAGGCTTATGTCTACATGGTTGAGGATCAATCTTGAGGTTGTTTCTGCAGAGGGGTTTTGGTGAACCTTGGCTTTGAAAGGAGAGATTAGAAACGAAGCCCAAGAGGACAAGTAGTGAGAGTTGAGGTTCTGAAACTGAAAGACCCATCTGGATTTCATCCATGAAATTGGGGACACGGAGACCAACTGCAGTTCTCTCAGTTTCTTCAGAATTTCGCTTTGATGTTTCAGGCACAAAATACAATAGCGCAGACTAAACGGTGACTCTTTTGGGCCCAAACTTTTAGGCTCATCAAATATAAGCCCAAAAATTGGGAGCAAGCAGCCCATTTGGGACTGCTTGGGCTGCCTGCTGCATTGGTTAGCGCGCGCACTCTCAGATATTCTCCCTCTCTGTCCTGCAGTACTTTTTTTTTCCTCCATTGATAAGAAAACAAGGGAGAAACAAGGTGCAATACAAGATGATGTGAAACTCGAAAAAGAGATAATTCTCAGTTTGTATCTTTGTTTTATTCCTACCATCATTTGAGGAGGTTGATGTACCATGTTCGAGTACAAGCACATTGGGATAATAATGTCTGTAAAATTGGTCATTGTTTCCTTACATTGGTCTTTGCTTGAGGAGCAAGATCTGTTGTGTATAATTCAACTATTACAAAGAGCAAAGAAAAAAAAATTCTTTAATCAACTCAATGGACTGTATGGATACCATGGTAATTCCATCCATCAAGAGTAACTCGGGGGGGTGACACCAGGAGGGACCTCAAAAGAGATCTTGATGGGCATAGCTTCACCTGGCACCAGCGAAAAATAGTTGTCTGAATAATGAACAGGAAGAATTCTTGTGTCTTCTCCTTCCTTATGGTCTGTCTTCAATCCATGAACTGAAAAATGAAGGAAGAAAGCAACGCCTGTGTCGTTGCCATTGATTTCAGCAACCCTCAAACCACCATTCTCCTTTGTGAAATGTCTGGATATTTTCCGAAACCAACCAACTTCAAGCTCTTTGTCTGCTCCGTCATTTGTAGATTCCACTGATGCTACATCAAAATCACCATCACCTTTTTTAGTAGTGAAATTGTTTTGATAGGTTAAACTTTTCGGCACTGGTTTCTTAGATTTGTTCTGGATGCGCATATGCATTTCATAGGTGGTTCCTTTGATGGAAACCTGGGATGTAACTTTTAATGGAACTGTTTTCTTCCTGTACGGTTCTAACAGCTTGTAATCTCCACCAGACAGATGCAACCAGTAAAAGTTCCTGGATATAATGCGATAATCTGACATGTGATACAGCTTGAGAAGAAGAAAGTACACTGGCCTTGGGTTTTTAGATTTTGGATATTTCATCTCAGCAATTGGTACTGTTCTTTTTGGCGGCATGGACACCTTTTCATGAGCTTTGTAGTATGGGCATGTTCCTTCTAGATCCCACACCGAGGCTTCTATAGCGACATCAGATAGTTCCTCTGATGTAGTGTTGACAACCTGTTCAAGGCATGAAGAGAAAATGACGGCAAGTTTCAAACCATGTTTATATGCTATTATATTCCGCTTAGATATGGATTCCTTCTGTGAGGACATTTCTTTTTTCTTTCTTTCTTTACAGGTAAATTTTCCACTAATTTCAGTATTTTAAGAAGAAATCAGAGCATATTTGCGTGTCGCCAATTAATTATTCTGATTATGATTTTGTTATAGAACTTACCTCTATGAAATATGTAGCCAAGTTAAGCTGGACATGGATTGGCTCCGCTGCGCTTCGACAGCCGTAGAAACCTGCCGTTTGGTCTAGAAAATGGTCGTAAAGTTGCCCTCTAAGACCTGGCCAAGGATTCTGTGTTTTCCAAATCAAAACACCAGTGTATTTACTCCACATGCGGGAAGTCCAACCCTCTAATAGAGCTTTATACTGAATGTAGTTAGCTAGTTGAGCCTGAAATGATTTAAAGTCAAATAGTCATAACAAAGATAGAGTCCAAATGCACCCTGAATAATAAAAATACTATTTTACCTTCAAGCAAAAATCATCAAGATCCTTTGGCGACCCATAAAGTAAAATCTGGTCATGAACCTTGCCTGGTTTTGAATAAGGGATGTATTTATAGTGTACCCACATGCCGTTTGGAACTTCTTCATAATCATTGGAAACCTTCTTAAACAAAGGAATCTGCCGTGCTTCTGGAGGCATTGTAGCTCTGATGGTAGCTGAAACAGGGATACCTACAGAACCAACTTCAGGATTGAACCCATATTTGTAAAAGTCATCTTTAAAGAAGTCTTCAGGGTTTTGAATTTCATAAGGGCCATCAGTGAAGTCCCCCTTTCCATTTGCAAATCCATCCCACAAGGACCCTTGGATGTAAATGCGTGTACCATCAAGATATTGGCTTGGATCGTCCGACCCTGCAGAAAAATCTTTAACAATCTTGCCACTCTCATTTGATAAGCTTTCAAAATTTGGATGGAGCCTGAGGTCATGTTTCAAAGCTGTGTTGATGTCATCTGGAGGAATTTGTTTACTTCCACCCACCCAAAGGGCAAGACTTGGATGGTTCCTTAGAAGCTTGACAGTATCTCTTGCGCATAGCAAGAAAAGATCATGGTCCAGTGGACCATTTGGATTTGATACTGGGACACCTCGTCCGTTGACATCTCCAGTAATCCAAAATTCTTGCCAGACCTACAAAATTTAAATCAGCAGCAGTATGGATCAGATTCACCCAACTAATTCCATGGCCAATAAATTTTAAGCCCTATGCTCTCAAGATTTAGCAGTTATTAACTTCACAAGTCTACTGCCCTCCTTCCCCAATAAAACCTAGTTAAACATGCACAGAGAGAGAGAGAGAGAGAGAGAGAGAGAGAGAGAGAGACATAGCTTACCAACAGGCCATAAATATCACAGTAATGATAAAATTCTGGCCTCTCGGCCACTCCCCCTCCCCAACAACGGAGCATGTTAAGATTCATATCTGCATGAAACTTGATGTCTGTTCTGTAACGCTCTTTTGAAAGTCGTAGGAGGCCATCTGACACTGTCCAATTACCACCACGAATAAAAATAGGCTGACCATTGACCTTGAACAACCTGAAGCGCAGAATGTACGGATAACAGAACATACACACCAGAAAAAGAGTTAGCATGTTGAAAAACTGCACATAAGGTAATAAACACACACACACACACACACATATATATATATATATTATATAATTACCTCCCACCGGTGGTAGTATCAATGTGGCTCTCAATTTTGCGGAATCCAAATAATTGGCTCCACAAATCAGATTCTCCGTATCCCTTTACATCGACAGTAACATCAACATTGTACAAGGATTGCTTTCCCATACCATTTGGCCACCATAAATTGGGTTTGTAGAAGAAGAGCTGCCAAGTTATACTATTTAGAACACAAGTATTGAATGTTGAATGCAAGATAAACAGATAGTCCAAAAGGGATTCTAGAAATTTACTTTGTTCTACTAAGATAATAAAAATGCATCATATGTTCTTTCACGGACCTCAGGAAATGTATATTTCACCCGTGATCCAGCAGGGATTGACAGATGTTGAGTCTGAAGATGCTCTACTAAACAAACGTTTCCTTCAAGTTCTGTTGTGACTTGGATATTCAAAGAACACTCGACAACGTAGGTACTTCTATTTTCCAACTCAATTGTAGCATGAAGATATACCCTCTTGTAATTGTCAAAAAACGATGAAACCAAGTGGGGATCAATTATTTTAACTGGCTGCAACAAAATGGTAATGAGTCAAAAATTGAGCTTATACAAATAACTAATATTTGACTGAAAATTGGTATCTGAAGATAATAAAAAATGCATGACCAAATACATTAGCAGTGCAGAATAAGACAAAGGAAATTCTGACTGAAGGGGAAGCAAACTCACCCCTGTTACAGAAATTGACACCTCATCCCATATGCCAGTGTTTCTATCCCTGTAACAGTATATAAGCGAATTACAACAGAAATCTCGTGTACTGAAAATATCTATATAAAAATATCTGAAGATTCTGCACGGGCAGGCAAGCAAATAGATCTGACAAGAAGTTTCTAGATCAAACTATTAGAAGATACACGAGAGGATGCATACAAATCATTTCCTTTATCACTATGGCCTTTCAATGCAGTGCATTGATTTTTCCTCCTAAATAATAAAGGATAGCCTTTGAACCATTTTAGCTGGAAAGAGGTGGAAAAAATTTCCTCGACAAACAAAAAGTATGCTGAAACGTTTTCTGGCATCCCAAATTAGAAAGAAGATGAAAAGGATATCATGATCACAAAATACTAAAGAAAACACTCTACAATCTTAATATGGTAAAACACAGTCACCTTATAGGGCACATCCAATCCCAACCTTCCACATATTGTGCAGCTACATCTTTCCCGATCTGAAATGAAAATTAGATACCGTAAGGCACTTGCCTGAATTTAATAATGAACTCTTTTCAAGTCACCATTGCTCTTGCATGAGACCAAGTATCTGAATGAAATTCTGAAATCAGTAATTAGTAGAAGGATAAAACTTTGAGCAAAAATCTAAAAGAAACAGAATGTAATCAAATAGGTTTTATGGATATGGATGTGTACCTCATGATCGCCACCTTGCCCACCCTCAGGAGGAATGGTCCCAGGATTATCTGGCGGGTAAACACGAACAGCAAGCAAATTTCGACCATCAGGATGCGCTATATCAGTGACATCAAGAGAATGTCTTCGAAACATCCCTCTTGGCAGGTCTTTTTTGTGCCCATTTAAATATACCTCTGCGTAATAATTGATTGCGCGGAAATTCAGATCCAGGAACTGTGTGCTGGACTGGAAAAAGGGTGAAGCAAATTTAGAGGAAAACTAAAGTGAGAGCAATCTTACAAATCTTTCTTAAATTGCATTTATCATTTAAGTCGGATATGGCTTACCAGTTTACACTGAAAAGTTGTGAAGAGCCAGAATGTGTAGTACTGCCTCCCGGATTCAGTAATATCTATGATGTAATCGTTTTGCAGTTCATAGAAGGGATCAGGTACATCTTTGCCCTTCACCAAGGTTGCCATAACACTGTCAATTACAACATCTATGATCATTGATAGCCAAGTTTTGATTCAAGAAGTAGATTTGTTTCATCAGTTGGTTGCTTCAATCAAGATGGAGTTAGATGAATTAGCAACAATAACCAATAATTATGCTCTACAGACACTAGAATGCTAGAAATGAATCTAGTCAGAATTCCTGAAGCATCTTTGTATTTGTAATTAATGTTGAAATACAGGGTTCTCATCTCAGCAAGAAATATTGATACAGTAGAGAGGCAACTTAAGGCTTAGAAATTGAAGTTAATCTAAACTCAGCCAGAACCCAAAAAATGAAAACTCAAAACTTGAATCAGATTAACCCACATTGACTGAAACTCACAGAAGTGTTTTATTATGTCAATGTATATGTATGCGATGGAGAGAGAGAGAGAGAGAGAGAGAGATATTACGTTCCGGGGACGACGGCCTCCATCCAAGGAAGGGCGGGGGAGGGAGGGTGGGTGGTGGTGAGCTGGGTGCCACTAACCGTGACCTCCCTGTCTCTAGTCCCGATCCAACCCGAGTCCAGCCTCGTCTTCCCTATCGCCGCCATTGAACCCTAGCTCTCTCTCTCTCTCTCTCTCTCTCTCTCTCTCTCTCTCTCTCTCTATATACAGTCACAGTCAGTCAAAGTCACAGTCTCACTCACCAGATCTCTCTCATTTTAAAAGTGTGTACTTTGAGCGCGGGCTGTGCTGACAGAGACAGCCGACAAAGATGACGGGAAAGATGGCATTATTTATTTATATATTGATTTTTGCCGCGCATCACACCCACCGTTACACAAAACGATGTCGTATGCTCCATTATTTATTTGACAATATTTCAAGGACCTTGATCATCATATTTTATCTGTTTTGACATGATATAGAGTTTTTTTATTTCATAACTATTTGTTGCTATAAATTATAATTAGAGTTTTATTTGATGACTATTTAAGTCCTCTATGGAGTCCCATTAAATCCTTATAAACCTCCTCTTCTTCGTTGTGTATAATTCAACTATTACAAGTAGCAAGGACAAAGCAGAACAAGTTTTTAAACCAGCTCCATCAATGGACTGTATGGACACCATGGTAATTCCATCCGTCAAGAGTAACTCGTGGGGTGACACCAGGAGGGACCTCAAAAGAGATCTTGATGGGCATAGCTTCACCCGGCACCAGCGAAAAATAGTTGTCCGAATAATGAACAGGAAGAATTCTTGTGTCTTCTCCTTCCTTATGGCCCTTCTTCAATCCATGCACTGAAAAATGCAGGAAGAAAGCCACGCCTATGTCACTGCCATTGATCTCAGCAACCCTCAAGCCATCACTCTCCTTTGTGAAATGTCTGGATATTTTCTGAAACCAACTAGCTTCATGTTTTTTGTCTGCTCCATCATGTGTAGAGTGCATCGAGGCTACATCGAAATCACCATCACCTTGTTCAGTAGCAAAATCGTTTCGATAGGTTCGGCTTTTTGGCTCTGGTTTCTTAGATGTGTTCTCCACAAGCATATGCATTTCGTTAGTGGTTCCTTTGATGAAAACCTGGGATATAATCTTGAGTGGTACTGTTTTCTTCCTGTATGGTTCTAACAGCTTGTAATCCCCACCAGACAGATGCAACCAGTAAAAGTTCCTGGATATAATGCGATCGTCTGACATGCGATACAGTTTGAGAAGAAGAAAGTAAACTGGCTTTGGGTTTTTAGATTTTGGATATTTCATCTCAGCAATTGGCACTGTACTTTTTGGCGGCACTGAAAGCTTTTCGTGAACTTTGTAGTATGGGCATGTTCCTTCTAGATCCCACACTGAGGCTTGTATAGCGATGTCAGATAGTTCCTCTGATGTAGTGTTGACAACCTGTTCAAGGCAGGAAGAGACAATGACAGCAATCTCAAGCCATGTCTCCAGTGTAAACTCCGTAAATAGCCAAGTAACCTCTAAGAAATATGTAACCAAGTTACCTCTAAAAGATATGTAGCCAAGTTAAGCTGGACATGGATTGGCTCCGCAGCACAGCGACAGCCATAGAAACCTGCCGTTTGGTCTAGAAGATGATCGTAAAACTGACCTCTAAGACCTGTCCAAGGATTCTGTGTTTTCCAAATCAAAACACCAGTGTATTTAGTCCACATTCGAGAAGTCCAACCCTCCAGTAGAGCTCTATACTGGATGTAGTTAACAAGTTGAGCCTGAGATGATTTAAAGTAAGTCCAACAGTTAAAACAGAGATAGAACCAACGTGCACCCTGAATAACCAAAAGATTAGTTTACCTTCAAGCAAAAATCATTGAGATCCTTTGGGGACTCGTAAAGTAAAATCTGGTCATGAACCTTGCCTGGTTTTGAATAGGGGATGTATTTATGGTATTCCCAGATGGGGTTTGGGACTTCTTGATAATAATTGGAAACTTTCTTAAACAAAGGAATCTGCCATCCTTCTGGAGGCATTGTAGCTCTGATGGTAGCTGAAACAGGCATACCTACAGAACCAACTTCAGGATTGAACCCATATTTGTAAAAGTCATCCTTAAAGAAGTCTTCGGGATTTTGAATTTCATAAGGGCCATCAGTGAAGTCCCCCTTTCCATTTGCAAACCCATCCCACATGGATCCTTGGATGTAAATGCGTGCACCATCAAGATATTGGCTTGGATCCCTCAACACTGGGGTCTTGCCACCTTCATTTAATGAGCTTTCAAAATGTGGATGGAGCCTGAGGTCTTGTTTCAGAGCTTTGTTGATGTCATCTGGTGGAATTTGCTCATTTCCACCCACCCAGAGGGCAAGACTAGGATGGTTCCTGAGAAGCTTGACAGTATCTCTTGCACATAGCAAGAAAAGATCATGGTCCAGTGGACCATTGGGATTTGATACAGGGACACCTCGTCCATCGACATCTCCTGTAATCCAAAATTCTTGCCAGACCTACAAAATTTAAATCCGAGGCAGAGCAGTATAGATCAGATTCACCCAACTAATTCCATGGCCGTGAGATTTCAAACCTGATGCATTCAAGTTTACTTATCCCTCCTTCCCCAATAAACCCTGACAAAACATGCACATGTTAAAGCAAGAGCAGGCATGACTTACCAACAACCCATATATGTCACAGTAATTATAAAATTCTGGCCTCTCAGCCAGTCCACCACCCCAACAACGGATCATGTTAAAATTCATATCTGCATGAAACTTGATGTCTGTACTGTAACGCTTCTTTGAAAGTCGTAGGAGGCCATCTGATAATATCCAATTACCACCACGAATAAAAATAGGCTGACCATTGACCTTGAACAACCTAGAGAGGAGAATGTACAAGTTAAAAGTTAAACAGACTCTCAATTTTGTTAAACAGAATCTACATTAAGTTTTATATAAATACCATACCTTCCTCCAGTGGTATTATCAATGTGGCTCTCAATTTTGCGGAATCCAAATAATTGGCTCCACAAATCAGACTCTCCATATCCCTTTACATCAACAGTAATAGAAACTTTGTACAAGGATTGCTTTCCCATACCATTTGGCCACCATAAATTGGGCTTATAGAAAAAGAGCTGCCAAATAAATTTGATTTAGTACTGAACACAAGTATTGAAAGCTAAACCTAATAAATATAACGAATTGAATATCAAGATAAACAGGTTCTCCAAAGGGCTTCTAGAAAAGTATTGTTTTCCGCTAAAATAATTAAAATGCATACTATGTTCTGTCACAAACCTCAGGAAACGTATATTGCACCCGTGATCTAGCAGGGATTGACAAATGTTGAGTCTGAAGATGCTCTATTAAACAAAAATTTCCTTCAAGATCTGTTGTTACTTGAATATTCAATGAACACTCAGCAACCTGGGTGCTCTTATTTTCCAACTCAGTTGTAGCATGCAAATATGCCCTCTTGTAATTGTCATAAAATGATGAAACCAAGTGGGGATCAATTACTTTTACTGGCTGCACCAAATGGGAAAGAGTCAAAAAACAAAAGAACTTATTATAAACCACAAAGGCCATACTTACACAGTACAAGGAGTCAACAACTTTTCATTGAACCTCAACACAATTCAAATGATCAGCCCATATAAAGGTAAATCTATTTTCTTTCCCAACAAGATGAAAATCAGCATATCACTATAGAGACAGTATCACAATGCAAATTCTATGACAGGAAGTGAAACATTAAGACTAAACTCACCCCTGTTACAGAAATTGACACCTCATCCCATATGCCAGTGTTTCTATCCCTGTATCAATATACAAGTTAATTACATTGGAAATCCTTTTTACACTGATAATACATCCTCTGGCATCCCATTTTAGAAGGAAGATGAAAAGCATATCATTGGTTTGTGATCACAACATGCTAAAGAAAACACTCTGCAATCTCAATAGTAAAACATAATCACCTTATAGGACACATCCAATCCCAACCCTCCACATACTGAGTAGCTACATCTTTCCCGATCTGAAACAAAATTTGAAAATTAATAGTTATATTAATCTCAGTTTGCACATTGCATACATTTGATAATTAACTCTTTGGAAGCCATCATTGGTCTTGCATAAAATCCAGCATCTTAATGTAGAAGGATAAAACTTTGAGAAAAAATCTAAAAGAAGGCTCATGGATATAGATATACCTCATGATCACCGCCTTGCCCACCCTCAGTAGGAATACTCCCTGGATGATCTGGAGGGTAAACAAGAACAGCAAGCAAGTTTTGACCATCAGGATGCACTATATCAGTGACATCGAGAGAATGCCTTCGAAACATCCCTTTTGGCAGGACTTTTTTGTGCCCATTTAAATATACCTCTGCAGAATAATTGATTGCACGAAAATTCAGATCCAGGTGCTGAGTACCTGACTGAAAAAGGGTCATGTATTTAGAGGAAAGTATCCAAGCTAAAATATCAAGGAAAACAAAAATTAAAATCGAGGATAATCTTATGAATCTTGCCATAAAGAAAGAACATGTTATCATTAAAATGTATCACTTACCAGCTTACATTGAAAGGTTGTAAAGAACCAGAATGTATAGTACTCTCTCCCGGAATCAGCAATGTCTATGATTGACTCGTTTTCCAACCCATAGAACGGATCGGGTACAACTTTGTTCTTCACCAAGGTTGCCAAAACACTGTGAACTAAATCATGATTAGCCCTGAGCCCTGATAGTTTTTTGTAAAATTATGATTCAAGTTGTAGGCTTTCATCAGTTTGAATTAATTCCAAATTGTTAGTGGAACAAGTTCAACGTAATTCTACCAATGAGTTTCATATGTCTAAACACATATTGACGTCATGCAAACCCATTTTAGAACTGTAAACACTGAAATGAACTTGAGCCCAGAACCAAAAGATTAAAGCTCGAAACTTTAATCAAATTAAATCACATTGAAATTAATGTGTGTGTGTGTGTGTGTGTGTGAGAGAGAGAGAGAGAGAGAGAGAGAGAGAGAGAGAGATTACGTTCCGGGAACAACGGCCTCCATCCAAGGGGAGGTGGGGCCAACGGAGGGAGGTTGGGTGGTGGTGAGCTGGGTCCCACTGAGATGGACCTCCGTGGACCTCGCGGCGAGCCACCCCGAGTCCAGCGTCGTTTTCCCTATCGCCGCCATTAAACCCTAGTTTCAGTCAATTTAGCTCTCACTCTCACTCTCAAAAGTCAGAAATGAAGAGGAGACTTCATCACTCATCCGAGTGTTTTCTCAATTATCATTGCGCACATGAGTTCGTGAGTGTGGGGCAGAGGCTCAGACTCAGACCCACAAAGATGATCATCCCTTTTGTTTTCTTTTACAGCTGAGATTTCTATGTGATACAGTTATATCGGTTATAAAGTAATATTTTTTCACAACTACCTTTTGATTTTACCGCGCATCACCATCATACAACGCCGTTTCCTTCCGTGTAGGATTAATTAATAGTTTATCATTTATTTACGGCAAAGGTTGCAAACAATCCACTAGTGCAATTGTTTCTAAAAAAAGATTTTTGGTTCGAGTCATAATATCTGTGTGTATGAGTTTAGTATATTGTCACTTTTCTTAATAGTAAATGTTCTCAACAAAAAAACCTCAAATGCAAGGGATTTAAGTAAATTTAGGTTTTAGCCATAAAAAAACTTTCACTTTTTGAAAAAACCAAAGCTTTTTCAAAAAAGATAGAAAAACCTCTTAACTTTCAAATCAAATACATACAAATGTAAAGGATTCCTTAGAAAATCCAAAAATAAATAAGGGCAATTTTATCCATTTTGGCTTCTTTTAAAAAATTTCTCTCCCCTTTATATTTTTCCAGAGTCTCCCTTTGACCAACTGGTCTAACTTTTTCAATTGTTAATTACACCAATTTAACTCAATAATGTGCATTTATGCGAGCTAGGTCCATACTGGTGTTACTTTATTATCTTTTAATGTAGAAAACCTGCCTCAATATGAAGAAATCAAGGTTTTTACCCGAATTTGGTATTGTTTGTATAGCTGAAAATTACTTGCCTTTGTTAAATTCTACTTGTGTTCATTATCCTCACAACCAAAGCTTCTAATATTGGATCAACACAACACATGTGCCTAAATTGCACATTTTTGGTTGGACCATTTTTCTTTTAAATCTTGCATCATGGCTTCCTAGTCCTATTGTTGTATTATCTTTTCCCATGACTTCTTTTTCTTTCTTTGATGGGAGTTTCACTAAAACACCCAAAATGGGGGTTGAAATTATAAAAAAACCCAAGCACTATTTAAACATATAAACACACCCAAAACTCATCATTACACACACTCAAAACCCATTTATAAACACACCCAAAAAGTTGACTTTGGGGTTGATTTTGGGTGTGTTTCTATGTTTAAATAGTGCTTTGATTTTTTTATAAATACATGTCTAGGATTGGGTTTATTTATAAATTTGTATTCTTGTATTTCCTTCTCCCCCCTCCCCTCTCTCTCCCATAAGGATATAGTTGAATTCAGGGAGACAACATCATATGTGACCGGGTTACATGGCCATGTGATGTGCTTAGTTGCTCCAAACTAAGCAACAAAATCATTAAAAATCAAGACCCAAGCTTCCTCAATCTCATCTTCTTCAACTCTTCTTTTTTCTTTTTCCATTTGGTTTGACATATTCAAAGTCTTTTTGGCCCCAGATTGAGAAGTAAATTTATCCTTATATGATATCTCTGCCAAATTTGAAGCTCTGAAACTGTGTTTGAAATGATACATTGGCATGTTAATGTTAAGCTGACAAAAACTTTATCTTATTTTGCTTTTGTTGTAATATATTATTGGTTCAGTAGACCATTAATTATTATTTTTACGTAAGTTATCAAACTAGTAAGATTTGAAATCGTCCAACTGATGATATTAACGGTCACGATTTTGTTGGCCGTACCGTACGTCGGCAAACTACAAGCCATGAGGTCATGGAAAGGTCGAAGAGAAATATTTAAGAATTATAGCCGCGCGGCTATACTATTTTAATATTCGGAAATCTGAAACGCTGTTTGCTCCTTCTTCGTCACATTTGGCCTTAAAAAGCGTGCCTTTTTTTCCCATTTGTCAATTTTTCTGTTACTTGAAACTTAAAAAAAAAAAAAAAAAAAAAAAAAAAAAAAAAAAAAAAAAAAAAAAAAGGGGGGAGGGGGGAAACAGACAACCAAGCAAAGCAAAGTAAGCAACGAGTGAGAAGCGCTTAACAAACTTTCCCACCTATTTTCCCGAGAGAATTCCCTTTTCCCGCGATCATATTCATTTTCCCGAGAAAATCATCGCATCAAAAGATTCAAACCCCCGGAAAAATGGAATCTCTACCTGCTCCTCAGCGTCGCCTCCACGCCATTCACTCCCACCTCCTCCCTCCCTCAACCGACCATCCTCCTCACTCTCATCTTCACGCTAACCTCACCGCCGGTGAGTTTGCTCACGGTACATACTCATCTCTCTCTCTCTCTCTCTCTCTCTCTCTCTCTCTCTCTCTATATATATATATATCTATGTATATATATGTATAGGTGTATGAATAGCAGAAGGAGAATTTGAAGCTGTGGTCTTGTGTTTGGTCTTGAGCAGGACAGGGCTACAGTGTGGTGCTCCCAGAGAAGTTGCACACAGGGAAGTGGGATGTGCATAGGTATATATATGCTTTTCTTTCTTCTTCTTCTTTTTTTTTGGGGTAAATTTTAGCTACCTTAATTTGTTGCTGTAATTATTTGGGTTGCTTTTGTTATTGATTTGCTGCAGATCTGCACGTTCGCCTTTCAAGCTCGTCAATCGATTTTCTGATCATCCTCAAATTGGGACTTTGCATGATAACTTTGTGTCAGCCTTCTTACTTTCTTACTTTCTTGCTTGGTTGAATAAATTGAGTTAATTAATCCCCTGTTTTTATTTTTTAGTTATTTATTAATTATTATATTATGGAAGAATTACAATTGTTTAATTGTTTGGTTGAAATTTCTGAGAAATGCAGACGTTCAGTTGAAGTTTTTAGAGATTACAAATTCTTAGGTACACGAAATCGGGTGGATGGAACTGTTGGAGAGTAAGTTGGTTTGTGTTGTGCTCTCTACTTGTGCGTAATTTCAATTCCTTCTCCATGTAAAGTCGTGGTCTTTATGATTGAAGGTACAAATGGATGACATATGGAGAAGCAGCCACAGCTCGGGAAGCAATAGGCTCTGGCCTACGCTTTCACGGGTTAGAAAAAGTAAATCAAAATCCATTACACAAGTCATATTCTCTGCTTTGATGATAGACTATATTTGCCAAAATTTGATGGCATCATCTTGGCTTGGACAGGGAGCTTGTGTTGGACTTTATTTCATAAACAGACCAGAGTGGCTGATTGTGGATTATGCTTGCTCTGCATATTCTTTTATCTCAGTTCCTTTATATGATACTCTTGGTATGTACACCTGTAATTGCTCAAATGAATGGTTCCGAGTTTGTAAACTCTGTTTTAACAGATTTTCGGTCTATGAGCAGGCCCAGATGCAGTTAAGTACGCCGTAAATCATGCTGGTGTACAGGCAGTCTTTTGTGCCCCACAGACTCTAAGCACTGTGAGTTTTGATATTTGCTTCTTCAGCTGTGATTCTGTGATTTTGCAATTTTGCAATTTTGCAATAAATGATGCCTGCAAGGAATGTCATAGGCTGGTGCATCATTCAAAGATGTATTATTTCTTTCTTTTAATGTTTTCTTCAAAATATTCTGCAACGTACCATTTCTGTTGTTAACAATTTGAAAATGGGAAATACCAGTTTGTATCTGAATTCTGCTTTTCATAATATGCTAATTTATGCTTTACAAATTTGCCTTACATAAGCCTCTCCTGATTCTTGCAGATGTTAACTTTCGTATCTGAGATTCCGTCTGTACAACTTATAGTGGTATGTACTCTTGAAATCTTATTATCTTATTCTTGTCTAAGTTGAAAATGAACGAATGCATATTTTCCAGTTTTCTAATCCTTTTGCCCCTTGAAATCCATAAATGTAGGTTGTGGGAGGGATGGATGAACACTTGCCTTCGCTTCCATCTACATCTAGAGTGAAGCTTATATCATATTTAAAGCTCATCAGTCAGGTAAATTTTCAACTTTAACCTATCCTGATAATTTTTTTCAGTTATTTGTAAATTTATATTCCAAGTATATTCTTATCTTCCGAACAGAGAAAAACATATTCTTTAGAATTTTGTTTTGCTAATTGTATGCTTTTATCTTGGTGTAGCATTAATGTTTGTTTATAAAACATGTATGTCTTCACCTTACAATGATTCTCTTTTAGGGCCGCAGTAATCTGCAGCCTTTTTACCCTCCTAAGCCTGAAGATGTTGCAACCATTTGCTACACAAGTGGTACGACTGGAACACCAAAGGTAGAGCTTGCTTTTTTATGAAACCATGCTCAATTTCTGCTGCAAAAGCTCATTATATATTACTATGGTGAAATACATTATGGACCTCGTTACTTGTTTTAATCGTGATTCTCTACCCCCTCCTCCCCCTAAAAAAGGGAGTTGTATTGACCCATGGAAACTTTATTGCAAACGCTGCTGGATTCTGTCATGCAGTCACATTCTATCCCTCGGATATGTGAGTACATTATATATAAATTATTAGTTGTCAGACAATTTTCATATAGTGTTTAAATACATTTTATTTTCCACAGTTACATATCCTACCTTCCTTTGGCACACATCTATGAACGAACTAATCAAATTATATCAGTGTACTACGGTGTTGCTATTGGTTTCTACCAGGGGGTATGTGACTCTTCTGAGTATCATAGTTTTAGTATCTCCTGGAGTCTCTGAGGCCATTCAAGCATTACGTACAGCTCTGTCCTTAATTGCAGGACAATCTGAAATTGATGGATGACCTGGTTGCACTGAGACCTACATTATTTTGTAGTGTGCCTCGGTTGTACAACAGAATATATGCCGGGTAATCATAGTTGGCTGCTGCTTAAACGTATTGTTTATTATTGTTCATGTGGTCTCCATGTCACATCTAATTCAGTTCATCACAGAATTGCAAATTCTGTTAAAACATCTGGGACTCTAAGGGAGAGACTGTTTCAAACTGCCTACAGTTCCAAGAAGCAATCCATAATGAGTGGTAATATACACTAATAACTTCACCTTCTCATAGGCTATTACTTAAGTCATGCTGTTGTTAAATTTCTCTATGTTAAACAATTATTTCAGGTTCGAATGGATCACCAATATGGGACAGATTGGTGTTCAACAAAATAAAGGAAAAGCTTGGAGGACGAGTTCGTTTTATGGGATCCGGTGCTTCACCCTTGTCCCCTGATGTCATGGACTTCCTTAGAGTGTAAGTTGGCTATCTTATAGAGTGCAATTTAATAATAATTATTATTATTTTTTTCAAGTGTTAAGACCAATGAAATTTTTGCTGCATATGTAACCAAAATCGCAGGTGCTTTGGCTGTCAAGTAATTGAAGGATATGGTATGACAGAGACTTCTTGTGCCATGAGCATGATGGATGAGGGTGACAACTTATCTGGCCACGTCGGGTCCCCTAATCCCGCCTGTGGTGAGTTTATCAAACTTATCATACACAAATGTATATAAGAATTTGCTGTTAGATAGCATATTATCTTATTCTAAGTGTCACATTTCGGATTCTTCTCTGTTTTCCACCCTCTCTCAGTAGCCTTTTTTCTTTTTCAGAAATAAAATTGGTGGATGTCCCTGAAATGAATTACACCTCTGAGGATCAGCCCAATCCTCGTGGAGAAATCTGTGTCCGGGGTCCAATTGTCTTTCAAGGCTACTACAAAGACGAAATCCAGACGTACAGAACTTGCATCTATTATTATGATCACAGATACAAAATTTAGCACTAGTGAGCCTACCTGACTGTGCAGTTGATTGAACAGGAAAGAAGTCATTGATGACGACGGCTGGCTGCATACTGGAGACATTGGTTTGTGGTTACCCGGAGGCCAGCTTAAGATCATTGATAGGTGAGATCTTATCTTACAGATAATTATAGTTCAAAAATATTGATTTGTAAAAAGAACATGTCATTCAGAATCTCTACTCTTTTGACAGGAAAAAGAACATATTTAAGTTGGCACAGGGGGAGTATATAGCACCAGAGAAGGTTGAGAATGTCTACGCCAAGTGCGAATTTGTTGCTCAAAGTTTTGTATATGGTGAGGAGATTGAGTTTTCTTTGCATATAAAACATCGCAGCAGCTATGCTTTACTTGCTGATTTGTTCATTTTATGCTACTTCTAGGTGACAGCTTCAACTCCTGTCTAGTAGCTATAGTTGTAGTGGATCCAGATGTACTGAAAGCGTGGGCTGCATCCGCAGGCATAAAGGTGTGATTCTTTTTAACCTCCTAGGTTCATCTCCATTGTCTTTTAGTTCATGCAGGCGTGACGCTTGCTCGATATGTTTATCCTTTTGATGAAAACATAATTTTTTTTGGCTGACTCTTATTGCATTTGATGCAGTACGAAGATCTCACACAACTGTGCAATGATCCAAGAGCAAGGACTGCTGTTTTGGCTAGCATGGATGCCCTTGGAAAGGAGGCTCAGGTAAATCTGTCTCAAGCCATACTGCCTGAAATAATAATCTTCAGGTTGCAAGGATTCTTGTAGCTTATATTTAGTGTTTCATTTACAACTGCAGTTGAGAGGTTTTGAATTTGCAAAAGCTGTAACTTTGGTTCTTGAACCATTCACATTGGAAAATGGCCTCCTCACTCCAACCTTCAAGGTAAGCTTCTATTTTACTTGTCTTGGATATCAAAAACGATGAGGGAAATATGGGTTGAAATTTACATATCCTAGTATCACTGTATTGACTTGAAACGCTTTCCAGATCAAGAGGCCTCAAGCTAAGGAACACTTTGCTAAAGCAATATCAACCATGTATTCTGAGCTATCTGATGCTGTACCGGCAAAACTGTGATGATCCGAAAGACATGGAAGCAGGATGAGAAAAATAACCATCCTTTTCCTTAGCCGAGAAAAGAAAAGAAAAAGTAATAACCATCCTTTTTAATGAATTGTGATTGACACGTCGAAACCGTCTTTGATCGGATGATGAGGTTTTCATTGTTATTCTTTATGTGAAAAGAAAAAAAAACTACAGAAACTTTTGATTCTTTGTAGCCCATGCTTGGGCCAAACTTACCCTTCTACTTCAGAAAGAATGGAATCATATGGCCTCAATTCAATTCCTGCATTCTTCAAGTGATCCATCACCTCTGCGCTCGCTTTAGAAGTATCTATAAATAACTTCGCTTTATCAGTCTCCACAATACAATACGCACACATCACTGCCTCTCTGCAAAACAAAATTTAGCACATCATTTGGATTAACACAAAAGCATGAACATTTATGAATAATTTTGAGTTACAATTTTATATTTGGTTAAAGAATCAAGAATATATGAGAATAGCCGATAAACGGGGTTAACATGCATCTTTGCCACACACAAAAAAACCCACTGTACAGATAGGTTCAGAGGTATTACCAAGTTCAACAGCCAGGCAATTTCATCAAGCATAGATATAACTATCGAAGACGAACCAGGATCAGCAAGTTCAGACCTCAGAGACAACAACTTGGATGCGACATCTACACCAGCATGCTTCAGGCCATGTACTCTAATGGGTTTGTTTGGAAGCTTTGGTCTTGATTCGTTCCATGGAATACTAGAACCCAGTGCAGAAATGCTACAACACCCGAGCTATATGCAAAATAAACCAAGAATTTAGTGTTCGAAAAATCGGCCGTCTAGGCGCCCGCCTAGGAAATAGTGGCTAGGCGGGTCTTTTTGTTAAGAAATAGTAAAGGCTATGTTTTTTTTTTCAAATAGTACAGTCCACACCCAAAAAAAAGTATAGGATATACGCCGTTTAATCAATGTTTAAAAATAGCCGTATGTTTTTTTTTTTTTTTTTTTTTTTTTTTTTTTTTTTTTTTTTATTTTGACTACTTAATCGATAAGTGGGTCCTTTTTTTTCATATATATAAATAGTCTAGCCGATCAGCTATACCCAATTTTATTAATGTTCAAAAATAGTATAGCCGCGCTGCTTTAGGCCATTTAAAAAAAATTTTAAATAGTATAGCCAAACGGCTGTACTGGGTTTTTAAATTTTATTTTTTAATAAATAGTATAGCCGTGCGGCTATACTATATATATATATATATATATATACACACACACATATACATAGAGACTATACCACGGCCTTTATTTCAAAAAAATAGTATAGCCACATGGTTATATTGATTTTGACACGTGGGTGCATAATCGCTAGGCGAGTCCTCTTTTTTTTCTTTTTTTTATATTATTATTTCTTTAAAAATAGTATAGCCTTGTGGCTATACAAATTTTGACTTGTGTCGCCTAATCGCTATGCGGGTCCTCTTTTTCAATAAAAAAAAAAAAAAAAAAAAAAAATAGCCGCTCGGCTATACACGTTATAGTATAGCCACGCAGCAATACTATGGCCTGTTTTTGGAAATAAAATTAGTATAACCACACGGCAGTACTATGGCCTTTGTTACAGAGGATGAAACCACCAACTTCTCCTATTATTTTTTTATTTGCTTTTTGTTAGTTGTCAAGATTGCGTGCCGCGCAGGAGGCCTTTGATGCAAGCGATACCTGAGAGCTTGCCACGACAAAATTTTATATGGCATGAAACTTTAAATTAATAGGATTTAACAATCATGATACAAGTTTATATATATATATATATATATATTTAATTGTCTCATCACTGGTAAACTGGTGTGCTTGTATACAAAGGGGGTACATGAGAGAAGAGAATGATAGATGGATGGATGGATAAGAATCACATCACAGTTTAACAAGTGGTCTGGTGTTGTTCCAAAGCCATTCACGAGCACAACCATCCACAAGCGGGGACACCTGTGAGACCTTAAGGTTAGTTATAATATCTAAAATGGAAAATATTGTAAATAGGGTGGTTTTTTGATCTCTACCAACCTTCTCCCAAACTTGTGAATGATAATCGTTAAGCCAATCAAACTCCGCAGCAGAAAGCAAAGATAAGTCGATCAATTTAGCCTGCATGTCAAAAAAAAACCACATGAAAAAAAATCATAAAATGCAGGCCTTCTTTTAAGAACAAATCACTAAAACGAACTCATTAGGGCCAATTCTAGCTCAGCACCAAAGTCATGCATAAAACCAATGTGATAAAGGGATTGCTCTACTTCAAATTGTGTTTTCTTAGTCGGAGGCGAACCAAAACTATTCTTGTAATAACATATTGGTTCTGCACTCACTTTCAAAGGTCATACCCATAACCAGTTAAACTATTATACTACATCACCATATGCATACCTGAATGGGGACAAATGTGAGTTTTTCAAATCCCAGGTATCCAATTCCTCCAAAACGATTTGGCGTGTCAACTTCTTTCACAACGAGGAGATTCTGTATGAGAATGAACATGTGAATTACTATGGAACAAGAGTAAAAGACATGAGCAGAAAATTTGTCATATGGTAGAGCAACAAAGAGAATTAGTATCAACATTATTGATAGAGATACAATTAACTGCATAGAGAGAGAGAGAGAGAGAGAGAGAGAGAGAGAGGCGGGAGGTACCTCAATCCGAATGCCAAAAGCATGGTCTTCATAATAGCCAGGCTCATTGCTAACAATCATGCCTTTCTGTAAGGGAGTCATATTTCCAAATCGAAAGCTAATACCTTGAGGTCCTTCATGAACATTTAATGCAGCTCCCACACCATGCCCAGTTCCTACCACATTAGAGAACAAAATACACATTCACTGAGCTCATCATAAAGACAAAAGTTCATGATGAATTGATAGAAATTCAAGGAAAATACCATGCCGGTAATCCAGTCCTATCTTCCAAAGGGAAGAACGAGCAAATGCATCCAAGACAAAACCAGGTGTGTTTTCAGGGAATACTGCTTGATCAAGAGCTATATGACCCTGCATTGCAAACTCTATCAGAAAAGTCAAACACAACCAGGGATCTCAAATACAAAATTGGTCAGTCTAAGGAGTAGAATATCAAAGTGCATTAATTATGTAAATTGCATAACTGTATGTGTTGGTTGAGGATCTGTAGTACAATAAATACTATAATACTCTACTTTAGTTATGCAAATAAGTTTCGGTTAATTAAAAGTACATCAACATCGCAAATAAGTACACCATTGCATAATTGCCTGATATCCCCAGAGAAAAAAACCCAATCTTTAGAAAGTATTGAGACCTTTGGCCCTGCCCTCTTCAGATATCTTTACCCAATTTATGCAGCCTTCAAGTAAATAAATTTCATAAGAATTTATTACCCAGAAAACCAAAGGAATGTACTTAGTACCTGTAAAACTCGAGTAAAGCATTCTTTTAGTCGGGAGGGAGGTTTGCCAAAATGTACGGTCCTCGTTATATCAGTTGTTCCATCAACGTATTGACCACCGCTATCCAATAGGAAGAGTTTCTTGTCATCCACAACACTACAACTATCTGGTTCTGCTCTGTAGTGTATGATAGCACCGTTTGCACCAGAACCTGGAAAAGCATTCAAATTGTGAGTAGAGAAGTTTAAGAAATCGACAAAGGACCTATTGACTCAAAATATAAGAAAAGGACAATAAAGAGAAGAAGCAAAAAAGAAAACATCTATGTAATAAGCTTTAACTTAGGGATAAGAACATGCTTATCTACAGAAATAAATGTAAAAATCTCAAATAACTGTATAAAAAAAATCTCAAATAACTGTATAAAAAAAGGTAAAAAACAATAAAGGTTTGACATGTACCACTTATGGTGTCAAAGCTTGTATCTAGGAAACCAGGCTGTGCCAAACGAAATTCAAGAAGTTTGTCTGCAACCTCTACCTCAGTTAATTTCACATTCTTTTTAATTTGCTCTTCCATCCAAACCCAAAACTGCACTAGAGCAGCAGCATCCCTGCACAGACATTATCACCTTGACCCATATCCTTAACTTTTAAACCACATATGTCTCTGTAATGAAAGTATAGATAGAAATTCTCCCTATAACAGAATTTCTAATATGGTTTATCGGGAAAGAAAAGCCACATGCATATATGGAGACTATCTTGCTACCAATCCCTTCCAAAATATTCTTCATAGAGTGATTAAAAATATTGTTCTCACCTAAAAACTCCAATGACTGTCAAATTTGACCCCATCTACACCCTCAGGCTCAACAGCACAGGAAAAAATCATGGACACGTAACTAGAGAATATAATATCTAATCCACTAAATTTATACATGCTTAGCTATAACTTAGGAGGTATTTTCTTACACAAAATTCATATACATAACCCAAATGAGAGCTTAAATTTTTAAGGCATTCTACTGATCAGTTGTCTGATGATGCTAACAACTAAGCTTCAGTATTATCAACAAAGAAGTCAACCAAACAATGATATGGAAAGCGCGCACATATGATTATGCACATAATCAAGTTGGAGGGTGGAAATAATTACCTTAAATGACAACTCCGCATGCCTTCTAACTCAGAATCATTTTTCACTGCCTTTGCTAAAGAAATAGGGGACACTCTGTAAATTCCAGTGGGTCCTCCAGACCAACCATTTGAGTCATCATACATCTTAGTCTTACTTTTTGTTTTACTTTCAAGGCTCTGATAATATCTTTCACAAGCAGAGTTAAAGGTTTTGACAATAGCAGCATTAACAGAAGATATATCCAACCAAACGTTAGCCCCTTGTGCTGCCAGACTGAAAATGAAAAATAGGTTTTAATAGTTTGGTGTTACAAAATGAGTTTAGCTCCGTTTAAAAAATATGAACATCTAAGACAGTTAAATAATGAAAATGAGAAAGCCATCATAATTTGCCTGACCATTACAGCCAAGAGACCTCGTATCTGTGTCATTACCTGACAACTTTGCCAG